CAACATTCAGCATTATCAAAATGTTCGACTTTATGGAATTTGTCACAAAGACCGAAATCATCAGAAGTTATTAGTAATATAATTAATTGTTCTTAAAAATACCCTGTTATTACAAGAAAGAATTCATTACATGATTCCATATCACAATTAATTAAACACAAAGCAAAATTAAACACCTTGACTAAAGAATTAGGTTTAAAGTATCAATTTAACGAAACTGACATTAGTTATTTGACTGAATTTGTTTTAATAATGAAACAAATCGCTTGTGCTCTGGATCATTTAGAAAGTGACTCAAATTTTTACTATGGCCATTTAATTCCTACTTTATTTTCATTAAAAAGTTGATTGCAGTTATTAAAGGAACAACATTTGCATTATACTTTCAACTTCATCGATCCATTAATAACCTTGTTAGAAAAACGATTCATATTAAATTTTGATCTCTCCTCTGCAGTTGATAGAGCTATATTGGCATCTTGTTTTCATCCTACATTTTTAATTGATTTATAAAAACTAAAAGTGTATTATCATTTTAATTAATATATCTATGCAACAAAACTAAGATAAACAGTACTCACTCATTTGAATTTATTTTGAACATCTTTATATATATATCTATACCATAAAAATAATATTTTACATTATTTTTAATTCAAGTAAATATTTAATTTCCAGTTAAAAATGTATTAAAAATTATTTTATGACCACAATAATATTATAGTTTTGTATGTATCTACATGTTCGTTACACATTATTTTAAATTCTATAAAATACTTATTTTATGATAATATTTAAAAAGGCTTTGTTAGGTTAAAACAATTAGTTATACTCATGTACAAATAAATCAAATTATAAATATTGGGACTATTGGAAAGTATACGGTTTATGCATTATAAGGTATCTATCATTAAGTTTCATTGTAGAATTTCAATAATTTACTTTTAATGAATTTCTATAATTATAATTTAATTTATTTAATTCAAATTACTAATTTGTTCATCGAATCATATTTTATTATAATATAAGTAATTTTATGTACTTAATGCTTCTTTTTTTAAAAAAAAAAAAATTGAATATATTTTATTGTGTATTTATGTGCAACTTGTGACTTGTAATGCAATTTAATCACAGTAACTGTAACTTGTATCCAGTTACACTATGCACTGTAACTTGCCCATCCCTGAATATTAAATTGTACACCAATATAGTAGTAACTAATTGAATACCAATCGAAATTTCGTTTTATTTTTCCCGAATTAGTCATTTCCTACATGTAAACTTGACATACGTAAACGGTTCTCGCACATTAAAAGCCGTCCACAGAAAATATCCGCAAATAATCGGCTACAGCGGTTGGTGACAATTGCAAATCTCGTCGGGACATCATAAACCAATGTATAATACGACGTGACATAAACTCGGCGGAATTCTATTATCACGGTGTACCTACCCACATACCTACCGCGTACCGGAGTACCGACTGTACTCGGCACCAATCAATCAACGTGCGTTCAATACACCCGGGCGCCAATAATGAATTTTCGGTATTTTCGTGATATCGAATCCGGATAAAAATTATTTTAACTAGGCCGCAAAGCTGGGCGGGAGTCGCCACACGCACACACCGCCACCGCCGCCGCCGCCACCACCCCCCCCTCCCCGCCCTCGTGTGCGGCGTACGCAATACGCGTGTTCAACGCCGCAATATCGTCACCGTAGACACGCGGTATTACGCGCGATCCGGCCACGGGATTGCGGTTTCGGTGTACGCGCAAGTACACCCGTCCACCGTCTGCAATACAATGTACGGCGTCAGACGAACGCCGCGGCGTCTGCGTGTATTGTTTTACCGTACTGAACGGCGGACACTCGCATACCACCTGCATTACATTGACATATTGTTACGCGCGTGCGGCCGGCGACGTGGCCGGACCAAGTCGGCGGCGCAAGCAACCGCAACGGAATCTATAACCCCGACATGTACGTCCGTCCATTTTCACCGCCTTCTGAAGAGCCGTTCACGTGATCCATCCAATAAAAAATCATCATCAAAAATGATCGTAAATAATCGACCGTAGCTCCCGAATAAACAATAATATTCTGAACTGTTCGAAGCCAACGTGTGAAGGTGGCCGATGCGAGTTTTAATATGACGGTGTCGCGTGCAGACGCGACACCTACTCGACGCTGATTGTGATAGCGTAGCAAATAGCGCCGTGCCATGGATATCTCGATGACTGGCCGTGTAACACGTTCGAAAGTCGCTTAAATGTCGTCTCCCCATTGGGTACTGTTCCAGAATTCCGAAATGTAACATATAATTGTACACCATTAGAAATCGGTCATGGCTTAAATTGCTCGTTTAAAAATATCCCTATAACATTTTATAACTAAAAGTGTATAAGCAAACGCTTACACCGACTATACGCACGTCACGCCACTGCGTATGGCGTATAAGTATACGTTTTTAAATATAGCGTTTGGGCTATCTGAATGTGTCGCCGTATTATTACGTTGTAGATTATTGAAACCTACCGATTACCGCGCGGAATTGCATAAAAAAAAAAAAAACACCAAAGAAAAAAAAATAACAATAATTTTAAAATTTTGAACATAATAATTGATTATCGAAAAAAAAAACACCGATATATTATAACACTAGAACGCTTTGAAAGTTTAGCGACCTTTGACAGACTAAATTTGGTTCACTCAAATAATAGCATAAAAGTATGAAAAAGTCTTCATAAGTAATTTCAATAAATGAAAGGAATGAAAGATATATTGCAACTACTCATTATTTAAAAAAAGTTCTAACTTTTTTGAAAATACTTTTGTTCATATTTTTTTTTTTTACAATTAAAACACCAACCCTTTTTTATATAAGAAATATATTTTTCATGTTTCAATAAACATTTTTTTAATTTTCATAATCAATTAATAATTTTAAAATAATTGTTCTTTTTTTCCTTGATCTTTTTTACCGATTATCACGCATCGTTATACAATTTGGAATTTGTTACCGCGGGGTCACCGGGTTAGGGTATCGACGAACATTTTGTGTGCACTTATCCCTATACAGTGGCGTGCCCAAGAGATTGTCAATGAGAGGGGATGTAGTTTGCAATTTGATACAATTTCTTATCAATGCATCGATCTTTTCCCCGTAACTTTGCTGAAATATAACATACATTTCGATAATATATTACTTATATTTTATTGTATTTTTACAAGCCAATGGGGGAGGATATAATCCCTAACCTCCACCCCCTGCACACGCCATTGTCCCTACATGTATCATATAATTATAACCACAGACATAAAGTAATAAATAGCTAACTTGTTAATGGTACACACCAAGTTACTGAATAAAACATTTCGATTTCTGAGACAACACAACGAATTACTTTATTAAATTATTTTTTATTATTGTATTATCTGTGATTCAGTATAATTTAAAAATAAAAATAAACGTTTATTCAATAAGTAATATGTATATTATATTCTATGATATTATCGTGCCGTATTGATAAGAAAATCATGTAAACATTGACCGCCATGCATATGATGACTGGCTTCAAAGTTCAAATGAAAACGTTTGTTAGCTACACGGTCTTAGATCATTAGGTCTGGCAACTTGGTAATGGAATCCGTGCTCTTAATGACCGGACAAGGAATAGTGACGTACACGTTTCACTATCTAGCGGATCAATGTTTATAATTAGTATTTATTAAGCGGGGAACTCACTGCGGCTGCTAACCTGCTGTAACATTGTAAAACCATTACATTCGTCTCTCCGCCTAAATCTAAAAAATAAAAAAAAAATTACGCCGAAAGTTATAAACTTATAAAACAAAAGTACCTATATTGTTAATTAATTTAACTCAAACGATACCTTACCTGTACTATTCAAAATGTAAGTCATTGGGTTCATTATTTAAAATATTTACTTATAAAATAAAAACACAAAGTTTTTGTTGTTTTAGAATTAGCTACTTTAAGTCCACATCCTATAATCGTGCCAAAGGCCAAATTAAAAAAAAAAAAAATTACCCATAAATAATAATGTAAATAAGTTTTTAATTATTTATTATGAGATAATATCATTGACATTAACTTATATAACGTCATACGCCGTTGATAGATGGCAGTGCTTGTATATTAGAGTTCCAATCAATAAAAGCACCGGTGATTACATGTTAATCTCATTAAGTTGCATAGGGTATATCTGTGGTTACAACTCAATGATAATATGTAAGTATACACCATAGTACATGTACTATGTGTAGACATGTTATGGTCAACATGCCATGGTATACACGCGCTCCGGACCGAAAGGCTATTAGCGTTTTATTTTAATTATTTTTTTTTTTATAACTATTTAGGTAGGTATTTTTATTAATATAACTTAACCTCATACGGATTTAAAACAGAAAAAAACCGCATATCATTATTGTGTACCCAGTAAGGTACCAAGAGCTTATTCACGGGGGAGGGAGGTATATGTGGAATAGATCACACATGGCCTTTTTTTTTCATTATAATATAAGTTATGTGTCAAATTAAAATATTATTATTTTTCTAGCCTAAATAATGATATTTTGTTTATTATTCATTTTAAATGTTTCATATATATTATTTGTACAATATGTAAATATGCATTCAGTAAAACAATAAAATTAAATAAAGGACATACCATAAAAATGATATTTAAAATACAAAAATTGTCTGCATTGATTTATTTTGTCACTCAAGTGATTGCTTGTATGACCAACAGAAATAGCATAACACACAATATCCAATGTAATTTTATAAGGAATCTAAAGGAAAATAAGTTCACTATATAATTGTAAGCCCTAAGTGTTTCCCAAATATTATCACCTAAAATCTGTTTTTAATTTTTTTTAACGATTAAAAAAATGATTTAAAATGTATTAATTTCATATTAAATATTTCCAATAAATACTTAAACCAAACTTTATTTTAATTATTTGGTATGATACAATAAAATATTAATTTCTACACAATACATTTCTCAATATAATCATAATGTTGAACAATGTTTTTATTTAATTTTAAATACTACACAAACAATTACAATAAAAACAATAGTTTCTTTAGATCTACTTAGTTTGTTTCTATGATAGAAAATAGAAAGTAATATATTCAAAATTGTGAATATTGACTAAAACCGTTGAAAGTATTCATTATTTAACATGTGTATTATATTTATATTGTTCTAGAACTACATTTTTAGTACTACTATTAACTGAGATAAACTATTAAAATACAAACTCATATAAGAAATTAAGCATTTTTGTAAATAAATTCAAAATCATAATAAATTATTTAATAAGAATAAAACACCTACAAATTAAGAAACAAATATTGCACTAAAATTAGGTACACATTTTATATATAATTGATTATGGTCAAATCAATTAATAATATAACTATACATTTTGATAATAGTTTACACCACGATTAAAAATATAATTGTTACAAAACAAGGCACGATAACGAGACCCCGAAGTGTCTTTTACTTTTAAATGATAAGAAATGTCTTACACGCACTCTATATTAATTGTAAAATGAACTGGCACAGTAATATGGTAATGGTAAATAAATAATAATAATAATCACGAATCCTAAGATATCTCAGTCCGTTATAAGTGTATATATTTAATTGTGGTTTACACACAAGACTAGATGACTAGAATAAATATTAGAAGTATAAATGTTATAAATATTACATTCCAAACTGTGTATTATTGCTAGTGTGACTGCTATTGGACATAAAATTATTTTCAGCAGCTAACAGCGCGGTTAGGGTGGAATGTGTGGTTGCCAATCCTGAGTTATTATTGGGTGATGAATGTGGAATCTCATTATGTGGAGGTAATCTTTCACCATACTCGAGCATATTTAATGCTTCAGCAAGTGTTGTTGATGTCCCTGAGTTTAAATAAAAAAATTATATTTGAAATAAACTAAATTTAAATAATTTAATAAATAATATAACATTTCACAAATATGCCTAATTCTATTTAAAGGAAAAATCCTCATATTCTGTAAACCATTATAATTAAAAACATGGTAATTACACGGAAAACTCGATTCCATAAAACTAAAACAGCTTTTAACCTCAATCAACAGAGGTTCAATAATCTATAAAAAGGCACTTTAAAATCGCTAAAAAAAAAAATTTACAAACATTTATAAAAGCAAAAATGATAGAGTAGTTAGCTTTAACTTATTAAATTAAATTCCTTAACACTACACAATTGATTCATACAAAATAAATTCTTTTAAATAATGTCATACATATTATAAAAAAGTTTTACTTTTCTTTAATCATTTTTTTAGTGTTAGAAAATTTTATTTACAAGTTAAATCCGTTAGAGGGAGAATTCTTAAATCCATCTATTATTTTTGTTTTTTTAAATATTTTTTAAGTGCTTTTATCAAGCCTTTTTTTAACATTTTCAATTGCTTTTTTGTAGATTTTAAGAGCATATAAATCTGGTCTCTAATTATACCAGACTTCAGTATAATATTAACATATTAATCTATAAAATTGTTACCTTTTTGATACCAACTATTTTAATTTGAAAATAAAGATACAAAATCACAATATTAATAATACAAAATACCAAAAATTAATTTAATCTATTATTAAATTTCAATGAATATTGATTTTATTTAGTCACAAAAATAACAATATAATTTTGAGCTAAATACTTTGATTTTAGATTCAGGGCATAACGAGGCATCTATTGATTTTACTATGATGTAGAATTTTTTTTGATTTTAAGCAACTTTTCTGAAATTTTAATTTTGAGTGGGTTTTACATAATTTGAATTTGATAGGTAATTCATATACCCTGGCTGTATACAATTGTTGGATTACAGAAATGCTTAAAAAAATTTGACAGGAAGTACATTATAAGTTGTACTTGGTAGCCAAAAAAATAAAAACAAAATTTGAGATCTATGTAGTTTTTTTTTTTGTTAGTTTTAAAATCAAATTTTGAAAAAAATCATAAATATTATGGCATTTCAAAACATGTATAACTGAACTTTGCTCCAAATTACTTTTTCATTAGTGATAATTTATAGTTAATTACAGGTTTAAATTAAATAACTTTATGTACTCTATCTTCCTAACTACCGACCTATAACAGTGGCCATCCTATAACAGCACCCATCCCCAGTATCAGCTTTTTTTTTTTCTTTCTTAATAATTCATTGAATTTACAATTTAAATCAAAAACAAAATTATAGCAAATTTGAGTAAGGAATAATGGTAATTTTATTATTAAAGATTAGATTTGCATTATCATAAATCATGAAAGTTTTTTTTTTCTTCAAATAAAGTTTGAATATTATTATTTTAATATTTTTTTATTTAATTATACAAAAATATATCAATTATTATAAAATAGGCTTAATACCTGAAATAATTATACTACTTGATTCTGAATGAGCAGCCGATTGGGTGATTGAAGAGTTTGTGTTTTCGTTTAATGTTATACTGCATGGCTAAAAGAAGATGATAATAAAATAATTACCACAATACTGATAAAAAGAATATTAATGAATTTAATGTTTGCATTACTGCATGATCTTCAATTTCACCATTTTCCGTGATAATAATTTGTTGAGGGGACTGCAAATCAGGAGGTTTATTGAGTAACATTGTGTTTCTTACTTTATTCAGTATGAACTCTGGTAATTCAAAACCTTTGAGTTCATGAGGATTATTTCTGAAAATGTATAATATAATGAGTTTCTAAGTTAATCAACAAGAGATCAATTTAAAAAATAGAATCAAATTATTTGTACATACTTATTAAAAATAAACAATTATATTATTTAGATATCTACACTAATGTAACATTTATGTAAACATGTTTTATAAACTATATCAAGGCATCCTAAATTTGCTAACCTACTATTTCTGTATCCCATTTGTGGCGTATTGAAGTTTGAGTTTTTTTTTGTACTAATTTCTATAATATAATATTACCTACTAAATCACCTACCCTTGATAAAAGATTCATTCAAAATGCCTCCAATATATCAAATTTTTATTATTAAACAAACTTCTGGTCAAAACTTGTCGGAAAGGATACCAAGGTAGGTAAATAGGAATAATAATAATATTAAGATACAGGAGAAGGGAAAATACATTGAATGTCTAAATTTCAGTTTTGTTGGTGGGTTATTAGTATGACTGGCAGTAGGATACTGAGAAAATAATGATATGTAAGAAGTTAAATAGTTGAGATATGGGAACAGGTAAAAACGTCTAGATGTCAGTATTTTTGATAGCAGATACAGTCAGTGGGTAGGCAGTCTAACTGGAAGCCCAACTCACTAGCCTCGTAAATAGATCCAATTCAGAAAATTTGTTTTCTATTGAAAAATGAAAAACTTCCTACAAGTGCATTTTAGTGCACTTGTAGATTAAATTTTTGAGTTAGTAACCAAAAACCACAAAACTAAGTATGATAAAAATTGATCGTATTCAAACTCTTATTAAATCATAATATTCCTCTATCCAATAAAAAAAAGATGATTGAAATTGATTCACTATACAGGGTAATTCTTTTAACCAGCAATTATCTCAGAAGATTTTAAGTGAATTTGATTTCTGTTTTTCTAATATTTGTGGAATTGTTTAAACTTTACTTTAAAACCATTTTTAATTTTTTACCTTTGTTTCATGTACCTTAAATAAGTGCATAAATTGATTTTAAAATGGGATCCAAACTTTTGGACATAGATTTGAATAGAGAATATTTTTCTAGAAATTTTTATATGTAAAACACTAATATCAGGTTTACCATTCATGAGTTATAACCGTTTAAAGTCTAGACTGGAGAAGTTGGGAAGAATAATAAACTGTCTATCTATAACCCTTCTCTACTTCTTCGGTTTATACTTTAAACTGTTATAACTTATAAACAGTAAACCTGATATTAGTGTTATGCATATCAAAATTTCTAGAAAAAAATTATTTATTCAAATATGTGGGGATCCCATTTTAAAATCAAAAGTATGCACTTATTTAAGGTGTATGGAGCAGGAGTAAAAAGTAAGAACTAAAAATGGTTTTTAAATAAAGCTTAAACGATTCCACAAAGATTAGAAAAATAGAAATCAAATTCACTTAAAATCCTCAGAGATTTCTAGTTCATGATAAAAAAAAAATCACCCTGTATAAGGGATGAGAGTATTTCCTGAAAAACAATTTAGTTAGCAAAAAAATAGGTCGCGAACAATCCTCTACTCTAATACAACTTAAGTTAATAACAAAATAATATACTATAATTACGGCTAGAGACTTATAATAGTTTGCATGTTTTGCAATAATCATTCAAAACATGAATATAGTCTATATAAAATAAGCATAATAGTTGGTAGCCGAGTTCTGCACATGGGCGTGGCCTTCAATACGCGAAGCGTTGGCTCTGCCGTCCCGAAGAACGGTATTAATTTATAATTGACATTGGACAGCCGACCAGTACAAAGTTTCTATTTTACGGTTAATTGAAAGGTAAAATAGATAGTTGACCAAGCGGGAGATAGAATGGGCATGGCTATGACTGTCAGCAATGAAAACTCATCACCGCTGACTACTATTCTTATTTTGTATAGACAATAAATTTGAAATTCAAGGCAATTTGTTTTATTTTGCATATCTGGCTTTTTATTTTTCCATATAAGTGTATATTTTATTTTATTTTTGTTTTAAGTGCAATTTTCACATATTATAAAATATTTATTATCATTGTTCTTGACATTGGAATAAAAATAAATTAAAATATATTACTTAATTATTTTTCAAATTATAAAATAAGTATCTTCTAAATAATTTCCCTAAAAATATAAATGTATGGTAATCAAACAGACATGTTTTCATGGAAAACATTAAAAATGTTATGGCAAAAATGTCCTTAATTGATAACACCTAATTGTTAGGTATATGAATTATTATGATATATCATAATTATAATTTTTACATATGGAATTTAATAGTTTTATTTTTAATTGAAGTAGAAAAATAATTAAAATTAACTGTTATTAGTTTTAGAAATTAATTAATTTCTATGTAAAACACAAGAACAAATTTATTACTTGTAATTCACACTACTCAGTATTAATTGCACGTCTTCTAATAACAGTATAGAAGTAGAATTTGCAGGTGAAGGTGGTGGTAAAACAAATAATTTCTGCTTCATCAACCATTCACGATCTTCCAAGTCTATAGTATATTGAAATAATTCTGGATGTTTATTGTACATACGTCCTCCTCTCTGTAAAATGCATACAAATTACTTTCATCAATGTACATGATTGAATGTTAATTAAATGAAAGAACAACATTTCTATAGGTACTAGCTACTAAATAATATGGTAACACTTAACAGTAGTACTTGAATTGCAAAAATATAAGGACATTAAAAAAATAAGATTTCTTGAAATGATTTAAATTCAACCTAACCCATGGGGGACTTCGCTTATCCCCACATTTCCCTTACATCAATTTTCAAAAATAATCAAATATAATCCACTACATTACATTATAACTCAATCTATAGAATATAAATATTTATAAACTAAAAATCATTCTTTAATTAGTTAAATTAATAAGTAGTTTCACATATATACAGAGTGATTAATTTATCATGAACCAGTGATTTCTCAAAGAATTTTAAATGAATTTCATTAAAGTTTTTTCTTTATCATTTTAGAATTATTTAAGTTTTATTTCAACAATATTTTATATGCATTTTATCATACCTAATCTGTATACCTTAATTGAGTATACATTTTGATTAATAGCAACACCACTTTTAAACGGAGTATATTTTTCATAAAAATTTGATAGGTAAAACGCTAATATCAAATTTACTGAGTTGTAGCAATTTACGATTTAGACCAGAAGAATAGAGAAGGGATATGAATTTAAATCTAATAATGTATATGAAATTTATTGCTCTTCCATACTAAATTTTAAACTTTTATAACTCATAAATAATAAATTTAATATAAGTGTTATACATATAAAAATATGTAGAAATATAATATATTATTTATTTAAATATGTGTTCAAAAAGCGAGTGGAGGGGGGATACTTATTTTAAAATCAAAAGTCAATAATCATTTAAATTATATATAGGAGTAACAAATTTAAAAATTAGTTTTAAAATAAATGATTTATGATAAATTAGATCCTTCTATTTATATAAAATAACAATATAAATAGGTTAAGCTTTTTAATATATGTATAATATAATAATATACTACATAATTCTTCATAACAGTTATTGTCCTCTTTATGTATCCTTTTAAATAGCACACTTCATCAAAAGATATTTCTCTTATTTAAGATAATACACATGAATTTAGTACAAAATATTAACAAGAGGTCTAACACATTGAATTAACATAACAGAAGATACTATATGCATTGTTATCAATGTATACAATAGATTTCATTAAGTCCATTTAAAGACATATTTAAGAATATAATATTTTTAATTATTGCATCATTTCTCAATCAGATGTATAACTTAACTCAACTTTACCAAAAAAAAAAAAAAAGTAATTATCATATTATCTCTGCCAACAACAGTTCTTAGATAAATAACTAATATAGTTTTTTGATTTGAAGTTGTAGATTCATCTACAAGAATAAAAGTTTTCCTCGGATTTTTTATGTCATTACACATTTTTCTTCCAAATTCTATTGAAATATGGTCAATTATACTGCTACACGATTTACTAGTAAGAATTTAATTGACCGATTGTGAACCCACAAACATGAGTATACCAATGTAGGGTTGCTGAATTTTATTGCTATACAATAAGCAATTCAGAAAACTTTCCTAGTTGTTTCTTTTTTAAACTTTAAAGTATAAAAAAATTTACTTAGTAAAACTTCACATAAACCTTTAATTGGGTTTATGAATTTGTATGCTTGTGTATTTTCTTCCTTATTGGCTTGCATTTTAAGAACATCTATTTCTACAGTTTACATTTCTCCACATGGAAAGAGGCGAGGATGGTAGTTGTCAGATCTGTTCTTCAAAGACCATAGCATCCATTTACTACTAATCAATTATCATTTATTTTACCACAGAATGCCGCAATGTGCAAATATGTAATACAAAAAAAAAAGATAATCATTTTATAATTGGATGAAAATTTCTAAAAAATATATAATGTGTATAATTTTTCTGTATTAACGATATTTCAGTAAATATTTTTTGAAAATATTATTATTTATTCACAGACATACTTTCCCTCCCACCACTTCAATGAAAAAAGTAGCTATAGTAAAATAATATCAAACAAAAAATGCATAGTATTTAAAGGCTTTCTTTATTTAAATACTCTTGAAAAACATAGGTATTAGGCAGCAATTAAAAATAATCTGCTTAAAAATTGATACCAAAAATAACCAATATTTCAACTGACATAGATAAATTGAATTAAATATTATATATATGGAAAAATAATTTTTCCAAAGTACCATAATATAGTAGGTAATCATTTTTATAAAAATTAGGTACCTTATTAGCTCTAGTAGCCAACACAAATAGTGTTTGAGAATGAATTTTGGTTGGGTCCCAAGCAGACTGAAATTTCACCAATGGTTGATGAGAAGACGTTTGTTCAACAATAGGATTAATTTTATTATCGGCTTCTTGAACAGGCGGCTCTTTACGTTTAAGTAGAGATCTATTCTGCGATCAGAAAATGTATTAAGTATTATTAATTCTAAAATTATCAAACACAACAAAACCCATAGTTACTTTGGAATGTTGCTTTACGAATCGTGATTCTATAAGCATATCTGTAGTTTGGGCAGTATTGAATGGTGAATTACTGCTAGACAATGGTGGATTTGAATACATTAATTTTGCTTCATCTAACATTGTTCGACAAACTTCTCTTATGTGATCTTCAGTAACACAATTTGAACCCAAATTGTTTTTTACATTATCAATGGCTAAGCCAAAATAAGTCTAAACAATTAATTTCAATAAAAATATTGATTGAATTACAATTTAACTGTAAATACATACTGTTAAATATTTTTTTATAACATTATCAATATCTTTGTTTATGGAATTCTGTAAATTTTGTCTTAGTAAATCTAAAGATTTAGCAGCGTTGACCAAATTTTTTGCACGCATTTTGACGGCTTTTGTTGTAGCTTTCTCACTATTATTATTACCATTGGGTACATCTATAATATTAGCAAGAGTAACTTGACGCATATTAAATGTATTTGTCTATAAAAAACAAATTTGGTATATTTAATGTCAAACTGTTAAATACACTCAACAAGAATTATTAGACACATACCCATGGGACAAAATTGTCGCTTGTAATAACTTCCAAATCAAAAACTGGAGCTTGTCGAACAAGTGGTACAGGCTTTGATGACCTATGAAAACTAGTTGGCTGTTGGGTCACCATTTGTTGTATATGTTGATCATCGTTTATATGTTTTATTGGGATTTTATGTACAACCATTTTTTAACATAAACGAAAAAATTAAAATCGTCAAAACTTAGAAAACCTATGAAACAAAATTTATTAATGCTACTGTATAGACAAACAGTAAAACTTACATATTTACTGATAATCAATGGACTATAATATATCTGCGGTATAACACAGACTGACATAAATTAACCACGGTTAAGGTTACCGTGAGTCAAATCTCCAAAAAACGATAACGCCTGATAAGAAATAAATGTTCCATGTAGTTAGATATGATGTAGTAAATTTTACATACTTTTTTAAAATATCTGTAAAATCAACAGTAATTTTACCAAAAATGTGCCAAGAGAAATATTTTATTTTAAAATTGAAACATTGCCTTTATTTCTTATATTTATTGCGAATTGATAAATAAGAAAATTGACAGATAAAGATAATAAACTAGTTACTAGAACGATTTAAGATATAGGTAGGTATATCTTAAACTGTGATTACTAGCTTGCTAACTAGTGATATGACGTAAAGTTATAATCTTCAGTTTGATTAAGTAGGTCAAATGTATGTTAAAATCCCACCAAAAACATAACATTTAATGAATTCAATGGATCATTAATTGGTAAATGAACAAATAGGACCCGGGTCATTTAGATGCCAACCATACCTTTGGTAACAGTGTGGATCTAGCTTTCTCGGGATTAAATTATCTTGCCTCGATCTAAAAGTCCAGATATCGGAATGTTATCATTACATACAATTAGCATAATAGTTGGGATGACGTAGGTATATAGGTGAATATTTTTTTTTAACTTTCAGTGTGATTTCAGTGCCACAATGTATTCAGTTGTCATAAAATTAAAATAATATACATGGTTATATGGCTAAGGGTGAATAGAATTTTTCGAAAATCCAGTACCTATGTAATAATTAAACCGTATGAATAAGTTTTTTACATTATATTAACACTATACCAATTTCATTAAACTAACATTAAGTAAATTAAATTGTATATCATTAGGTATTTGTTATACTTATATTTTTGAATCTATGGCATGACGTTTCTTTTTAAGTTCGAAATTACCTAATTTTTATGGGAGATGAGTCACCGGTAAAGTGACAAAGTATTAATCATTATATCCATTTTTAACACAGCATTACCAATTACAATCAGTAATAAATGTATCCATAAGTTTCCATCATAAATTTATAATCATAGATAATATATTCATAATATATAGTATATATTATCTATGCTTATGATATATAGACCGGGCTTTAGTGAAATATATTGAAGCCAACATATGTGCGAGAGAGACAGATTCTGGTATTACTTTTTAAGGAGGTTATAAGCGATTCTATAATATTCTCAAGTAATATTTAATTGATTACTGATAACGCTATCATCAAGACATAATAAATTTCAAAATTTTAACTATTTTGTATATTATCAATTTCGTTATCCTTATTTTGTAATATAAATATTTATAATCTCGAAGATTATTATATAAATTTTAAATGTTTTATGTAATGCGCGGTGTATATATTCTAAGTTTATGGTCTCGATCACGCGGGATCTATTTGTTATCATATAATTGTACCATATCTCGTCAAAAACATAAATTTGAAAAAGGGGCCAAGTTCGGCAAAAACACAATTAAATATTTATCACAGATATAGATCAAATTTAAATGTTTAAATTATTCATTTTTTCGTGAAGGTAACAATTTTGTATTATTTATTTGAAAATTTGTTTACCTTTTTTTGATGTCTAATTTAAATTTGTGATGAATGATGATGGTTGAAAGCATAGGAATGGCCTATTCATTCTTTATTATCTCTTCTGTATCACGAACTAGTCTGTGGCTATATTTACCATTGTTTTTAATTGTTTTTTAATCTTCCTATTATTGTTGGTATATTGTATTCTTCATAGACATATATTCAAGAAATTCGTTGGTACAAACTGGTGTAAATTTCCCCTTGAAAATCAAACCGATGTGAATTTGAGAAATTTCTCGGAGTAACCGGTGTTAAAATTAATGACACCGGTTTAATTTGCTTGCACCATCACATACATATGGTGCAAACCATTTACACCGGTTTCAACCCCTTTCATTTCCCCCTCGAAATAATAAACGAACAGATAAATAATGATAATAATAATTTAATTAATAACAATTTATACCTATTCAAATTAATTGTTATTCAGTATTTATTAGTGAGAAGTGAGAAATATAGTATAGGTAATACCCTTATAATTTAAATAATTGATTTTTTTTTTTGTATATTATTATCATAGTTAATTTTAAACAATGATAGGAATACATCGATTTTCATCGTTGAATATATTATACAATGGTGTAAAGTAATCGGTATTGAATATTAGTAAACTGGTATAAAATGTATCGGTCACTAATTAAGATATATCTTATTCGTGGTATTGGTACACCGGTTTGTACCAAGGAATTTCTAGATTATGATATTCTTACCACTTGATGAGATAGGAAGTTTATTATCATAAAATGGGATACCCTGTACTAGATGTTGTTATTTCGTTATCACATTTTCGTTTACTGCGTAAATGCATAGATCGTGATTACTGATTATCCAAATTGTGTAAATGTATGTAAGTACGGAAACTGGAAAGTGGTAAATTGTTATACCATTTATACCATCGCTGTCTGTGCGTCCGCCTGCCACTGCGCATTGAACGTGTTCGTTATTTACTATTTAGTATTTGACATTTATATTAGTGATTACACTGGCTGGGTCAATTACGCTTTCTTCCGTTTGTAGTGTTGAGAAGTATTTTTATGGTAAGTAATACTATTATTTACTATTATTTATAATTTATTATTATAACTTAAATTGGAGTTTGATTTATTTCAAAATTTTCTCTAAGTCTTATTCCTTACTTCGGGCCTGTTACAAATTTTGGTGCATTTGGTAGGCTTTTTATTTAAATACAGAATCCAAATCAAATTGAATTTTGAACTTCAACAAATCGGATTCAACGTCATGGAAGGTAACTTCCTCGAGTCTCAGAAATTCTGGCCAGTACAACCTAAATTTGCAACTCCGTGTACAACAGGACCGCGTGACAGTCATACACCAACGAACCAGCCATAGAGGAAATTATCACAGTAGGGGCCAACAACATCGTCCCCTTGTTGTGAGTTTATGTTATACATTGAAGAATTATTGGAAATATTAATTTATTATTATAAATCGAGTTGAAGTTTGATTTATTTCAAAATTTTCACTAAGTCTCATTACTTACCCTAGGCCCGTTACACCTAATAAAACCCGTTTTATGGACACTTACATAGAAATTCTGAAGTTTTTAAGTCGTAATTATATTAGTAGTCTAGTTCATGAAATAATGGATAAGTGACCCCCAGATTTTGAATTGGAACCTTAACATAGAGATTCTGAAACAATTTAACAGTACAAAGATTCTAAATTCTTATCTTGGTTTGAGAATATTGTTGCTCAGGTCAAGGAATCGCTGAGAAATCACTGATGTGACTGGAGCGGAACAAAACTAATTTTACTATGTTGACTTTTATAATAATTTAATGGAGTCAATTATACCTGTGGTCCCAATTCAAAATATGAAATACTACCGAAAGAGTGAGCAATGCTCCAGCAGAGAATTGGTTTGGAGATGTGAAGAATGACAAAAAATATAAATGTTTAAAATGTAGTCGATTTGTAAAATAGACCAGAGAAAATCTTGAGTAGAAGTTAAGTAGTCCTTGATAATAACAAAAAGGAAACAATGTACTGGAAATTGAATGAATGTTAGAGTTGATTTCTTTTGATGATGAAGAGGATAAAGAATATTGGCAACTGTGGTCAGGTTTTCCAATCAAATAAAGACAGCTTAAATTATCTTGTTGGTGCCTATAATTTTATTTAATATATTAGGTAGGTACTGGATTGGTGAAACTTGGATTTGAAGATTATAATGTTCTGTCTGATTTAAGAACTTCAAACACAGACATTGTCACAAAAAAAAACACTTCTAAAAATGTGGTTGAACAATTTTGTAATTGATATATGTGGGTGTGTTAAGAAAATATGTATATCACATTAAGATAGTTTGTTGTAATATTTTATTGTTTTTTTATTATAATGGTTCTCAAAAATAGTTACTTATAATTCTACTCAACATAACTGGAAAATACTGTTTGCTGACTTTTGAAACTGTAATTTTCACTACGTGGAGTCAATGAATGTTTTCGTCTACAGGATTTTATCAAAAGAGCTTGAAAGAAAATTTAAAAAATAGTATATCCTATTCAACTATCCTATTTAACTATGGAGTGTATTGTTTATATTATGCTAAATACATGATGAGAAACTCTAAAAATGTTATTTTTAATCCCACTTTTGATACTAATTATGACACAATGGTGTATAGAACAGAACTAAAAAAAATACTTTTAGAAAACTCAGATTTTATGAGATATTTGATTGTAATGTGGTAAAATTCAGATACATATTATTATTTTGTAATTGCATGTTATTTAATATGGAAGATGTATAACTTTTATTAAATAAGTGGATTAGGCCTATAAGGGGACACCACTTGGAAAAAAAACGCGCCATTTGCAGTACCTCAAAGTTTTCAAACTAAGGTGGTGAGGAAATCTGCATAATGTTAATAAGAGAATAATATATTAACAACATGATTTTTTTAATCTTTTGGTAAAATATGAAGAAAACTGAAAATCATAATTATATCTGTTAAAATATTAAACATTATCTACAAAACAAATTATAAGGTAAAAATATACAAGCATTAATTTTAACTATACTTGTAATATTAATACACTGTAAAATTTGAATTTTTCAGATGACTGTTAAATGATAATGACCTTAACAGTGTGTTCATAAGACCATCATGGAGTTGGATAACTTGAACAAGCAATACTTAAATACATAAAATGGGTAATAGTTACTTACTTTATAAGCAATTTACTTTGATAAATTAAATGTAAATAACAATAATATCTTAGAGGTACATTATATTATACATTTATTATTGGACATTATACTGGTAAATTTTTTATACATAATTTATTTGTTTGTGTACACATCTGAGTGTTGATAAATATATATATATCATGAAAAATCTTAGAAAAAAAACGAAATATAATAATAATTAAAAAAGGACTGACATATTTCACATGTGGGTGCAACCACTGTTATCTGTGAAAAGTTGGTAAGGTAGGCTACAGACGGTTTAACAGGTTTAAAGACAATTTAATGTATATCTGTAAGCAACAATAAACTATTGCTAACGAAAAAAACGAAAAGAGTCGAGATTAATTGATAATGTTGCTTCGTCAACAATACAATATATGGTATTATGTCATGTTATGGTAAAATGATTGAAACTATGTGCGTTTCCATGACAACAATTTTTTAAAAAAGATTAAAATAATAAAAACTTAATAACAAAAATTAAATTAAAACAATTGTCAATGACAATCTTTTTTTTTAATCTTTCAATCTTTTTTAACCTAAGAGAGATTTTCCACATTATCTCAAATATTAAATGAGAATTTCAAAAAATGAACCCTTTAAAGTATCACCCAAAAAAAATTTCCTTTCAGAAGAGGTCTTATACTTGATAATCAAAGTGTGCTTTCTGGTAGAAAAAGTGTTCACATAAAAAATAAAATAAACATCATTGTAAAACCAATACATTCGTCATTCTAATCAGAATTAAAAATCTATAATAAATACAGTAGAAACCACTTTTTAGGAACACTGATAATTGATACAATCGCGTTAATTAAACAAAATGTATATTAAAACCAATAGTTTATTAGTAACAATCGGTTAATTGACACATTTCATGTCAGTCTTGAAGTGTTCCTAATAAGTGGCTTCTACTGTATATAATAAGTTATGGAATAACGGCATAGTTAATTTCAGGGGGTGGTTTTGGGGGGCTAAAATCACTCCCAAATTGACTTCCGTAATTTTAACCTTGTTTTTATATATTATATTTAAATATAAAAATAATGCTTGAAATCTTAACTATTCTTCCAGTATCAACAGCGACAGCATAACAACTTTTTTTAAGTTTATGTCGCATAAAAACATACTTAGGATCAACTACTGGAGAAAACTCTGACTCACAAGATTAGCTCTTCTATCAATCTATAATGACATACCAGTAGACCTAGATAAAGTAGTTTCAAAATTTGTTTCATCTTCAAATTGGATGTAATACATACTAGTATAAACTATGAAAAATACTGGTTTCTAAAAATATGTTTATTTTTTTTGTTATTACTTTTTACACTTCATAGGTGCTAATTTTATTATTTATAGTTAACACTTTATAAGGTTAACTATTAAAATGTGTTTATAATATTTAACAGTATCATAAAAAGATTACAGGTTTTTATGTATGCGTACAGATTTACTATTTTATGTACATTTTATAAAATAATTAAGAAATATTATTTGAAAAATAAGCTTTTAAACAATGTAAATTACGATTTAGAATTATAAAACTTATTTCATATGTTTTGGCTTTATTTTATTATCAGGTTACTGATAAAATAATGCAGAATAGTTTGTATATATATACATTTAAAAAGAAACAAAATAAAATATAAAATTACCATATCAAATCAGATATTAATTATTTATTCACAAATATATGTAATATAATATGTACAAACAAAATGTTGTTTAGAATTGTTCTTCAATTAATATTATTTAAAGGTGGGTTAACTATGGAAATTGTATATCAAAATCATCTTCAATTTTAACATAATTATAGTTATTGGCACATAATTAATCACAATTATATAATGCCATGAATACTTACAATGTTTTGTGTTGCTCATGTAAGATAAATATTATTAATATTGGAGCCCTAAAAATTGCTTTAAAATTTATATAACAATACAATCATAACTTATTTCTAGAAGTATAAATTGTAGAGTAAAAAATATGTAATATGAATTTCCTACATTGTTTTTGTACTCTTTATAATTTAGTTTAGCAACTGTTTCAAATCTTAGGAACCCGCTAATATTAGCCAATATTTTTAAATCTACATAAACATCAGTCTTTTATCAAAAGTACAATTACTGTATTTTGTTATATTTGTATAAATAATATTTATATATATATGATTTGTTTTTCAAACAATTGAAAAAAGACAATTTATCAAATAGTCAAATAGTGATTCGGATATAACATATTATTAATGTCAAAAATATAGTAAAACTGATTCAGTCTTCAATATCATAGGAATGTAATAATAAAATGACACATTATATCTTTTATTTTTAATATAGAAATGCTTACTGCATATATTAAATACAACTGGAAGGATGAAAAATCTTTAAAATGTTCATTTAATGTATAGAAATGTCATTCTTTGGAAATTTAACAAAACTTCTAAGTAAATTATCTTTAAATTATTTATCAATAATTAATTAACTATGACTATAATTCATTTTTAGTGTTGAGAATATGGGAGAATCATGAGGTCACTATCTCCGGTGCCTTCTCCTAGAATGGAAAGTAATTTATTCAAAAAGACAAATATGCAAATAGAAATAATGTTTTCTTGACATCCTTCTTCAGGTACAATAAATAATTTTAATGCAATAAAATATATATAATTCTTATTAATATATTATAGAAAACAATACAAAGTTGAGACATGTATGGTAGGGAAATTATAGATTGGAGACCAGATGTTGCTGTTGGAGAGTATTCAAATACTGATTAGACTTCAATGATATGTTGAATAAAGTAACATTGTTCTTAAAATTGTATACAAGAAAGTTATAATTATAGAATAATTTCCTATAGATATTTCAAAATCTAAGCATGGCAGAAGATAATTTTGCTTTTAGATCTAGTACCAACCAATATTAATTATGGTAGTATGTCAAGTGTTAGAAAGTCATGTGTCATAAAGTCGAATATCATAAATTTTAGTCTCATAAAAGTGATGTATTACAAAAATTATTTCTCATAAAAATCATATATTAGAAAAGTTACATCTCATAAAATTGTTATAAACAAAAACCACAGACAAAATTAAATTTATATGTTATAAAAATAAAATACAAATAAACCTAACCGAACACAGGAAAATTGTAATTATTTCTTATCATTTATTTGTTTATTGGAGTATGTACTGATGAGTATGATGACTAATATTGTTCCTTATCGTTTATTAGTTTCATCTATATTTTTAATTAGTGAAACGCAATACCTGGTTTATTATTTTTCATTTATTGTACCTACAACATAATTAAAATTTATATTATTTAAGGTTTATACAAATTGGAATACAATAAGAGCAGAAGGAAACAGAAGTTAGCATAGAACGTTTAATAACATCATTTTATTAATATTTAATTTTTATAAAATTAAATTGTATAACAAATTTTAATTTCTCTGTGCTTTTTATTTTTATAACTCATATTTATAACATTTTATACTTTTATAATATGATTTTTATGAGAAATAATTTGTATAATACATAACTTTTATGAGACTTAAATTTGTGATATCCGACCTTATGACACATGACTTTCTAACACTTGACCTAGATTCATTAATTATTGCTCTGTGGTGTTTTCAGACATGTTAAAATTTTTGGTTTATTATCAAAGAATTAGTTTTGTTAAGTTTTTTATAGTTTACCTTTGCAAATTTAAATTATTTGACTAACATATTTTAATTGATCATATTCTCATTCATTATAAAACTTTCAATTGTTATAAAATGTACTAATTAAATTATTTGTTTTCAAATTAGTTGACAAGTATAACATAAATATTATTTTATTATTTTGGGCCTTGAATTTACCAACAACTTATGTATATGATAAGCTCCATGCATATAGATTATTATGCTAAATTACACTAAATAATAACAGAGATGTATCATTAAAACTAAAATATGTCACACAATTTTTCAAAGTTCTACATTACGGTCCTTATTTAAGAATAAGTAAATAAAATATTAGACTTGATTTTATAGATGTTGCTAATACAATACTAAAAAATAGGCCTTGAATTTTTGTCTTATCAATTACCAGGTTTTACATTATTAATATTGGATTTTGTTTGTGCCTATAATGAACTCCTTAGTGGAACAAATTTTAGTAAGGTTATAAATAATACACGGTTTGGTTTTTGTAACAAAAATAATAATTACAATTGTTTATAAAAGCATTTATTTTATATTTAAGTATTATATTTCCTTTATTCTTCATTAACTTTTACTCGCATCGTTTTCCAGTGAGTTATAATATTTTATAATTTTTATTAGGCACCATGTACTGAAGCCGTGTCTATATTTGGAACATTATTATGTTTTGCGGCTAATCTTACCAAAGTACCTTATCTTAAATTTAATTGCCACCAGTTTCTAATTACATTTGTCCTAATATCAAAGTGAATTAAAAATAGATTACTTTATATTTTATTAAACAAATTAATAATTAATATTTTTTTTTAGGATACTGTAATAACCATTATATTAAAATTAGCTAAAAGAGAATCTTCTGGATTAGTAAAGTGTATTTCTTTATCTAATTTGGGTATTTTTGTATGTCAAGAATTAAGTAAACCTCACTCTTTTCATCCTAATGTTAAAGAAGCAATTATCGCATGGCTACTTGCTTTACAAGCAAATATCAATGTAATTACTAAAACAACATTATAATTATACACAGTAATTATTTTTAATTATTTATTTCTGGTTGAAAAATGAGAAATTTTCTCAAGTTGTATGTAATTGTGTAATGTGATTATTTGATTATGTTCCAATTTTGTTGACTTATTATTGAGATATTCCGCCATCAATGCTTGAGTTAATTCAAATTGTTCTATAGAAAAATTTGTAAGCAATTGACATGGCTTGTACCATTATGTAACAATGTTAACTATATTTATAAATAATGCTTAACTTTTTTTTAGATATTTTCTGCAGCCTTGTCAAATGCAAACCTTGCCTCTTAGGGATAAAAATAAACGTTTACTAACAAATCTAGTATTTTGTTTGACTATATGTTTGTCAGTCTTGACTTTATTGGAAACGTGGTCTAAACAATAACAGTTTTTATGGTATGTTTTATAAACTTTTTATTTAAATGTTGATTTCTCTTAAAGAGTTAAATATTTAATGAAATATGTCTAATAAGATACTTTAACTGTTTATATTAAGATTTATAAACTATGATTAGGAATTTAAAACTGTACTATCTCAATTGAAGTTATTGATGCTTTAAGTAGAACTTGTAATTAAAATATCTATGTTAACTGGAAGATAATGTGCTACAGTATCTGAACATGATGATATCCTTAATTTTGTACATAAATAGGTACAGTTGACATATTTTCTGTACCAAAGATTCATGTATTCCTGTTTAAAATATATATATTTTATAATTGAATATTCTTTAAATTGTATTCTGGAAGACAATATTGTGCGTATTTTGAATATTGACAAAATCTATACTTCAAACTACTACTGTAATATACAAACTGATTAAAAACAACCAGCTATTATAGATTTAATCACGTGTGCTACAATCACTAGTGAGTAGGTATAGTGTATTGCTTTGTAAATAAATTGTATTACTTTGAATTTCAATGTGGTGTTAATGAATGAACAGAAGTCTGGTTAATGTTAGCGTCAATTAGTTTGAATTTCATCTTAAAATTCTGTGAGAATAATAAAACTATTGTAAGTTAATTGATGAACTTACAATGTAACTAACATGTACTCACTTTACATTATAATATTAAATTGTTCACCTGATTTTTCAATTTTTGAAAATCATTCAAATTTGTTTATAAATTAAATTATTTTTATCATAGCACCTAAAATGTATTTAATTTAATTTTGTATTTTTATAATTTTCAATAACTTCAAAATATATAATGAAAATGTATAATAATTAGATACATAAGTTAATATTTGTATTAACATTAACTAATTATAAAATTTACTGTAATCTGTAATTATATATTTTCTATTGAAATAAAATTAACAAAATATATTAATATCAAATTATAATTTGTATACAATATAATTGCTTTTTTTATAACTTTTAAAATTATATCTATTATACCTATTGTCAGTATATTTGTATCATTATTAATGATTAAGAAATATTGAAAATATTATTTTAATCTAGCAATGCATTTTCAAAACTTAATTAAGTCATCTTGTGTACAGGGTAAACAAGAATTATTACAATTAAAGAATTCCATAAAATTTACCTACTTTTTAATTTAATACCTAACTAATGTTATAGGTTATTTAGTTACAAATATTTGAATGCAGAGTATCTACCTAATTCTAATATATCTAATATGATAGTCACAAGTCTGGAAAAACTGGAAATATAAGGAGATTTTAAAATAACCAGGAAAATCAGTTTTTCTGATTTTTACTGGAATTTTAAAATATTATTTTTGACATTTTTAATATTTCTAAAAATCGCTGCAATAAAACTGTAGTGTTGTTATTTCCTTATAACATAATAGCTAGTTAATAGGTAATTATGAAGAGTGACACAAATCTAATTGTGTTCTGATAGACAAATTATTAACTGTTATTTGCAACAGTGACATAAATCTAATTAGGACACTGGTATTGAACAAATAAGAGAAATTTATATAATAGTTGCATAGCAAGTTTTGAGGAAAATCGTCATAACTCAAAATAGGGATGAAAATTTCACAATTTTCAAAGTTTATTCTTAATGTTATCAAAACGAACATTTTATTTTATTGTTAGGATGCAAGGTAAACAGTTAAATTGATTTTTAAATGTAAACAATCTAAGATTGTGATAAGTTATATAAGAAACAAGACATTTTTAAACCTCTGTACTGAACAATTTTCATTTTTTGAAATTAAGTCACTATTCTTGTGCACCGACGATTTTATTAAATTAAAAAATAATATTGTGTTGGTGTACCTACCAATTCACTAGCGTTCTTCATCTAGACTCAAGATTGAAAAGTTTCGGTGTCAAAAATATACACGCCATTAGAGCCTGTGACAGTGAGTTCTAAATTTGTTTACTTCTCATTTCTTCTCTAGTATTCCAGTAGGGAATAGATATTAGGTACACAAATTTCAAAAAAACGAGTTTTCGCTTTCACGTAGGATCATTCGCGTTCCCAACAGAGAACCCCATTGTGGTGTCGCGAATGCGATGGCCACATGATAGCGCCCATTGTAGAAAGCAAACTTTTTTCTTCTAAATTGTAGCATAAGTAGGTACTTAATGAACTACGAACAGTTAATGAACACAACTACACAACATTGATAAATGAAATCTAACAATTAAAATAAATAACAGGTAAGTGTGTAGTTAGATATGTTCAAAAATATTGATAGCAATGACATTTTGATTATTTTTGCTGATTAAAGCATATATTTGTTAATAAAATGTTAATTATTTTTAAATTTACGTTATTTAGTATTTTTTTTTTTTTTATTCTAATTTAGACATATCCATATTTTTATTAATAATATGCAAGACTGGACATTAACGAGTTAAAAGATAAAATTAACTTAATTAACTCGTTACTTTTTTTACAAATTAACTTTTAACTTAATAAGTTACGAAAGAATAATGCAAATTATTGAATGAGGTTTTTAATAGACTTATAATTTACTATTTTAATATGAATTCCATGTAGACGAAAATAATATGAAAAATAACATAGTCATAATATGGGCTATATAATATCTACCTACACGTTTATCATTATCAATTGTATTACTAATATTTTCAAAGGTAAGTAATAAAGATTATCGCTTTGATGGGTTCCCTGATGTGGATGTCAAATGTTGTCGTGAACGTTTTTCCATTATTAAATAAATGAAATAATCGGCAAGTCCGAATTTGGTTCCACAATAATTAACCAATAAGTAATAAAATTATAAGTATACCATCATGTGTCAACCTTCGTAACATAAATTTATCACCCGTTCAATATTTTTGCTTGGCATTTAATGCAATTTATATACAATGTATATTTCCCTTAAACTTTTACAGATATGGGTGAATAGTTTTGTATATACAGATATACTATATAATATTAAAATAAAGAGTAAAGATAATATAATATTATTGTTCTTTGTATGTACTTAACGTAAATAAGATTACCTGAATTTTATATTGTGATTTATGCCTCTGTTCGTTTTATTTTTATAACATTGTTATTGTATAAACCCATGGAAATCCACAGAATATTTTGTGAAAATAGTGAATGCCGTGATAGCGAGTGTCGATGGGGACTAATCACAAAACAACTCTGGTATAATTTCCAATTTAGTTATTTAGTTATTATCCAACCAGCATGTGTTCAGTTCAAATGTCGTTAGAATTTATAATATATTGTTGTTAGCTGCTTATTTTATTTCTGTGAAAGTTTATTATTTCTTTATTACCTATTTTATTTATTTAAAACTAAAATGTCTGAAGACCATTTGAAGTGACCTTATTTAAAAACTTATTTCGAACAACTATCAGAATCAGATATAAATGAAAAAAAAAATCAAATTTTACATTCAAATGCATGCAATGCATGCCAAAAATAAAATTAATATCAACTTCTATAAGTACAAATTCAAATTTAAAAACTCACATTAAGGCAAGTTTATTTATAATATATATATATCGTTCCACATGCATATCGGACAATTATAATTGTAATTATTCGTGAATTTAGGAGAAAATATCCGGTTAATGTTAAAGTGCAACTGCCTGTTATTGTTTAATTTTTTTCAATAGTATCAAAATAAATTATTATATTATAGTGAAAGTACCAATTTTACAACTTTTGTAAACAACTCGGAAATTTTTTTTTGATCAATAGTGTTTTTAAAATGTTGAAGTACTAGCTACCTAACTACCTGTTTTAAAAAAATTTGCATTAATTGTTTTGATTTTTGTAATTTAACAATATTATCTAAAGTAAACCTAAAACTTGTAGGCATAAATTATGTAATTTTGCATCAAGTATTGAAAAATAAGTAGATAAATTTAAAAGTAAGCGATTTTTATGAGTTTTATATTATTGAAATAAATACCTATATTTTTAGCACGTTCATCCAAGTGAATTAATTAAATTTAATGAGCTTGGCAAAAGGAAGCAGTACAATAATTACAATTGTACTCGACCCAAAAACAATTGAAATTATTGGAAGTAAAAAAAACTGAACAATTTTAGTCAAACAGAATTTGATAAGACTAACTAGAACTCATTATAAATACTTTGTCACCTTTTTCTTTGATTGGGTGTTCACCCTGCATTTATAAAATATTGGTCACTTAACATTGAATAAAGTTCCTATGTCCAGAAGAAGTTTGATGAGAAATGTAAGCTCATTGTTTAATGATATGATTCAACAACTGAAGACTGAACTAGAAAAAATTGAATATGTTTGCATTACTTCAGATTATTGGAGTATTTTATACAGGTAAAATATTAATTTTAAATTATCAAAAAAACTAGATTTTTAATTGTCATTTAATAATAATATTAAAACTATATTTACAAAATAAATATATTGTAGATCATATATGGGTTTTACAATTCATTGGCTGAACCCAATTACATTGGAACATAATTCCTGTGCACTTGCTGGTAGACGTATGTTAGGGAGGCATACATACGATAATATAGCAGAAATAATTGAAAAAGTTCTTACAGAATTTGATATATAGTCTAAAACTACTCACTATTGTCACTGATAACGCAGCAAATTTTGTAAAAGTTTTTAAGTAAGATATATATTTTAGAATTGCCTATTTGTATTAGTTATGAATGTTATGATTTATAATAATGTATTTTAACGAATTCATTAAGCTATGATTGTTGTACACCAAAATTTTAAATTTTATTTAAAATAGTAATTTACAATATATACAGTTTTTATAATCAGATTTTATTTTATCTCTTTCAACAGTATAAAAAATAGTAGAATTAATTAATCTCTAAAAGCTGGTGTACGATCATAGTTTGTTTTTACTTTTTTTAATATATACTAATTGTATATATTTATATATTGTTATTTTTTGTAATAGTTATTCATTTTATTATTATAATTACAATTATTATTACAAGTTTTTCAATTTATATTTGGTGCTGATAATGAAATTGACAATAGTGGTTATAATACTGAAATGTGTGAACTGAAATTGAAAATGATGAAATATTGAGAACCATAAATATCACTGAAATACTTAATGGTCAAATTGGTCAAAATATAAATGATATATTAGATATAAAATGACCGAAACATTAAAGATGTGCAGCGCACATATTAAATTTAATTGCACAGTTGATATTCTAGAATCAGAAAAAGATAATTAATTTAAAGTACTTAGTAGACGTGTGTTTGCTAAATGTCAATCTATTTTCAATAAGCAGAATCAATCGACACAGTGTGCTGATAAAATTAAAGAAATTCTGGGAAGTTAATATTATTTAAATTTTAATACTTTAAAATTGAATATCATGTATTATGACTTAAAAGACTTTCATTATTAATAATAAAATAAGTTACTATAATTTTCAGATGGAATTTGTTCTACGATGCCATAAAATGTATTGTTGACCATATAGATAAAATGGATATAATATTCACAGCATTTCAATTAACTCCTTTCTCAGGTCAAAGAGAGTCTTCATTTTTAATCAAATACTGCAAGGTAATGTATTAGTAATTATAAAAATGATAAGTATAATAAAAGAAATATAATAGTTTTATATTAAATTTACTAAAGAAAAATTTTTTTTTTCTTATTAATTTGTCACTACTCTGAGTAAAAGGAATTGAGAAGGAAATTAAATTTTTCTTCAACTGGATGTATGACACTTATTATTTTGTGATCTTATGTTTTACAAGGTGAACAACATATGTGTATTGGATATCTATTACCAACAATTAAAAAATGGATTAAAAAAAGGTACTTTTATAAATTTTTATAATAATCATTAGAATTCAATTAAAAAATGATATATGTACGCCAATGCTATTCATAAAAATTAAAACTTATTTATTTAGTTAAAATGGTACAAAAATGTTTTACAGAACAGTTTCATAAATAGTATTTATATTATTATTACCCTATGTCGCCCATATATCTATATATTTTAAATTTATAAATAACAATGCACTTGTAATATTTAACGATTCTTAAGTTAAAACTGAATTATATCATTGTATGTTACATAGTATATTAAATATACATTATATTTTCAGGTTTAAAAATTACATGCAGTCAAAAACACTATAGGTTTCTTCCACATTGGTATCAAAGTTTAAATTAATTTGGGCTAATCCTGAAGACAGAAACATCATAAAACAACAGGTTATTGATCGTGTGCATTTTCATTTTTAATCAAAACAAAAATCTTTCTTCTCTTAGTTCTTCAAATCTTGAAACAAACAGTAAAGATGAAGATGGTTTTTTCAGTTTTTCCAATGATGAAATCTCAGTCGTTAATTCTGATTTCCAAACTTAAGTAACTAATTATTTATCAAATAATAACATTAAGGTACCATTTGATTTAACACTTGAATTTAAAAAAGCTTATATAGAATTTAATACAGCTTAAATACAGTTTAATACCATCATCTGCACCTGTAGTGAGATTGTTTAATGCTGGTGGTCATTTATTTGACAAAAGGAGAGGATCCATTTTGATTAAAATTTTGAAATGCCTCTTTTGTTAAAATATAATAAATATTTTCAATAAAAATATAAATTATATTTTAAATAAATGTCATAAATTATCATAAATGAATTAAAATTTTTTAATTTTGTGATTTCAATTTTTGATAGGATATTCAATAATTCCTAAGTAACCCACGGTACTTTCAAACAACTTTTAATAGTTTAAAGAAATTACTTATACAAATTATTTCATACAGTGAAAATGGGCAATTTAACCAATTTTGGGCAAATTTTAAAAGTTTTTATGATATCTGGATTTTTAAAAGAGATTGGATAGAATATAAGTAAGTGGACGATTTTTAGAAGTCTAACTTTGAAGTTTTCGAATACATTCGTTGATTTTTATATAAATTTTCAAAATCGTGTTCCTATTTACTCAAAGTTGGGGCTAATAGAAATAAACATATTTTTGCTTATGTTTTTCTTTTCTACCAAGTTGAGGGTGGATAGAAACTTAATATATAGTTTTAAAAACATTTAACTCTATCATCTAACATCTTTTGTGGATATACTTATTTTTAAAATTAATAATAGGCATAATAATGATCACAATATTAGTCTTGTAGTTAAAAATTCGTTGATGGAAATCAAAATCTTTTGCCTCCCCCCTCCCCCCTTAACAAGGCTCTGTCTGCTCAAATTTGATTATACCACGATTTTAATTTGTTAATATCCTTAAACATATACTTTTATATTTTAGTTTAAAATGATAAACAAAAAAAAAAAAAAAAAAAGTAATTATATTCAAAATTGCTAAATTAGATTTATACTATAAAAATCATTTATTTTTCCTAAACTACTTGTATATTTGATGATTTTAAAAACTTTCTAAAGGAAATCTATTAATAATTATTATATTTTCTAATTATTGCATTTATTTAGTATATATTATATGGTTTTTGAATTTAAAATAATCATGCAGTTAATTACATATATGTAATATATGTAGTCCATAGTAATAATTGTTATTTTATTTCTATGGTTTGGCGATATATTTTTCTTGTGAATAGTTGAATATTATTTTTAAACACCATCCGACAATATAGCTAATATTATTGGAAACTAATTTTAGATTCTGATTGGTTTTACAAAGATGTTTATTTTTTCTTCTTTTTTTATATTGTTGACAAAAATTGTACCAGAAATCTTGCTCCGATGTATATAATGTAGACACTTTTCTGAAAAGAAATTTTCTTGGAGTGGTACCTTAAGCAGATCATTTTTGGATTTTCTCCGGAGTTTTCTTATCAAATAAGAAAATCGAAAAAAAAATCCGAGAAAATGTACGAAATGTAGGTATTAGTTAATACTATTACAAATATTACGGCCTTCTTTTTTTCTGTAAATAACTTTTTACCAGCAATTTTGCTCCGATTTACAATGAAAGCATTTTCTCTGAAAGGAAATATGATTGGGAAGGTACTTTAGAGAGGTTATATTATCAAAGAATTTTCCCAGCAAATGTGAAAAACCGGGAAAATTAAATCAATGTTGAACAAATATTGTTAAAGAAAATATATAATGCTTATTTAATTATTTTACCATAATATGACATAATGTATATATTGTTGAAAAAGCATCACTATCAACTGAAATCCGCTCAGAATCGTTTTTTCGTTAGCAATGGTTTATCGTTGCTCACAGATGTACATTAAATTTTCCCCTCTACTTTCCCAACTTCTCACCTACAACAGTGGCCCACCCATGTGTGAAGAATGGCTTTTTTAAATTTCGATTCTGCATTTTATTAAACTTATAATTGATCAAGATCCTGCAAGTTATTCATTATTAACGGGTATACATTTTGTTTCTAAAAAATGAAATCAATCTTCAGGCAGTAAAAAGGCAGGGAAGAAAACTATATGCAGTTTTAAATTATTATTAGGGACTAAATTTGGACTCGTTGAAAACACACAGACGCAACTCATCGGATGTTTCGTGTGAAAATCTCACGCACGCCACTTGGATAAAATATCATTGTTGGATGCAATTATAATGACTTTTACTTCTAATGCCATAACCTTAAGGACGAGAAGTTATAATAGAAATCGTTATATTTTTAGTTATTATTATATCTATATGCGATCCAAACATTTGTTCAATAAATATTAATCTAGTAAGATTATGTGTGGATGTGTGATTATTTTTTCTTTTTATTGGTATTATTATTTACCCCCAAATATAAATGCGTTCCTAATTAATTGAAAGAAATTTCCTTATTTTGTTTTTTTTTTTTCTGAACGCATTCTCGTAGTAAACACCATCACGTACTTATGCCTATAAACTCGAAAATATTTTTGATCAAACTAAGTATTAGGTAAAACTATTTTTCATAATACTTTATGGATATTGTTAAAAATAGCCATACAAAATAATAATAATTTTACCGTGGTTTTTATATTGATAATTAAATGGGTATGACATATTATACAAAACATCAAGGAGGGATTATATATAATATATAATGCAGTAGTGCACACAGAATTTTTTTTCGGGAGGGGTTTTGTTTATAATAATTTTTTAGGAAGGGGATATCACATATTATTATATGTACAGTAACTATCGCTAGCTATTATTAATGAATAAATGATTTTTGATGAAATTAATTTTTTTTTTTTTATTTTGTGTTACACGATATTATGTTCTTGAATGTAAAACTTGATTTATAAAAAAAAAAAAAAAAAAGTAGCGAAGGAAAACATTTCGGGAAGGGGCGATTTTGTCTCCATAACCCCCCTTCTGTATGCGTCACTGTTATATTGTCCTCCGGATCTTCCCACCGTCAATACGCCGCCGTTGCTTCCGTAAAACCTATCCACACGCGACTTAAATTTGTATGTTATAATATTATGAATTATAATAATAAGACCTCGGCGTACATCGATATCATTTAAATAGGTTATTATAATATATATATATAGGTATAATAGTTGTATACGCGTTGTACTACACCGGCTCGTATAATAATATTTAGATATATGCTATCATACCTGTACGGCACCAGGGGGCGCGCGATAATATCATTGTTGGGGGGGTGGGGTGGAGCGAGGGAGGCGTGTCCGGGGCGCCGTAGTCCGCGCTATTGGTCGCCGTCGGGTGTCGGCCCCCTTTCGGCGGCGCGGCGCCCGGTTCATCGCCGTCGCCGCCGCAGCCGACGACGCCGACGGCTGGCGTGTCATTCGAGTCCGCGTCCGTCGGCCGTAACAGCACCGCAGCAGTCCGCACATCGCCGCGACCGTCGCGCAGCACCGTACCGCACCGTTCCGGCCGCGCAATCGCCGCAGCCAGTGTCCGCCGAAACCGTTTGTATCGTGCCGTCGTCGCCCAGTTCACAGAAACAAAATTATCGCGTCGAATTCGCCGTACCGCGGGTAAAATATAATTAATAATTAATTGCACGATTCGTACGCAAGAGTTTTACTCGTTATCGTGGTTTTTTTTTCACCCGTCTGCCGTCGGTTTTTTTTTTTCATTTTCCGCGACTAGAATCGTGCCGTATACCGCGAACGCGCTCGCTGGTTACCGTAAACTGTTGTTGTTTAAATCGTTCGCGCATAAATACCCGACAAGGGGAAAAATACCGAGCGCGATCATCCGCAACGATACATTTTCGGATTTCGAATTTTTCCCGTATTCCGTTCACCGTCCACCCCGCGGGCCCGGTCGAATCTGTTCAAAATTGGCCGAGTCAAGCAGAATCCCGTTCGTGTGGCCGCCGGCGAAACGGCTGCGAACGATTTGGTAAGCATAAAAAAATTGTATGTATATTATTACCTATTATGTATTGTTTTCTGGATTTGTTTTTAACAACCAATAAGTGGTTTTATTTTTATTCCCTCCCACCCACCCATTATTTTTTCGTCGACAAAATCGTATTATTGGTATGATATTAATATTATAACGATCGTATTCGTTTTGTAAAAATAATAGTTAATAATAATAAACAATCAATCTCCGAACGAATATATTATTTCGATTTGAATACATACACCACATAATAATAATGTTCTCCTTTATAACTCCTACTAACGCTGTTTTAGTACCCTAGAGGGCGCCAAACGCGATGTATTTTGAAAAATTGTACACTCGTTTCGTGTATGTGTTTTTCTTTTTAAGTATAGGTACCTAAATAATATTATTATAGCATAGGTTTAGGTATGCATTCGAATAGGTACTTTGTTTAATGAGAATACTCTCATTATACCTATATAATATTACTGGGTATTACAATTTATAATATTGAATGGATCGACATTTTATTATGGTACGACGTAGGTATCATTCATAGATAATCAACTTCACGTTTATAGTATATAATGGGAGCATAATAATAAACATATATTTTAATTTATCTCAGTTATCAGAGAAATTTAAAATTCTATATATATATATATATATATAAGCGTTATATATTACTACATGTAGGTCAAGTAGCTTATAAAAAAAAAATATAACATTTCAATATTACAGGTATGTATACACTTGTATTACCTATATTATATTCCTATAAGTCGTATTACCTACGTATATAATGTATGTTGTATGTATACAATGTGTACAATAAACAAAATTTAAAATCAATTTTTTTTTTTTGAAAACTTTATTATAGTATATAAGTACGATATATTTAGATAAATCTTTATAAAGGGTTGTAAATTACGTACATACTTACATTGTTATTGTGGCGATGGTGTTACGAGAATAAAACTAAGTTTATAATAATATATGCGTAAAAAACGTGTTGTACAATTTTATACTATTTCGTATTAAAAATATATACGTAACTGTTATAAACAAGACTTCAAATGTAATTTTTATCATATGCTTATAATGTAGTTATAGGTAAGTGTTACGAGTCTGAAATATTGATTTTTTTTTTTATTCTTATTAATTTAGCCTCATTTCTTCATAATTATGTTCTATAATAATATAATATATTAATTGTTGATGCGAGTCAAGAAAACTATTATGATTCAAAGTAGGTTATAATAAATTGTACAGTACCGATACATTTATTATTATTTCTTTTACATTTCGACTAATTTGTATGCAATTTTCAATACAATTATTACGACGAGAATATGTAGTAGTGAAAATATGTTAGTATGAAAAATAGGCAAACAATGCCCAATAAAATTCTACAATCGAGCTCCCTGGGTTAAAGTAAGGTAAAAAAAAAAAAATAATTTTAAATTTTATCAATCAAATTCATTTTTTAACTAAAAAAACCACGTGCACCCTGCAGAGCGCAAAAGCGCGTGTTCAAATAAATATACTTACGGGATAATTTCAACGTGGAAATCTTGACGCACGATTGCTCGATGTGTACACTCCTTTAAAAAAAAGAAATTGTTTAAGCCCGTGAAATATTTTATTATTATTTGGATATTACTCTGTAACTTATTAATAAAAAGTAAGGAACGTGTTGGTTTTACTATAATGATGTATTTTATTTTTTATTTTTTGTGTTTGTTAACAATTTGTTTTATTAGAAATCTTCCTAGGTACAAAAAAAAAAAAAACTATAGGATTTTCCTTGTAGCATTTTTGATCTAGTTGGTGAGGTCATTGATGTTTTCTTGATAAATTAGTTATATAAGCCCATCACATAATGGGTTTTATTTGGTTGCCATCGACAAAGCGTTACAGACGGAACGTGGTTTTCATATACAAAATTTGAAAACTGGCAATTTTCTTATGCGATTTTTGTTGATATATCTAGGTTAACTTGAATACAATGAGATTAATTATACTCTGCTTAGAATCATTTTTCGTTAGCAATGGTTTATCATATTGTATGTACACTGTACACTATTTATTAATGTATTTCTATTGTACAGTTATAAATTAAATTACTCTAAATACATAATAATCCTCACTTACAACTTTCCTCCTAAAAAAGTGGCACACCTATCAGCAATATCGCCGTTTTTACATTTTTACAGTACATAATTATATGCTTACTTGCATTATTAATTTACTAAAATATTTTTCTATCACTCGATAGTAATAATAATAACACGCGTTTTATTTAATACATTTTAATACATCGTATTGGAATACTGTTGTTACCTTTTACTGTGTGTCCGTGTATTCAAACAGATATAGTTCTGGATATTCAATATGTAAGTATACTATTAAAGCGCCCAAGACTATATAAAGTAAAAGCATCTGATACAAGTAAACTGGGATTTCGGACCGGTAATAACATGTTTTTTCAGTGTTGTCCGGCAATTTGCTCTCCAATTCTTTATAATTTGTAATAAAACATAAAATAATAACCATTGTAATATTTCCGTCGTAATAATAATTTTTAGGGTATATTATTATGGTTATAGGTATTTACTTGTTTTATCATAGTAATGATTCATTTTTGTGGGTGCCGAACGTGCAGCTAGAATCGCGAATTTTTCGAAGCTATCCAATTTTGTTTTAATCATCTTTATACGATTCGAAATATTCATGTTATCTAAACAATACCGAATCGACGTTGAAAAGATATCGTGCATTCAGATTTTAAATACACGAGTATATAACAATTTTGATTATATTATTATTACTTGACCAATGAACATCATTGGCTATACTGTTCGTTATGACGACAATGAATAGTACGATCTTCATCATAGATGGTTTCATATCGTTATAATATTATAGGCATATAATACTATAATATTGATTTTGTTGTTTTACTTCGGACGAATTTCGCTGTAAACAAATAATTATATGCATTTAATATCATCTGATGTTCGTATATCACGACCTTGCATTGTCGCTTAGCACCCAGTAATGTAGATTTAACGACTTTGAAAGCATTTACCTACCGCAATCGCAGACAAATCTGAATGTCGTATAATATAAAAACCATAGATTTAGATTTTACATTTATATGTAAACTGAACATAATATCGTTTGAAAATAAATTTATAATAAAATAGTTCGACAATTTGTATCGTACCACATATCAACCCAGTATCCACGTGTAAAATTTAGGTATGCATAACTATTTGAATGAATGCATTACAATTTATTTTATCCTAATTCAACCACGGAATTGTGTAGTTCAGCCGAATTAAATAATATAATATTTTAATCATGCTTACAACATTTATTCTTAATTGTTTTTTTCTGAATAACTGTTAATTATAGAAGCCTAAAAATTCACAAAAGTTACATTAGGTAACTATTTAAACAATTATAATAACTATTATATTAATGTCTATAAGTATATACTGTAAATTAAAATAATTATTTTTCTTAAGATTATATATTATAATTCTTTAAACGATTACGTATAAATTATAATTTCAATAATTATTTATCAATTATATCTTATAACTCATAAGTTTAATGTATTAGTAGTTAATCAGGCTTTTAGTTTTTCGTATTTATGAGCTAAAATTTAATATGTAGGTACCTACTAATTCTATAATTATTATTATAGTTGATTACAATAAAATAATACTTTCAGTAACTAACCTGCATTTTACATATATATATATATATAGATTTAACTAATTATTTAACACGTATTATGTAATTATACCTACAAAAAATATAATATTAATTTTAACCCAATAATAAGTATTTCATAGAAATTTACACGTCGTTAAAATATCAACCGAATAAACATTTTTAAATCTTTCTGTTTTGTGTATAATATTCTAAAATACAAATTACAATATATTATTATAGGATGAAATAAATACCTACTGGTTTTTTTTTTTAAATTAAAAGTAAAACAAAAGAAGATAAGATGATAAATATTAATATTTTAAGTGTATTAATGTATCATAATATAGACATTATATCTATTTGTTATGTCACATGCAATAATTATCAGAAAAATCATGTACATAAATAAATAACTGTACCTAGGTATGTGTTATTTTTTATGAGTTATGTGTTACAATAGCTAAATAAGAATATATGTATACGGTTTAAAATTGTAATTTTTTTTTTTAAATACATTTTTGTATTTTATAATAATCATTTTTTTTTTTTTAAAATTTCGATCGCTCTTTATTGAGGTAGTAAATATAGAAGGTACCATGTATGTACTATATATATATATTATAATATGTACCTATATTATGTACTGTATACAATATAGTACCGTTAGGTATACCTATTATGAATTTAAAAGGTATATAGGTACACATACGTAAAATACACACCTATATTTCCGTTTACGATATAAAATTTATATATAATACGTTCAAACGCTCTGTCTGCGGTGGTTGTTGACTGTACAATGCGACGCTAAAAAGCGTCCTTGGACCTGACCAATAGGCTCATGTGTTGTAATATATCAAAGATATTTATATACTTGCGTCTGTATAGGGTTGAATAAGGGGTTAAATCCTTTCGGCACAATACAAACATTTGTTTTGTCAGGGTTAGAGAATTTAGTCACTGCCGCCGTCGTCGTATTCAAAGGAACCGATCAGATATTTTTACAAGGGTAGAGTTTTTTGAAGAGGACATAAAAAAAAAAAGAAAGTGACGATAGTTATACAAATAACGCATAATATATATACCGCAGTGAGATGGGTATTTTTGTGCATTTATAAAGTCAAAATCACAATATATGATGTTTTTATTTACCTACCGATATACAATACCTTCATAAAATCATTATTATACCTGGTCGTGTTATATAAAATATATTATATTACAGCTTGTACCTCTATATGCCTACCTGTAATATATTATAAATACATTTGTACCCAGCTAGTATGTAATGACGTGTTCATTTATAACAATTCTTTTTAGATATTTTTATTATAATTTAGTTATAATCACCATTGTAAATATAAATATATTAAAATGCAATATACTTACAATAAAACAACAATGAAATTAAGAAAATCTGAAAATCTAGGTATATTTAAATAAAAAAATTTAATAATTATTTTGATTATAACATAACATATAATATATTACCGGGAAAGTTTCCAATATTTAGAATTTGTTGACAATTCCAAATACAGTTAGGCAAGGATACCACTAGAACTTGTTATTGTTGCCGTAGTTCATTAGAGAATGTTATCTAAACGTTATAAACCCTTATCCATAGGAACAGAAATAAAACCGAATTAAAAAAAAAAATTATTTTAGGTAAAATATATTGTAAACAAGACCATTATTTAGAGTAAACGATTCTAAAGCGACTGAAATAATATCGAAACAAAAACAATTGTACTCAAAATCTTTATAGATAATCATAGGATAGTGATAAAAAGAAAACCACTCGTATACTGTATTATTCTTTTTAATAAAAGTGATATTTTGTCGGATGTTATAACATAATCCTATCTTCGTTATTATAATTCTGTTATCAATGGGAAATTATAACGTTAGTAACTATATGGGTACTAATAGTATAAGCAGTAGTAATTTGTTTAACTGTATTAGAAATTTTCTTAATTTCCTAATTTATTGTCAACATTTTCGATTATATAAGTATTTTCACCGTGAGAAAATCTATAATCATCGTTTACTAGCCAAACCTATTGCTTCGTTATAACTCGTGAAGTGAAATTTGGTACTGTCTATTTATTTATTTTAGAATGCAATAATAATAGGTTATTTATACTTAATACTTATATAGTATATGTAGACTTGAAGTCAAATTGTAATACAATATACGCTCCAAATATGAAGTCAATATAATATATATATATATTAAGTGCATTTAATATTCCGACAACTTACCGTGCGTAACTACACGAATATTATTATTATCATTATTTGTATTGGTAGGTGGGTGCCTATATATTTAAATACACGTATATATAGGTACCTCCGAAATTATAGAATGGTAACCGAAATATAGGTACCTAATACGATATAATATTATAAATTATTAACCTTGTCTTGTACAATTGACCACTTAGAATTAAGTAGACTGTCAATTTGAATATACCTTCTCTTCCTCCTTCCCCGTGGCCGACGCATAAATGATAATTGAAGTGTTTTGACATTATATAAATATACATTAACATGTGTATGCGTTTCCGTTCCGTCTTCTCTATAATACGAAAAAGCTATGTTTTTTTTTCGGTTTTATATTATCATCATTATATTGTTCGAAGGATGTTGTGTTTTGTGTAAATGATACGTATGTGACTTATTCATTATATTATTGTCCTCCGTTGTGTAATAGTGTGCGTGCGTATATTGGACTATAAAAGACCCGGACAATCGTCATTATGACGGAACTGTATCTGCGTGTGTGTGTGTGTGTATGTGTATGTGTACAAATGCAGTTACATAATATACGTATACCTGTATATGAATAATATTTAGGTACCTATATACGTTTTCAATTCTTTCTGGGAGGCAAAAATAAAATATAATAACAGACCATCACCACCCGACTTCTTCAAATAAGAGTGCCGATTCCATTATGTTTTTTTTTTTTTTGACTTGTTAATCAAGCTATAACATAATAATAATATAATGTTGTAATTATATATGATAATGCGACGATGACGACAACGACGTATAAATATCCATTTCCGTGGCATCGTCAGATTTTTAACGAACAAAATTATTTTAGTTGGTACCTGTATAATAATATACACCATCGTATACTAGGATTTATTCTAATGATTTATATAGTTATAGTACTTAAATAAAACACTATTAATAATAGCTATTGAAAAGTATAGTATAGATGTATCTTATACATAACCTATAATAGGTTTAAAAAAAAATAAATATATTTCAATTGAAAATGTTATCTGGAATGTTTAGATTCTACAAATTGAGTGTATCGAAGAAGTTATTAGATTTAGTCTTTTTAGGATGTGTATTTTTATCAGAAAACATTTTTTCGATTAGTAAAAAAATGCTCTGATTTCTTCACGCCGTACCTTAAAACGTGCGGATTTCCCACCAGTTAGGATTTTAATTAAACTGATTTTTTCTTTCTTAAAATTTCGGATAGTTTTTCTTAAAAATTACAAAAAAAAAAAACTGACGACAAAGAACATAGCAGGTACATCAAGTTTATATTTGTTGATTTCTGAGAAACAGTTTATCGAGTTCCATTTAGAATCGGTTTTTTTTATTGCAATATACCACCTAAAGCAGTGGCCACCCAAGGTGTGGAGCATCTCGATTGTTTTTTAAATTTATTTATTTATTTTTATTTATATATGTTATTATTTTAAATTTTGAGTGTATTCACATAAAAATATATATATATTTTATATTCATAAATACACTAATAATGATTAGTGGAAATCTGCACCTTTTAAGGTACGGCATAAAGAAATCAGAGCAGTTTTTTACTAATCGAAAAAATGTTTTCTGATAAAACATATCTTAAAAAGACTTAATCTAATAACTTTTTCGATACACTCAATCTGCAGAATTTAAACATTTCAGATATAATTTTCAGTTATTATTATTATATTTGGTTTAATATATTTTAACTATATACCTATTATAAGTTTCCGTATCGATGTCTATTTCTTATTTAACATATAATTTTAGAAATTAAATGAAATGTAACCATTTATCAAACGAATCTATTCATAAGATGAAAACTATGAACGAGATCAAATTTGATTTTCATAGGTTTTTTTTTCGTATCAATAACCATTTAAATACTTTAAATATTAACTCTTACATTACCTATTTATTATAATAATTATAATATATTTTATTTGGTTACTAAAAACATAAATTATTAATCATTTATAAACATTAATTTTATATTACAAATGTAATATAATACAAACGAGTGGCGAACCTTGAATTTAATTATATGACATTGAGCTGTCCGCATAATAACAAATAAAATAAAAAATGTATAGTTTAATTTTCAAACTTAAATGAAATTATTAGGTTGTGTTTGATAGAAATTAGAATAATATTGTGTTCTGTTGTTTTTTGTCGTATATATGCCAACTATACCTGTGTTAAAAAATATATATTAATGTCAATCAAACGCAATGAGCTGTAATTGTGTTGAGATAATAACGCAAATAAATGAAGTATATTATATTATTATAATTGATTGGTTATCGTGATGTTATTATTTAAACCGTTTATAAACAGTACCTAAATAGTATGTGACATTTCGTTATGAAAATTATATTATTACTACGCTAGATTTCGTTATATTTTCTGTTTGATCACCAACGGCATATTTTCAACTGTTCAAAACATATGATAGTATAATATAGTAATAATAACAATAATAATAATATCTGGGCCTGACAAAATTATGATTCGTATTATTTACACACTATAGACACATAAATCTTATACTACAGCATGCGGTGTGTTTCTTAAGAATATTTCTTTACCCTATTCCTTTTTTCCCTTTCTTCTTTACATTTTTTCATCCCTTATGTATAGAACGTGCTTAAATGGTGACCAGATGTATACAACATGCTTCCTAACTTATATGTATATATATACACACCTACCTACCTACCCCACGCACAATGTGGTTAGATTGTCGATGCATATATAAGAAATAATATTTACTATACCTAAACATGCTTTAGCAAATTATTAATATTTTTACAATTTTGTGTTCATAAAAATATAATTTCATACTTACTACGACTGCAATTCATGGAAAAACTCATTAGTAAGTTTTTACTTATTATAATTATTTATAAATTTAGTAAATTTTTTACCTATACAATTTCGAAAATGACTTTTTCGTGATTGATAATTTATAAATCTTAATATTATAACTATAAATTATTTTCTATAAACGTAGTTTACAAATCATTTATCAATATAGTAATACGTATAACGATTGATTAATTAACTATATACATAATAAGATGACTGAGCTCTTTATTTACCTTATTAGTCACTTTTGTACTCGACTCAGATTGATTAATACATTGCAATAATTTATCGAGTACTATATATGTACTACATACGTACTAAATAGGTAAAGTTTTGGCTTTCGCCGTGGTATTATTTTCGGTAACAAATGAGTTTGATATCTTAACGAATACATTCTAAATATTATCCTTTTATTTGAATATTTAGGTAAAAAAAAAATCGTGCAATGCTTGATTTTCTAGTTTATTTGGTACCACATATTTAACAGTAACTACTTTCGTTATAAATTTATGATTAGTTAAAATGTGAATTTATCGCTTTTCTATAAATTTTTACTTCACATTAAAAATATACTTAATCTTAATTGAGCAACATTTTAATGAATAATATGATCTTCACGTAAATTCCAAAATATAGACTGTGATGCCTTTAAGGGACGGGAGGCTAATTTTTTCAAATTTTAAGATCCCCTTCTCCCAAAAAAAAAGTTAAACAAAAGTCATACTATTTTTTAGATTTTGAGCGAATTTATTCTCTTAAAATAAGGAAATTATTCGTTTTTCTATGGCGTGTGTGTTTTTTCCTGTTTGTAAATATCTTTTACCTAATATCTTACTCTGGTTTTCAAATGTATTATTTTTTCTGAAAACAAATTAGTTGTGTGTTGCTGAAATAATTTTCTGATTTTCCTTATTATTTTCCTAATAATTTGGAAAAGCCGAAAAACGGGAGTATTTATAATTTAATTATTTTTAAACTTTTCAAATCCGAGAAGTGGTTTAAATTAAAATCTTAAACATTTTTTTTTTTTGAAAAATAAAATGAGTGGTATGTGTTTATTTAAACTTTTCAAATTTATAGTAAAGTATTATAAATAATTTTAATTTTGGTTTCAGTAAACTCATTTACAAACTTATAAGTATAAAACGGATGCTGTAAAGTCTTAGTCTAAACTCGTATTTCGGCTGTATAGTGTATATATAACGTGGTTATTGTGAGGTTCGAAGGGTCTCTAATTATACAGGAGTAGACGGAAGAGATTCTTAAATAAGGGATGTCTGTTTATTATAAGACAGGAGCCAACTGTTTCCGTCCGAGAAGACCGTAAACGTCTTCTGCAAACAGTTAATTCTTTGTGCGAATTGATTTCATTTCGATACAAATAAATGATTATAAAATAGAACGCAAACGGAGTCATAAATAAAAAAAAAAAAACAAAAAATATCTAATTATTAATGAGCCGTTAAACTTGGCATCAGTCCATCTATTAGGACTTTACGATTTTTGTGCTGTTCGTATTATATATTATTATTAGACGTTTAATAACATTTATAACGAATGCATCTTAGCGATAAAAACTCGGGTAATATAAAAAAGGAGAGTACGAATGAATCTGAATTTGAACCAAACGTTCAAGAAGGTCCAAATTCGAAATCGTTTTTTTTTTTTTAAGACATTTCCATCAAACCTATATAAGCCCTAAAACAAAAATGATAGTAAAAATGAAATTTAGTATTACTTGAATATATATATATATATATATTTATAGGAATGATAAGTGAGGAAAAACAAAGTTTTACATTATTTTTTCTGTTCGCATATATTTTATTTATGGGCAATAAAATTAACTAATCTGTAAAATGCAATATAATTTTTTAGAGGTTTTATTCTGATCTTACTTCTGATTTATAGAAAAAAATAAAATATTTTTTTTTAAACAAAATTTACAACCATACGTAAAAATTATATACAAATTAAATTATAATATTATTTTATTTAACAATTTTAATTATATTCAAAAGTAAAATATTTTTATCGTTTGTTGTACCTTTAAGGGTGTAACGTTTTACTAGTGTAATCGATTTTTTTGTTCTTTAAAATTAAATAATTTTTTTGAGTAACTAACCGTACATAGTATAAAAATAATTAAAATAATTTTAGTAAAATACTATTAGTGTTGTAATTAATCGCAGTGGGTATCTACAACCTATTTACCAAAGGTGGATCAATTAATTAAAATAGTAGATTCGATCAAATCAAGTCAAATAAACAAAAATGCCTTATCTAATCTTAAATATACATTTTTTAAATTTATATATTTCTATATAATTATACTGATAGAATTCAATATTTCTAAAGAAGTAATGTTTTTAATTACACTTTTTTCAATGTTCAATATTGATAAATTTGTGAAATGTATTTGATATTAAGGTCTTTTTTCCTTAACCATTATTTTTAATGGTACATTTACGAAAAACAACATTTAACAAATTTAAATCATTCAGAAAATTGACAACTACAACCATTTTCCGGATAGCTATTAGATAGTTAATTTACTAGTAATGTGTAAAAGTTAATTTTTTAACTAACTGCACATCATTGCTATTTACTGACATTTGATTAGTATAAAATAGCGGTGGATCCAAAGGGGACTCATTCTTGCGATGAATGTATTGATTGTATTATAATGTATTTACATTTTTAATTTTTTTTTTGTTTGTGAACGGATTTTCTATCAGAAATCTTACTCCAATCAAAAAATAATTTAGCAATGGTTTATCGGTTCTTAATCTTATTTGTCTCACTATCTCAACTACCCATCTAGAACAGTAGCTGCACCCACTCCAGTATTGCTTTTTTTTTTTTGCTTAATAGTAATTTTTTTTTATGAGGTCCCTCCAAAATCCACCACTGGTATAACAATCATCTTATTCTCGACTATTATATAATACCTACATATTACCGAAGCATGAAGTATAGCGATGATTTCTGTCAGATATATTTAATTAAAATTCTCTAAACAACTCGAGTGCATTATTCTATATACCAGCATACCTATGTTTATGTACATGTATAGTATTTTGTATAAAACAAATATTGCCATGTTATACTTTTTTATAATCTATTAGGTACACATATAGAGATTTATATTTTAAGATTTATAAAATATAAATGACAAATTTCTTGTCAAATCTCATATCTAATAATATACATAATAATTCTTCCAATGCATTTTAAAAACATACTTTGTATGGTACTTAAATTGTAAATTTTTAATATAAATTAAACAATGATACCAATAATATTTATAATTCCCACGTTGGCTGGAAATATATGGTGGTTATGTAGATACTTATGTACTTATTATAAGTATAATATTATTATAGAAATAATACCATACCTAATATTTATTGTCAAATTTAAAGATTAAAATATATAATGTTATATGTATATGTATGACATACAGTTACCTAATTACGGGAGGGGGGGGGAGTCCAGGGGTAACTCCCCAGAGCCATAAGTAATAAGCATAAAAATTATATATATATATATATATATATATCATAAATAATAAAGGAATGCCTAGGGTATGACATAAAATGGTTAGTTATTGAATAGTAAGAAACTAAGGTAATGTTTTTTTTTTCTATGACACAAATATATTGTGTTTCAGTCTTTTGGAATTCAAATTTTAACTTAGTAATTTGAAATAAACGATAACGATAAACTTGGAGGAACAATAAATTTAAATTATTATTATTGATCTGAACACGAATATAAAACATGCGGTAGTTGAACAAATAGCTACCTCACTGATAAATAATACTATCGATAAAAATGTAAATCAATTCGATTATAGTACAGGAACGATTAATCCGATAATTTTTACAAATGACTTGTAGAATACTATAGAAATAAGAAATAACTAAAACCCGTATCATAATTACTGGCTACTGTCTAATGGCTAATGGTAACGTTATTAATTTTTAATAATTTTTGCGGTCCGTATAATACGAAAATAATAATAATAATAATAATAATAATAATAATAAAATAATTTAATGTTGTTTTTTTTTTTTATCACTCGATATCAAAATTCGAAAGGTATATTAGATTCCGGTTGATTTGTTTTATAGGTAAACGATATCGGCTTATTTTATGTGCGTGTATACAAAACAAATAGAAGCTGCAGTGTTTTTTTTTATACATATTTCAGTATATACGGATGTCTGTTATGAACCAACAGATGGGTTACGTATACAACGTAACGTGTATAGTATACAGGGAGAACGTTTACCGAGAATATTATGTTTATGGATGATTTTATGCGTTCCGATTGATACGAGCCGATTAATAAAACCGGTGCCGGAGGTTTTTTTTATGACGCGTTTGTCCCGATGTTTTCTTTTTCTTTTATATTTATCGCGTATACGTGTAAAACGCTCAACAGATGCGTGAAAAGAAACGTGTTAAACAAAATAGAACACATAAGCACATATAACCATAATAATATTATAAACGGTATATAATATTATTATTGAATACATCACTTGGAAGTAGAAGCGTTTCAGAAAACAAGTTACCATTTATTGGTGATTTCGTTTGTGGTTTTGTTTTCTTATTCGAGGAAGGAATACACTGCAGTCCAAAAAAATTGTATTCGTTGTTTAATTAATAAATGTAAAATACGGTGATTGAACACGAGTGATAAACTGCAGTGTATATGCAATGTGCAATACCTAATCTAATAAAATATTAGTATTTGTGTGTTATTAATATCCGTTATCTGTTAAACTTGTAGTTTCTTCGAAAAACGTTTTATTTACATTTTTATGTGCATTTTTTTAATCCATCATTTCATTGTTTTGATTTCTTGCATTATGTGCCATTATATTTTATTATTATTGTTTTTTTTTGGATTTTTGTCTATAATAATATTATATGATTGTCAGGCACTTAGTTGTTGTGATTCCATGATGCTCTCGATTTTCAATCAAAATAACCATATATAACGAACATGACTTTTTAATGTTTGCGAAGTAATGACAAAATCTTTTATTCACTTAAAATACAATATAGTTTAAATTGGGAAATATTTAGATCAAATTTTGGCGAAATAACTCCACACGGTTTTTTGAGCACGCCTGCGTACGCATGCCAAGTATATTTAAAACAATCGTTAACCGTCAAAAGCGTTTAATAACGTCCAGTTTAACGGGCGTCTATACAATAATAGAAGGGCTTATTACGTGGAAAACGGTCGTTCGAGAAACGTTTACGAGCGATTTTATAGGTTCCGATTAATGCGAGCCGCCGATTAATGAACTAGAGTTTTATATTTTTATTTTTCCTTTACCCTCCGTTTTTTATTTATCGTATATTTATACGAGTGCGCGACGCAATAGGCGGACATTATATTTTATTCCCAACAGAAATAGACAAACAAATTGTTAAACACAATACTATTTTGCGTCTAAAAAGGAAAGGCGAACGACTTACAGCGCCATCCCATAAAACTATTGATGTTTCATTTATTTACATTTTTTTTTTCTTATTTTTTTAATGTGCACGTAAAACACTGAAAACTTGTTCAAATAAATAGACGACGAACAATGGTGTGTATATAGTAATCAAATTATAGTGCGCTCTGAATACTATAGGTCGGAATGTTATACGCATCAAAATCGTGTGTTTATCACGGGCTGTAGGTATTTAAACCGTGAAAATTGTCACTGGTAAATATTTTCAACGTTAGTCTTATGACTTAATTGTTTGTAATTTTGGTGTGCATTTATTTTTCTAATTTTCTCCGAAAATAGACACTATTGTACTGTGTTGTGTCTGTTTATATTCATTTAATATTTTTATTTTTCTCAGTACTTTTGGACTCTTTTAACGCTGGACTAAATGAGCTCGAATACAGCGGGAATAGTGTTAAAGGAGGATTGAAGCGACAAAAGTCGGGTTGAATTTCTATATAAATATTATGATTCACCCTACAGTCTGCCCAAGTGAAACACTCGGGACAATACTAGCACATTAGATATATTATAATACCGCCGCTTATATACAACACCACGCATCTCAAAATTTGATGGTTTGGTGTTATTATCAATATTAATAAAACAAATAGCATGGTTAGGTACTCTGTAAACCACTAAAACGGTAATACGACTTGTATCAAACATAGGTAACGTATTTCAGCAAATAAAACATAACAATAGTTGTATTATGAAGAAAAAATACATTTAAAAAAAATTATTAGTGCAAAATAGTAAATATTACCAGTATTTAACTTGGTGAGATTACATCATTTAAATAATGTTTTTTTTGGTTTTTCGTCCTGTAAAACTAAAATATTGAATACTATTGCAATATAATCGACGATACATAATTTTAGAATATTAGGTATGTTTACAATGTTGTAATTAAACTGACGGCTATAACATAATATACGATATACATTATAATTATCTGGTAAAAAGAATATTTACCTACCTATTTATATAAATAAATACTGCGTGGGTGTGCTGTATAATATGCCGGCGTTTGACAGTAGCCATTATAGTACCCGGACTTATATCGGACCCTTATTATACAATAATATTAGAACACATGACAGCTATTTACCGTGAAATTTATAAATACGTATAATTTCGTATAAACCGGTTTTTTCTTCAAATTGACTCGAGTCAGTGGTAGATTTTTACATTTTTTCATAAAAAAAAAAAAACCATTTAGGTGCGTGAGCGCAATGTTTCATTAGACATTGTTTGTATTTAGTATTAATATTATTATTATATTTTTTCAACTCGTCACGAACGACGACTCACGGCGGCCAAAAAATTATTGTGATCACTGTATAATGTACATAAAGTCAGTAGTATAATGTACACGTCACCTGCTGCTGTATCGTTTGCGCATATCAAGATGCACCCACAAAGTACATGGTACATTGGTACATACAGCTACATAGCTTATACCTTATAGCATCAGCAGTTATCATACATTTCGGCATTTTGGCCATAAAAAAAATAAATACTACGATAAATTTCACGTAATAGTAATACGCACATTCTATTTGTTTTTGTTTTTATTTTTATCATAACGATTGGCATTAAAATTGCATGAAAATTCATTGGAACGTGCCAAGTGTAAACTACACGGTTTAAATCAAATACGCGCAGGCAGATAAGACACTATTATACTATTATGCTGACGTGTAATTTAGCACTTTGTAATGATAGTTGTATAATTGTCATAAAGATACAAGTTCGGAATATTTTATTATATTTTAAAGGCATTTTAATTATTAATTTGATGTATTTTTTTTTTCCGGGAAACTTTTTTTCGATTAGTAAAACACTTAAAATTGTTTCTATCGTACCTCAAAAGATGTGTACATAATAAATCCCAGACAGTTTTTTATAAAAATTTAAAAAAAAAACCGAAAACAAATTATCGTCAGATTTATATTAATTTAATGTTATTTTGATTTCCGGGTTACCGGAAAATTATAAGGAAAAAAAACATCTATAATATTACCAGTTTACCAAGATCTTCTCCAAATCGGTTTTTTGATTTAAATAATTTATCGTTGCTTACAGTATATATAAACTAAACTATCTATATATCTATACCTTCTCAACTTGCCACTTATGACTGCAATAGTGCGAATAGTTTATGCGGCTTATTCAATTTATTGTTGGTCGCTTTGTAAATATACAGAGGTGGCTAAAAGTCGCGCAACGCCTACCGTCTTGTATAACATCTGTTCTTACACCATAATCGGTCCTTACTTTCACGACGGCATGGTAAACGGTCCCAAATACATCGAAATGCTTGAAGAAGTCAAGATCGAACTCGACAACAACGATATCTTCCGTGGTAAGCGAATTATCTGGCAAATTTTTTGCGCGATTTTTGGCCACCTCTGTATAGTTTAAAGTTTAAAGTTTTAGTTAATATTATAAATTTGATTGTAACTATTATGTGTGTGTATTGGAGTCGATGCACGTATGTAAAAATGAAAGATCTTATTGCGTGACGTCCAAATCGGATTCTTAATCGAATAGGGACGTTACAGGACAAGTATATTATTATGGAAATCAAAATAAGAATAAAATATTCTACAGTCGTCTCTGAACTATGGACAACCCTGGACAGACATAATGAATAGGTACCTTATGGCTCATATAATATATAGGCTATACAATGGGCGTAGGCAGTAACACAAGTCAATTTGTATATTGTGTTAGTTCCATAATTAACATGCGTCCTAATCTGTGTTGGGAGTATTGAAACGTATGTCCAGTGTTTTTTTTTGTTGTTGTTGGATTTATACTTTTGGTTGACTTGCGCGTTATTTTACTTCTGTCGTCCGGGTTTGTTTTAGTATAGTTTAACTGTTAAATTTATATATATATATAAACCATACTTATTATAATGCATTATAGATATTATACACAGGTCTCGTAGTTAATGAGTTATATGTTCTTTGGAAGTAATTAAATTATAACGAATTACAATTTTGAATATTTTAAAAACACAACAAAGGTAGTTTTATTCGAAATTTTATGATCGCATCGCGGCAGTATCCGTATATAATACCTAATATATGTATGTATAATATTCGGATTTACTGCAGTTGTGGGCGGCCAATTACTACACTAAGTCGTTATTTACATTCGTCATCGTAATCGATTTAAAGCGGTACATGTATTGAACCCGTGCAATTTAAAAAGGCGTATCAACGATGTGTACACGTATAAACAATAAAAGTAAAATTTAAAAAAAAAAAAAAGCGGTGTTAAACGCACACTCGCGTGATAAATTGTCCTGCTTTTTTTTTTGTTGTGAATGAAATGGTTTTTCTTTGACAAATTTATTTTAACTAATATTACCTAATAATATATTATACACCGTTTCTACTTTTAAAATATCTCCAGAATTTCATGTTTCAGCACCCTTATAATATTATGTAGTTAATATCGGTTTGTACGGTTAGACGCAATAATATACAAATATTTTCAGACACGCGACTATTGTTGAGCCAAACATGCGATTATTGTGTCGGAAAATCGTGAATTATTTATCGACACACTCAAATATAGTATTATTGTTTGTAGTTTACACGTTTTCATTTGTCCGGCAATAATATAGTAGGTATGTCATTATCTAGGAAACAAGTTTTTTTTTATATTCCTTTGATTCACTAGAATATAGGTAACGTTAATACGTGCATACTTTAATTTTTTGCTCAAATTTAAAATACGTTTATTAAAAATAATTTTATCTATTTGTTATCCGAATGTGCACGCAAGGAAGGTAATGTATGTGTGTGTGTGTTATTTTTATTTATTTTTTTATGGTACTTGTATTCTATTAAATATCATTCAAATACTTGTAATATTATCGAATACCTATGAGAACTCATAATATATTACCCGATTAAAATGTTAATACTGGCCATATAAACGAGTACTGTAGTTCCCCTTGGCAATGATGGAAATGATCTTTGAATTCAATCTTTACACAAAATTACGTACGATTTTATTGGACGTTAGGTATTTAATAAAACAAATTTTTTATTTTTTCAATTTCCTTAAAGAATTTTTTGATCTATTTAATTTGGTAAAACAACAAAAAAAAAAAAAAAATACTACAGCTGTTCCAAAAGCTAACTTGGGATGGTCTTAATCATATAGTTTCGTTTGTGTCGATTGCTTTTTGAATTTTTGATTCAATCGAAGATGTTACATTATTATAACTAGAATATTATTATCTTGATTTTTCTATTCGAAACATACATACTACATATTTTACGATAGCTAAAATATACGCAATAATATCATAGTAAACATATAGGCGTATAATATAAGTATATAGTCGTTAAGAAGAGCAGATGTTGGCGGTTTATCAAACTGACCGCTGCACGGTGCAGAGGAGAATTCACTCCCTCGCACACTCCGGACAAACTATAATATAGTCGAGAGTGTGTTTACATCGTCCTGCAGTGTAACGATTGGTCCGACATCGTACAATGGACATGTGCATATAATACAATATTATATAGGCTATAAATTTGCACGGTAATTTGCTCGGGACAACAAAGTGCAACGGCTAAGTTACGGTGTGTCAAACCCTACAATAGCAATAACACACGAGACTATAATATTATATACATATATGGATATATAATATATGCATGTATATTATAATATTATTATATAGACACGGCTGCAGAAGGCTACAGGATACGAAATTGCAAGTGCGAAACAGAAAAAATTATTATTTCTTAATATTTTAATTGGGGTATAACCGTATAGGTTACCGTTGTATTTAGGTGGGCAATTGGGGCTAGGTGGGATATCTAATACCTATATAGGTGTGGAAAAGGGCGGTAATTTAGTTTATGTGCCAAAAACAAGTAACTCCGTTTGTACAAATTTATTTTTCAGCTAGGAGAAGTTTTGATATGTTCGTTATAACTTATAACTTCTAATAAAATGGTTGTTTTGAAATCACAGTTTAACTACCTCAATATTATTATATAATACACATAATTAATTTACAATATTTATTGTGCACATACAACTTATACTATAATATTATAAGTTGGTTAACGATTTTTCCGTGTTTTTAAACAATACAATTTATATTTTAGATATTATACTATAATTTAATAATAATTGTGATTTTTTTTTCTCGATATCAATGTGAAATGATTTTCCTAATTCGGATTAACTTGTATCTATAGTGTACTAGGAGGTACACTATAGAATACAGATTACATATTATCATAAACTAGTCTTTTTCTCGAGAGATTTTAAGTGAATTTTATTTCTGTTTTTATTTCTTCCAATATCATTATCAAGTCACTTTACTTTATTTTAAAATCGTTTACTCCTAATTTTTAAACCTTAAATAGTTATATAATTTTGATCATAAAATAAGAACCTCCCTCTTTTTGAACACAGATATAAATAGAGAGTAATTATTTTACCTTTTTGATGCATTTAACATTAATATCGGATTTACCGTTTATGAGTTATAATAGTTTAAAATTTGGACCGAAGGAGTAGGGAATTTTATTAACTTTTATATTCATTTTAGACGATAAATTTCCTACTTTTCTGGTCTAAACTTTAAATTGTTATAATATTCTTAGATAAATGTCTTCTATTTGAATCCGTGTTAAAAGAGGGATTTGCTATTAGAAAACCCGAAGTGAATACTCATTTAGGGTATAAGGAATTGGAGTGAAGAATTGGAAATAGTGGTAAAATAAAGCTTAAACGACTCCATAATGGGATTGAAAAGTACAGAAATCAAATTAAATTTACTTAAAATCATCCGAGAAAATCACTAGCTGGCTCGTGTTAAGTGGATCACTCTGTATTATACATATGGGAAATAATTACTGAACCATATATAGATATAGAGATCTATGTATAATGTTACGTTTTGATTGTTAAAAATTATTATTAATACAAAATAATTATACGAACGTTTGTGTTACGAAATCATTATCACAATAGAAATAATTGAAGAGTAGGCACTAGGCACCTATATATATATATATATACCGCAGACTTATTGTGCCTCCCCCCAAGGGCGATTTGTAATGTTTGTAAACATGCGTGTAGAGCAGCTAATAATAATGTAGACACGGACACAAACGGTAAACGCGATGCTGCGATGATGAACGCTCTGCTACCGCTATAATATTATGATGGACAAACTGCATCGATACATACTGTACATTTATGATGTTCGATCTAGATCATAATATTATTTATCAACATTGCAGTCAAAACGTCATCGAGGTTCGATCGGAGGTTAGTCGGGTTTAAAAATATTTTCTATATTATTATTCGAGCACCATTAGTCCAATTTTAATTTTGACAACATCTTTGATTTCTTTTATTTCTTGTCTATGTTTTGTAGGAAATATTTGTTCGATTTTTATGTATAGCTTATTAATTTAAAGTGCATGCTGAATTTAACTTTTTTTTACGTCATAAAATACACAACAAAAAAAATATATTAAAAATATTTCCCCTACAAAACAGAAAAAAAAGTACGTATAAAAAGTCAAATTATTTATCAAAAAATTAATCTAACTACTGGGAATATGTTTATTTATTCCAGATTATAGGTCTAATTGTATGAAAAATAAATCTCTAAAAAGTACCTTAATTATTTTTATTATTTAGTTATCTGGTCTTTAATATCATTCCGTTGCACAACCTCAATCTATCATCAAACATTATATCTCTAACTAGCCGAATTACCCGGTATTTTGTGGGCTCAATCATTTCAAAGCAGAAATCAATAAATGAAATTTATTTCAATGTGTCTCGTTTCCTCATTTCTACCCTTATATCTATCACAGTTTATCGTTGTTGGCCGAAAATTTATCTTTCTTGTCATCGTATTTTTCCCTGTATTGAGTTTTGTTCCAGTTATACTGTCTGGAGTAGTGGTGGGTTTTGACTTTTTAGAAAGAATGAAAAGTTTTTAATTCATGCTTTTATACACCTCTCTACAGTCACCAAAGTAATATTGTACATAAAAAAAAAAAAAAAAAAATTAAATTTATCATTATTATCACAAGTAACGGTTTATTCTCATTTTTTATCGGGCACTCGAATCGCACAGGTATTCCGAAAAATGTATTAAATTACATAACACACCGAGTTAAATGATTGTCAGAAACATAAATTATTGGTATTGTTATAGATATTTAGATTGTATATTTTTAATTGCATTTATTATTTTATTAGTCACAATAATTACGTTATCAATTGACGATATTCATAGTTGAGTTGGTTTCACATAATACATAAGATGACTTTTTTAATTATGAAAATTTCATATTATCTATATACTAACATAATTGTTATTATATTTATTGTATATTTTTATTTCAATTTTAATGTGATAAATACTTTAAAACGAAAATCGCTTTAAAAATATTTTAAAGTTTATAATTTTTTTTCAATGTATAGTCAAAATAGATTATAATATTCGAATGATATAAAAATATTTAAAATTGTTTGTAATTAACTTATGGTAGTATATAGTTACCATATAGTATAGAAATAGTAATATTAAAATAAAATTGCTTATACAATTTAGAAATATATTTTAATATAATAAATGAATACATACTTAATGTAAAATAATATTAAGCAAAATACAAAAATCATTTATATCGTAGATTACCTATAGCAAAAATATATATATTTACATTTTCCTTGTGTACAAGGTATTAAAATTAAATTGTCCCCCTTTTCATTTGTACCGTTTATATAGTTACGTACAGATAATAGCTTAATAGTTACATTATTATTACATTTTTATATACCTCAACAAATTCTTATCACGAATAATTGTCTATAAAATCACGTTTAGTTGAATGCCATCGATTAGATTAGTTAATAATATTTATTAAATTAAATTATTAAAAATATATTTACGAACATCTATTATTATTATTATTATAATAAAGCCAATATACTCTTCTGTAATATTGTAGTTACACGGATGTGTTAAATTATTTTTTTTATTATAAAATATAAAATTCTGATTTTTAACGGTTATAAATTATTCGTTCGAAGGTCTTTAATATATATATATTTATGTATATGTATAATTTAATAACAAGCGTGAAACGTCCGTCACATAACGGCCAAATACCAGACGAATAGCATTAAAATAATATTGGGTATTTTGATACATAGTAGCGTAGCAGGGTCGAATTAAGTGCAACGCACAACTCTATAGGCATTTGTTTTTGAATTGTCATCGAAATGGTTTATCTATAAATTCATAACCAATACACTCGGAAGTTTAGCTGTAAAATTGTCTAATATATGTGATTTGAATTGTATAATATACATTTTTTTTAATTTAAACCATTTTAATTTGCTTAATTTTGAATTTTGTGTAATCGGAATAGATTATAATATCAATATTTTGGATGAATTTATTATCGTATAGGTATTTAATTCAAACAGTTTTTTTTTTATAACCGAATATATTATAAACTATTTGTTTTATAAAAACTATCGAGTAGTCCGATAGTGATTATTCGGCTGTGTCCTTCAGTAGTACCTGACTATGCCTAATAATTAATACAATTACATAGTTTATGTATAATGTATAATGCAGATTTGTCGAGTCATTTTTATATTACTAATTATATTGTAATTTGGTTATTATTAATATTTACAAATTATGAAAATATATTAATTTATCCTATATTAGCAATATAAAGCCATACCAGATTCCAGATGTTCTCAACATAATGAGTTAATAACTTATGATTGATTATAATAATACAAATATTAATTATACCTACAGTCTACACCTATACAATTTACGTAAAATATAATAAAGTATAGATACATATATTCATATAATTAACGAAATATAGGCATAGGTAATCCGTATACAAATCATCTCAGAGTCGCGTGTGTATAAAAAGATATTGAATGATATCGTATAATATCATAAATATCTATTAGGTACATTAACATATATCATATAAAAAGCCAGAACATCGATGATTTTTTTATGTTTTTAACACCTACCATTTTTCTTCTCTTTTATACGTATAATTAGTTCTTAATGACATTCAAAAGTGTTTTGCGTGGTGAAATTATAAAAAAAAAGTGTTATCATACGTATGTAATTAATCTGAGATTAGAATAATATAGGTAGGTACCTACGTAGTTCACGTCTCTGTTCTTGATTAAATACCTATAATAATATGACGCCCACGAGGCCGATATTTTGAATTTAACAACCCACGTTTATCACTTTTTAATCATATAACAAAAACGTCTACACAATAATTAGGCCATGTTTAACGAAGGAATAATATATTATGATAATTTTCCATTGTAAAAAAAATATTCATACAAACGTGTAAGTGTTAGGTTAGGTACCTACCTATATGAAAGACCTAATCAGTTTAACTGCGGGTTATAAAAATATATTCAATGTATATTAGTAATCCTAAAATAATTTAAAATAAAAAATATATTATAAGTATTATTATTGCGTGTAATATTATATAATATAATTTTTCGGTTAAATTTCAAGATTCATGAATATAAAAAATAAGAAATGTATTTATCTATATTATGCTCTGATACCGCGGTTTACATTAAACACGTGTATTATTATTTGTTTTTTGATATCGTCAATTACTTTATTAACCATATAATAATACTATATATAAATATATATATATATATAATATACAATATATATGCACCAAAGAAATATTTAATACAACAACGAAATATATATATATATATATATATATATATATATATATTTAATTATAGTTTAATACCATTTAAAATATTATAGCTATTTAATATTTAAAAACTTTTACCAACGTTTTTACTCTACAAATAGAGTTTCTATAAAAGCTAAATGATAAGTAAAACAAAAAATTTTATCAAATAGTTACGAAAGTAAAATAAAATAAAATTGTCTTCGCTACACAGAAAAACAGAATCATGGATACGTTGTTGAGCTTAGAATATAAATTATTATTACTCAATTAGTATAACATATATAATGATTTAGTGTAATTTTATTATCTGAGTTTTGCGATGCAAAACAATTTTTATCTTTTAGAGAACGTGTATAACTAAGCACTCATAATATTAATTTAATTAAATAACTACAGAGTAGACAAATAACTCAAACTGTACTTGTTTAAATACTCTTTACTATTTTAATTGGTAGTAGATACATACACAATATAAACCTGTTTTGTGTTCTATAATTTCATCCGATATTTTAATATTTCGTTTTTTCGTATTCTTCTTTTAACAGCTTTGGTACTTGTAATTTTTCTTGAGCGCGTATTTCGTTCTCTTCGGTAAAAGAGCCGGATTTGATAAATGGACCATCTACTGGATATATATATATATATATACTTGCACGATGTTTACTCAATATTATACGCGGTGAAATAGTAATAACAGTCGAAATTGATGGGCATCGCCGCAGCAGTATCGGAATGCGAACATTTTCGTGAATATAAGGTTAGGGAGGCCGAAGGAACTGTGAAAAAATGGATGGGGGAAGAGAAGGAGGAGGAGGAGGCAAAAAAACAAAATAACACACGTCATTCGAATGTTCACTAATCTTGTTTCCCATTTAGGTCGCGGATAGTGTATATAAGTATGTATATGTATATAGTTGTAACGTGTAAGGGTTGGCTTCGGGGGCGGCGGAAAAGCGTGCAGCTACGGGATGACGGTTAGTAGTCGTGCGATAATATTAATGATGTAGTCGGAATTTATTTAACAACCGGCGGCGACCGAAAATAAAAACAGTTTTAAACTGTAGCGAACGCGCGCGCGAGAATCTATCACTGTAATTAATGAACTTATGATGACACCTACCATTAGTGCGCGTGCCTCAAACCGAATAATCAGTAGGTAATAATATATAATATTATACGGCATGGCCGTCTTCTTTGCCGGAATGGAGTAAAGTAGCGAAAACACCGAGCTTATACCAGTGGCTGCAGTTATATTGCAACAATAAGTTACTATACGGGCGTGTTACCGGAAATGTTGGAAATTTTTCGAGAACGACGATAATTCCCCGATACTGTTAGAGAATGATAGCGTTGCCCAACGCCTGTTGTTGAACTTTTTATCATTCCCGTAGTATATTAGGCAACGTTAATCGAATCTCTAACTTAAATTTGTGTGTAACAAATACATTCATTCTTCATGTCCGCATCAAAAACCAAAATAAATCCACGCTAAGCAAAATAAATGGATCCGGTAATGTTCTGTTATGTGAAAATATAATTATATATATGAGTATATGTATATGATATATCTATAACGGTTTAAGATATATATGTTATTCAACGCAGTCAAAAACATGACCTCGTGAACTGATAATCTAATTAAATTAACTACCAGTGCTCCAAGCGGGAAAAGAGACAACACGGTCGCGGTGTTGCTAAAAATGGGAATAATTCACTATTTTAATTTTATATCAGCATAGATATTGAATTTGAAGTGCTATGTTATTTCATAAATTGTTTTTGGGTGTTAGTTTACAAGTCTCTACGGAATATTAGTTGTTATAGGTCGTTAGGCAACCAATATACGTTTCTTAAATCGTAACACCTACTCATTGTTAGATGACCCAAAGTATAATCCTAAAGCCATAATTACCTGTTATCGTTGGGAAGTGAAAACAAGAGCACAAAGCAATTATACAATTTCCTTGTCCTATTAGGAATTATCAACATTTTCGGTGACCAAATACATAATGTTATGTGTATCGACTATATTATATTATTATATTATTGTCGACGTAGTATATGGCAAAATTCTGTTTAAATGCGGTTGTTTTTAGCTAGAATATCTGCCTATTATAATAGTAGTAAGTTATACAATATGTAAACGTTAGTGTTAGACGATTCCTACTTGAACCGAAGTCCTTTGAGAAATATTATCCGTTACAGTAGTACTGCAGAGACACCCTTGACATTTAAATATAAATATATTTACAAGACTTTCGTCATTTCTTCTAACACGTTCTTATCATTAATAAAAATAACGTCTAACGACCGTGCATAATACCTGTCACACATATCACTATCACTAGGTACCCGGGCAGCGAAGTAATAATAAGAATCACGTGTCTTTACATCAAACAATAACGTTTACCGTATTTCCGGTCGACTTCGCGTCGTCGTTGGTATTATTATAATATAGGTAGTAACCAACGAATTTATTGCGCTTACAAATGCGTATATTCTTTAAATGTGCGCACACGTCCCTGTGCCATTTGACACTTATACTCGGAGCTGTATAATGGGCAGATTTTCTTTTTTTATACATTTAATTAAAACGCGTTTAAAGCTATATCATAATAATTTCCATTTGCATGCTGTTTTCGTGATTAATCGAGTTTTAAGTTTGAAAGTAAGTATTTACATTACGGTATTTACGTTTTTTACACGTATACAAAACCTATAGTATAAAAGGTTTCTTGTATAAACCTAGTAAGGCAACAGCGTGCGATTATATATATGTTTGCGTTATATTTTTATATACAAAAAAAAAAAAAAAAGAAGAAACTAATTAAACCGACCTGCGGGTATTTTTTTCTTTTACAGTTCGTATCAGTATAAAAATTAAAATCAGTTTTGGGTATATTTATTTAATTGAAATCTCGTTCAAATTTTTTGAAAAACAAAAACTACATTGTATGTATCAAAAATTGAAAAACTGGAAATAATATAAAATAAACTAATATATATATAATTTATGTAAAATAAGTCAAAACAATTTATCGACTTACAAAGTTTTGTCATGAAGTCAACGTGAATATTTGCATTTTTGAACTATATTTGATCCTTCTATTACGAAAACTACTTATGATATCATAACGGACTATTAAAATGTATCTATATTAATTAATGGCGAATTGCATCAGCCGTTTCATTAATTATAACATTATAAACAATTTTCTAAAACGACAAAAAACAAATCAAATAGGTGTTATTGGTTTAATTATAATTAAATGATTGCGTCAAATAATTATTATAAACATGTATGCAATACGCTTCTATTGTTATAAATTTAAATTTTATAGTTTAATTTTCAATTGAAAAAATCGAAGACCTTGAGTTACAACCAGCTGATTAACTTTTAAAATTGTTTATGAACAATAAAAACGTTTTCAGATTTGTCTGAATGTTGCACTCGAATATAATATGTGGAGAATTATTATTTTTTTAATTTTGTCGCTTAGAAGTGAATTTTTTTTTAAAAAATGTGGTGTTATTTGGCTGTTTGGCCAAGGTCTTCAATTTATAATCGTATAGTATAGTAAATTAAATAATATAAATTTACGCCTGTAAGTATATAGTATTTGAATGTGTGCGTTTTACAGTATATAATATAACATCAAAAAAAAATATACTATAAGTAATAACCTGTTATATCATTGCATTGTACTAAAAAATATTCGTGACCAATTTCCATCCTATCAATTAACTTATCTATTGTATTTCTAAAAAACAAAAAACGCAGTTTTATTTCAACCATTAAATTATAGGTTAATTATTATTTTTATTTTCGCTAACGAATTGAACAAGACTGCAGTCTGGTTATATCATATTATCAATATGGTTAATTAATCTGTTAGTATTTTAAAACTAAATTTCTACGTAATACGCGCTTTATACCTCGCGGTGGTATACCTATGTATGTCAAAATCGGGGTATAAGGCCAAAATGACTTATGGCCGAGTGCCAATTAGACTAATGTAGTTTTAATGAAACACGTGCTTAAAATTTGTATACACATGTCTCTCTATTGAGAGACGAAATGTGTATTTTTTTTATTAATTTGATTAGAGATAATTAGTATATTATTACCCACGTTTTTAAAGTTTTCCGTCTAGGGTTAATATTATAACATATTCCAGTAAGTAGGTATAGGTGCAAAATATCGATAAAATAATTATGATTGTATTACGAATGTTACGAAAAAAAAAAAAAATAATAAATTCGGTCATATTTTCCTCCATAGGTAAGTGCAGTTGCAGAGTTAGAATGATGTCGGATTTAATATGACTTATCTTATCGTTATTTTTTTTTAGGGTTTTTAACAATATTTTAGGTAAAATTGTTAAGAATCTAGGAAAAATGTTCAAATAAAGAAGTACAGGGCAAAACATCCACATTCTTTAAGATAAGTTGTAAACATTCGGAACCTTTTTATATACCGAAAATATGTTTTTCAAGAAAAAAAACCACGTCTTACCAATAGCCATAATGAGAATATCAAAATGTATAGGGTGAGGTTAGATAAATAATTTTTCAGTTAAATGTCATATCATATAAAATCCTAAACATCCTATTATTATTTTTAATGTGACCATTTTACCACGAACAATGCCGTTCGTGCATATGTCAGTTGAATACAATTTAAAAGAAACGTGCAGGTTCCGAGAAGTCATTGGTATAAACTATTACTATAATAATTGTGTATGAATATTGTGGGTATTGAATTTGTTATTTTCGTATTTAATATAATTGATTTAGGGGAGGGGGATAAAAAGACGAACGATTATTTAATTTGTTCCAAATATACCTACCTGAAACGTATACTTAAATATGGGTACCTAATGACAAGGTTAATTATAACAGTTTCCCATAATGTAAGGTTTTTCAAAATTTTAACAGCGCTATATCGTTTAATGATCATACATCACATAACTATTATAATACATATTTATATTTGTTTATCAGAAATTAATTTTTTTTTTTGTCATTTATTGTCTGTTTTAAACATAGCTAAGTACCGAATTGCCAACAATCGACTGTATGAAAATGGCAATGGACGCCGCGGACAGCGCGAGACTTGGTTTAAACTTGAATTTGAGCGTGCAGCCACAATCGTACCATTGGGTACAGTCGCCGAAAGGTAGTGATGACGAGGACGACGACGACCGTAGAAGAGTGGACGACGATTGTTCGCCCGAAGAAGAACCGGATATCCTGGAAATGCAGGTACAATATTTCATTATTGTTTAACATATTATAAATCACTTCAATTATGTCATAGTTCCATATGATTTCACATATAAATGTAAAAAATACTGATAATGTTGTCGGGTGTGCTACCGTTTAGAAGAGAAGTTGAAAAAGGAGATAATAGTATATAATTTATTATATTATAATAGTATAATAGTATAATATATATTTGTATGCAATGTAAACCATTGGTAACGAAAAATGGTTCTGAGCATATAATATTTTGCGATTTTTTTAAAATTTGTTTTTCTTCTGTGTGTTACCAATATATTTCTACCAGAAATCAGTGATTTTCATAATAATTTGTAAAAATCGGAAACAAATGTATAGGAAAAACGAACATATATTTACGGCGCAGTTGCGTTAACGATTTCATTATTTTACAACTTTTACTTTTCTTAATCCGAAATTCAAAAGTGGCTTCTTTTTCGAAAGAAAATTTTAGATTTAAAATGTTTCAAAAACGTTCTTATTAAGTTTTTGATTAGATAAATATTTCTGGTGAAAAAGTAGAATACTGACACGATGAGAAATAGTGAACCCAATACATTTCTCGTTTCGTTCAGAACTTAATAGTAAATCGCCAATTTTGAACCTTGGTGCATTCAGTATACATACAACATTACGTATAAATACATTTCGCAACTCCCGCGTGAATTACAGGAGTATACAATTTGTTTTTCTCGTCCAATTACGAATTTCATATTAATATTTAAATGTTTGGGTTTCAGCGAGAAGAGCGCGAAACTCTCAATCAGTTGGCACGTCGTTTGGCGAGCGGATCGCACGGATTAATGGGTGGTCACGCAGCATCTATGATACAACACTTGGTTTACCGACATCCTAACGGTATGTCCGCGTCCGATCATGTCATTATGCCGATGTCATCTAGACGACCGAACGATTTGGAGTCCCCGCCCGGGTCCAGTAGATCAGGCGACACCCCTCTTGGCCACGAATATCCGTCGGAAAACGATTCGTCGATGTTGGCCAGAAAAGGCGAAGCTCAATCGTGGACTTTCGAAGAACAATTCAGACAGGTAAGCGAATGTGTAACATCCCTTAATAAAAATAACTATACCACTATTGTTATTAGAGTGTTAATATAATTTAAATATTTTCTAACTTGTTTATTATATAGGTATAGGTACGTATATTTTAGATTCTGAGTGGAGCGAAGAAGCTTATAGTTTAGCCAAAAGTTTTAAAAAAATTTTTTTTTTTTATCTGTGCGCAACTTTTCTACCAAAATACTTGCTTGGATTTCTACGTGTAGCACCTTTTCTGAAAGGAAATCGGCGTGGGGAGGTACTTTAAGAAGGTCATTTTTCAATTTTCTTAAGAGTTTTATCATCAAATTTGAAAATATATATTTAATATTATAATATTTAATTAATTATAATATTTGAAAAATATAAGAATTATAGGTATTAGTTAAAATATATTACTGCCTTCTTTTTTTCTGTGCACAATTTTTCAACCAGCAATTTTGCTCCAATTTATATTGCTAGCAATGTTTCTAAAAGGAACTAGGGAGGTACTTTAGAGATGTCGTTTTTCGATTTTTTTCAAGAGTTTTCCCAAAAAATGTAAAAATTTGGTATAAAATATGGGAAAACCGGGAAAAACGTAGGAAAATTGGGAAAATCAGTACAACATTAAAAAAATATTATTAAAGAAAGTATATAAAGCCTATTTAATTATTTTATTATAAAATAATATTTATATTGTTGACAAAGCATTACTATCAACTGAACTCCGCTCAGTATCGTTTTTTCGTAAGCAATGGTTTATCGTTGATTACAAATATACATTAAATTCCCATCTATATCCTACCTTCTCGACTTCCCACCTACACCAGTGCTGCACCCGTCCTCATTATCTTAGCTTTTTTTTTTTAAAAGCTGAATTATTATTTTAATTTTAATCAACTAAATTCGTATTATAAACCAGGATGTTTGTCCGGGTTACGCTCTATAGACTAGCAATAGCCAGTTAGCCAACGATGCCTTGTTTTCAGTTACATACATATCTTAATTTTTAACTTTTTTTTTTAAATAGTATGTATATGAAATGTGCAACGAATAACAGTTATAACTATATAGTATTAAAATCGAAACGTTGAGATGCTTAATATATAGCGTAAACCATAGAGGAGATACTATATATATATATATTGGCTATTTAGAAAAATTATTGAAAGGAAGCGTTTTTATTATTTTAAAGGCCCCCGTGGTTATTTTTCGTTAACTCATCGAGCCTTACTATTGTAATGAAAAATGTTATCCCTTGTGATGATATATTTCGACAAAAGTACAATTATTTTAATCGAGTCTCCGTTTCCTATATATTACGTGACAAAAATTATTAGACCCAAGGATTTGGGTTCGTGTCATCACTCGCTCGGCATGTAGCCTTCAGTAGGTACCCATCAGACCGAGCGTGTTATGAATTCGCGATAGTTTCGGTACTCTTGTATATTAGGTTCTGACGAAAACCCGCGATTTTATAGGATTACGAAATGATAAATGACGATATACACGCGCGTATACATCTGGCGCATAGTATTAGGACACGGTAAAAAATATGACGCGTCACCATTATTAGGTATGTATACGAAAATATTTATATACTTTTATTCGTCGAATACACTTTCTAGTTTCTGTATACCCAGAGGTGTGCATAGCTCGCGCGACGACGGTTTCACACGGACCATTATAATATCGCGTAGTTGATAAAGCCTTTTTTTTTTCCTTTTGATTTTCGCGGGGGAGGATAAATGACAATATTGTGTGCGTATACACTTAGGCACTCGCTACTTAGTACGTACGACGACGAAAACGCGATAATACTGTCCCGTCGGACGGTGTGCGCGAGCGTCATCCTTGTTTCTCATGGAGGTCGACGACACACGCGGCGGCGGTCGTATTATTATGCGTTTACATTATTACGCCGCGCACAAAAGACCACAATCAGTATGTGATATTAAGCGATGCGTGTAGCGTGTATGGAACGCGTAATGAAACAAAAACTAGTTCGGGTGGATGGAGGGAGGAGGGAAATTAAACGACGAGCCAGAAAAGAATACGAAAGAAAGACGGGGGGAGGGGGAAGAAAGGAAAACGGACGAAAGAAAAACGTACGTATACACGCGCGCGCACCTGTTGAATCGGTCACAAGAGACGGCGAAATTATTAATAAGAGTGGCGACGGCGACCCGCGGACAATGCGCCCGCGGGCCAACAACTACCGGGTGAGAATATTTGTGTGCCGCGTGAGAGACGGATTTCGATCGCGTCGTGTCGACCGATTCGTCATCATCACGGCGACGACGACGGTAGGTGTCGCACACCTGCCGCCGCCTTTGCCGGCCGGTCCACGTCTCCGTCCGTATTATGCGCCGAGTCGTTATAATTTTATACAATAAAAAATAATACAATACGATAATATGCTGTGTACGTAGGTACGTATGTAAATATACTGTATGTATAGCCGTCGTCGTTCTCACCGTGCGGCATATGATGCGACGCGACGGCGGCGGCGGCGGCGGCCCGAGATGACCTCTGTGCGACGCGTGCGGATTCGTCGCGACCGCGAACCCGGGCGAGCCGCTCGGCTTTAGTGAGTGAACCGGGCGAGTCGGGGAGAGGGGGGAGTGTCAGTTTGAAAATTGCAATTCCTCCGAAAACCAATCTACGACTCGGTAGTCCACATAATCAATAGCCCTTATATGTATTATATAGACGAGAATCCCCCTATTTCGTTATCACTACTTTTTGATAACGCCGATATAAATAATAAACACCGCAGATACGATATTGACTGTTGCACATTGGAAATAAATACATTTTATTTTGTTTACGATAATAGGAACACGTCGATATCCTTAGGGAAAAAAAATCTGAGTGATATCGGTGTCAAAATAATAAAAACTAACTTAAAACTTTTTTGATTCAAATAAAAAGTAACTTGTTAAGTCATGAGCTACAATAAGAAAACTGTAGGTAATTTACAAGTTATAAGGTTACTGATTTGTGTTACTTTGTAACTAGTCACTACCCAGGTTTGCGTGACTACGGGCCGGGGTTATGCGGGGTGGTATAGACACTGTAATAATTACAGTATAAATAAAACGAAAAAAAAAGTCGCATTAAAAGACCGGCGACGAAACGAAATTATAAAAAGAAAGAACAAAAAAAAAAAAATCCGTGCGTGTTAATTTGACGCGAGTTTTAAATATAAACTATAGGTAACTATATAGGTATGTACACGGTGTTTGATAATTATTATTACACGCGGAGTTCATGAACTACACGGTATTATATTATACAACCTGTCTGCACGAGCTGTGTATAGGGTGACAAAACAGGAGGGCGTTAAACATATAGATACAATGTCATCATGTGTAGGTATATTCGAACGAATTTAACTTTTCGTAAGTATATAGATAGATCTCCCGTGACGGTCGTGGAACTATACAAAGTGATCGACATACTATACAACACTCATTATATCGGAAAGTATTTTTCGTAACCTTATTCGGAATTTGTTTTCGAGAACATTTAAGAAACAAGCAGTTATACAATTGTAAATTATCGTAATTTTTTTGATCGCCCTTATTTTAGTTAGTGAAACCACTATTCACTTTTAATTTTTGAATAGCGACCGTGAGAGAAAATTCCATAAATATATACGGAGTTTTGGTTCACATCAATTTTGGTGTTAAAATTTTGAATTTCTGTCGATCCGTAGGGGAGACATTCCACTTTTAGGTTTGAGTGGGTGGTAGTATCATTTATGTGGCGGTTCGGTGGGCTGCGTGAAAGTAGCTAGTGGATTCACACCACCTAAAAAAGTATGACCGAGAATAATAAAAGTGTAGGTAACGTTTTAGAATCGCTTATTTCTTAAACAAACTCCGAAAATGAATAACATCCGAGATAATGAATGTCTAGCGTTTATCACTCTGTAAAATAATTTCTATTCCTAAGAGAGAAAAAAGGGCCAGGACATAATCTATTAAAACCTTTATGTATAATATAGGATAATTTTTAATTTTCTATATATTCGGCCAATTGTCACTAGCAAGAAAATGACATTTCATAATCTTATTAATGTGAAAGGTAAAGTGATGACGATTTTTCAAATTCTTTTTTACATTTCTATGACCAATTTGATCGAATTTTTCGTGCAATACCTTCAAAGACATAGGATAACCACTCGGCAGGACTTCACCTGTAACATTTTTTATTAAACAATTTTCCATAGTTTATCCCTTAGATCCTTTTTCTGTTGTTTTCCTCAGAAAACACTTTCGATTAGTAAAAATGTTCCAATTTGCTTACATCGTTCCTATATCTTAAAATATATGAATTTTTCGGTAGGTAGTATTTTATTGGAAAGATATTTTTCGAAATTTCCAACAGTTTTTCTAAAAAATAAAAAAATAAACATCGAACGATCGGTTTTATTTTTACTGATTTTTGATTTACAAGGGCGAAATTAACACGACCAACCCAGAGTCGTTTTTATTTTATTTTAACAATTGAGTTCATAATTTTGTATGAATTTATTAATATGTTTTGTTTTTTTCTTTTACTCAGTATATTATAGGTATATTTAATAAACTGCCACTATCTTCCATATTATGTTTTTTTTTTGTGCGAGCAAGTTTGTTTGTAATTATTACAGACATAATACTTATGTAATTTGTTTATTATTATTAATTTTTTTTTTTATTATTATTATTAAAAATAAGATTGATCGGATCAAATCGTTGGCTCCGCTTGATTCATTGCTAACATTTATTAATCCGTTGGGACGTGCGCGTATGTATAGGTAATAATTTTGAAACGAACGTTCGGGTATACACGTGTACGGGTACCCGGTACCTACTTGTAAAACGATTTTTTAGTAACTAACCGTATAATAATAATGTATTACCATAGTGGTCGGCCGGTAATGTATTCTATTAAGATACCTTTTATAGCCAATAAGGATTATACACGCGTTCTTGGTCTTTTGTTCCAAATAAAATATTATGTTATTTTCGTGTATATTATTAAATAATATATATATTGACTGATCGACCATCTCGGTATACGCCCACCGCAGTCGAGTAGTCGCGTACATACAATATATAAAATATTGTTCCGGATTGATCAGAAATAAAGAATAAAGACTCTCTATATATATATATATATATGATACAAAAAGTATAGATAGATAGATAGATAGAAAAAAAAAATTACACGCCCTACGCGATGTTAATTACGGTTTAGATGTGCTGATTGATAGGTCATCCGTACATGGGAATCTCTCGTCATTATATTATTATTATTATTATTTTTTTTTTTTTCACCTCCCTCTCTTTTTCTTTTGGTCTCCCCTTCTTGTCCATCCCCTCCTTTGCCGCTTTGTACGCCTCGAAAAAAAAAACCGATCACATTTATTTGCTTTTCCCAATTATTATAGACAATGAATAATCGCGTCCGATTTAACTGCCGACCAGAAACGGTTTTTTTGATTCGGCCGGCCGAATAAATGGCAGACAATCGCTCACAGGGCAATAGAACAACGCGCCGTTCGACACCTTCACATACTTCGTCATCCATCCGTCCGTTGTACCCGCTCGTATACCTACCTTCAGCGTTTAGTAATTGCATCGATAATAATAAATATAATAGTTATAATAGTAATCACATCTAATGTTTTATATTTTCGAAAATCGTGACTGTCGTTTTTCGACTTGGTTTTTTTTGGGGGGTACATTGAAACAACTGCAGTGGGTATTTTAATAATATGCAAGTTCAGAATAATCGACGTGACACATTTATCAACATTCACCGTTGATTGGTTTTTTAAAAAATATTTTATTTTATTTTATAATTTCACTAGTTTTTTATGATTTAATAACTTAATGTTTTAATAATTCAACTTACGCAATATAAAAATGTAGTATTTTTTATCAATTGTCTACTATGCACTTTTATTTAAGTATACATACATATGGGTTTTATGTCATAGTACAAATATTAATTTATTAGATATTATTTGCAAATAGTGAAATTATTTTTTGTTTTTTTTTTTGATATTAGTGCTAACCAAGCCATAATAACCTTTTCTACGCTTCTGCCGGGCCTCTATATTTATCCCAATCTATTGAATTTCCTTCTTTCACAGACATTTAGCTGATTAGATATCAAACCTATAGACCAATAGACTAATATCGAAAATAAAAATATTTATGCTATTTAAAATGTGGCCAATCCGACTTAAAGCTTGAAAGTCTTAAAATAATTCAAAACACTACATTCGGCTTAACACAAGGTCCAAAATTTATCCCATACGTTTTTGAAAAGGAATTTTTTTTTATTTATATAAAAAAAAAAAAAAAAAAAAATAAACTCTTCTGAAAACTTGCCCGTATACATTAAGTTAAATATTTTTTCAAACTTCTCAATCATGAATAATTATTATGTATAAATAATAATAATAGTATAGACCTGCAGGTGATCCATTAAAATAATGACTATAGATATAGTGTTAAAATAAAACTGTGTAACGATATATTCGATGAAGGATCCACACGTTCAGAATATACAAATGCAATATTTATACGAATCTTATAACTCGAATAGATATTCGACTGTTTTACAGTCACGTATCAATTTGGCGTGTAATTGATCAACACACATACTAGCCCCCGGCCAATATAATATGTTCGTGTACTTATAGCCCATAGGTCGTTACCTCGAATCGAAAATTCCTTCTTGGTTTATTCCGGTAGCCGCAGCTGAGTTCACACGTTAAATCTTTGCAACTACATAGTACATATAGTATCGTCAATTATTTAATTGCGTGTACCAAACCTCTATTACGTCATACTATCATTGTACGAAAACGTATATTGGGTTTGTTTTTGTGTTCGAATATAAATTTGAAAAATGTCGTACACTAACATTATCGTGAATATTTGACGCGATGATGTTTTATCGTTTTTAAACATTGGCGTAAGGAATTATTATTTTCGTTATACGTGACGATATAGATAATACTTATCCGTAAAATATGTAAAATAGACATTTGATCGGGAGGGAAGGGGGGTTCGAAACCAATATTATTCAAACAAATAAAGGGGCGTAAAGAATTATCACTATTACAATATTAAACAAACATTAGTCAATATTTATAGGAATAGTTTTACTGTGTACAATATATAATATAATAATAATACGTATATAATATATTATAATAATGCGTATAGTATATTTTAATGCTGTCATTATAGGAGGTCGGTCCTTGTTTTCGAATAATCGTTATCAGTTAATATATCTCAAACAGTGAATGCGATATTGTAAATGCTGCAGCTGTTTAAACGTCATTAGATGTATGAGTTATCTGTTATTAAAATATGTGTTCATCGAATTACAGCTTTGCAGGAGTTCGCGATTAGAATCGTCGACCACACGAAAAAAAGAAAAATATAAATTAAAAAAAAAAAAAAAATGCAAACACAAACAATAAATTCGTTCTTTAAAAATATTTATTGATTATAGAATTTATAACGAGTAGGTGTGTAGGTACACACCAGGTGGGTATTTAGCTACCTAACAACTATTTTTTTCCAAAACAATTTTCGGAACGTAAACACGATAATGTTACGAGGAGTTGGGCAAATATTCGAATACTGCCCACATTTTAAAACGAGAAAAACCCTTAATTTTCCTAACGGGTGGAGATGAAAGCGAGTCGAATTGCATGTTTCTATATAGAGTGCAGTTCAATAATAATATAGACGTTTTCGCCGATATGATCCGGCTTTAGAAGAGGATTAAGTACTACACATTCGCGTGTCATTTCCAATTATCGGCCGATTGTCAAATACGTGTCGTCGCTTCGCATTTCTGACGATAGACGATATACGTGGAGAACGGTCTATAAATTTGTAGGGTGACTAATAGATATAATAGGGGAGAGAATATTGTTTCATTAATTGTTTCACGACTTAATCAACTTAATCGCGTGTTTGATTCCCATAATAATACAGACGAGTATAATATAATAATAGAAGTAGTATACGAGCTTCGTTTGCAGGACTATTTCAGAAAAGCGAGGGTAGGTAATTGTTTTCCATAACTCAAACGAGCAATCCCTTTCAAATAATAATAATTGCATTTCCAAATGGTTAATTTTTTCGATTTTATGATGACGTTATTATTTTCAACGACTCGAAAAACCGACATTTATTACATTGTAATAAATAATAATTTTGGTTTTAAAATATCATGTAAAATACTGAACCATAAATAACTATCCCTAAAGTTGATGATTGGTTCATACATAATACCTATAGTATAACCAATACGTTTCTCGTTACGCTTAAAATATTTAGAAAAAATAATATATAAATCATAGAAAAACGCTCAGAATCTAATAGATGTATATTATCAATATTTTAATCTATATTATATAAGAAATGACATAGACATCATTTTCAGTATTTGGGTATATAAATACTTTTTTTTTTTAAATAACTAGTAATTTTACCCCGAGTAATTTTCGCAAGACACTTAGGTATTCGTATACTAGGTCGATATACAAACAAAGTTTGTTATTGTATTCTTCTAAAATGATAACTAATAATTTATTATATTGTACATTAGTGATTTTGTTATCATTAATTTCGATTACACAGTGATATTATATACAGAGACATTATAAAATAGTAGGTTTCTAATATGTACGACTACAATGTCCACAATAATTCTGTTGACGTTTGACATGAAATTTGTCATACTGGGAAAACAATTTTGGTAACCCAAACGAAAAACGTTCGATAGGCGTGTGACGGTTGCGGCTCACTTTTCGTTGGCCCTACTATTATTATAGATACAAATATGGGTACAATACAAAATTAGGTGTTTTACTTTAATATTATAATACTACTTATATATTATACGAGTATATATTTTTATCATATTACACACAATTATTAATACTTAAAACGTTTCGTAGTATTCTATTAAACGTCAAGAATCACAAAAAAAAGAATATATAGGCGGTAAAAATAATTGAGTTGAGTCAGTTGCTTTGTTTCTACATAGAGTTCGAAGTACTTTCTTTTGTAGGTATATATTATTACAATATCTTTCACAAGTCGTTTTTGTTTAGCTATAAAAGATTATATTTCCATTCAAAAAAAAACTGTCCGAAATTAATCTTGTGTATATATACTTCGTATATATGACGTTAATACACGTGTTTACGTGTTTTTAATTATGTTCTCCTATTAATTTAGAGTTCTATTCATCGTGTGGTTCATAATTTATGCGATTGTATTCTAAATCCGATTCTAAAAGAACTACCTACCTACTTAGTTTCTCTTTATAATACTCGCCCCAACAGCACATTCAAAGTGAATTTTAGTATTCAAAAATTGTCGACGGTATACTCAGGAAATCCTAAAATACTATTCTGTAATACTTAAATATAACAATCAATTACTTGTTTTTTTCTTTCTCCGTGTACCCGCTAATACACTTATTACTGGTATTAGATATTTTGTTCCATTTTTTTTTTAGGTTAGACAATTTATTTACTTATTTTACATTACCTAATCGATATATTATATAAAAAAATAATTTGATATACTATTAGGTAATCTTGCTTCAATACCAAATTATGATTAATATTATAAATCTAAAATCGGTACTCCAATTTGCTGCTGCAGAATGTGTGGTTGCATGTACGAGTAGAGTGTATTTCTCGTGATATCAAGATTTTAGGCAGACCTTACAAAACGCTTCTTTGACACGTACAATTTGTATTTATTTATTAGGTACGTAAAAATATATTATAGTATATAGCCTAAATGTGTTTACCAAATAAAATATCAAACTGGACCGCGTGCTTTATATATATGTTATTCGAACACGTGCTACATTCGAGAATATTATTATAAGTCATGTTACGCTATAAATTCGTTTAGACATATTTTTTTTTTCTAATGAGTCAATCACGACTGGCGAGAAAAAAAGCGTTTGCTTGCTGGAAATTCAGTGGGTTCAAGAAGCTCGTGCATATAGCGCGTATTCATTTCATTATATTTGCTCACAGCTTGTCGTGTTTGATTTCCTTTCAGACTTCTGATGATCCTAATATTATGTCCTCGATATAGTGACGTTGAATCCACGGTGGGGCTTAGGAGGGGAAGGTACGCATATCATACACCTAGACACAGAATATAATTTATAATAATATCTAAACAGTTTTTTTTTTTTCATAAAAGCCACATACAATCAATCAACGTGAAACTCTTCTCTATAGGTGTGCAACTCGACCGTCGCCTTATATGACAGCTCCATTCCTTTCCTGCGTGTAAATAACGTGTTTGTTCTCGCCACCGGATCGCTAATTAACTGTTTGGTATCTATATATGTTTGTATATTGCTATAAAACCGAACAACTGATAAAGTGATAACTATAATGTGCGATGGAACCGAAACCGGATTACAATCTATTTTATATCAAATAATAGAAATTAAAAATGTGTACTATTATATTTTCAAAATCAACTCGGACTTTTTACAAGTTAATTATAGTTCATAGATTAGCCTAACTCTTATTTTGTTTGTTTGTTTGTTTTTTGTTTTTTTTTTTACTCCTTAATGACCAGTCTTGAATGACACTTTTAAATATAGATATTATTATTCACTGCTGCCTAAAGAATGTTTTAAAGGAAAAATTTATATACCTGTAGAATTTTTTAATTTTAGATTTTTACTTGAGTCTGCAGTTAATCTATATGAATATATTTATATTTTTTTTCTAGGTGTTCATTCGATTTTTGACAACTAATCGATTTGTTTGATCATTTCTTACATCCCTCTAAACTCAGTCTGGGATTTGAAAATAGCTATTACACCGAACTATCGAAGAACAAAATGTTAGCTTTTGTAGTTGTTATTTTTTATTGGTATTATGATAGAATCCAGCCATCTCTTTCTTAATATCAACTAAAAAATGGTGTAAGTGGTATTATTTGGTTTTGTCTATTATAATGACAATAATTGACTTTTATCAATAAATTCTTAAAATATTTTTCTTACTTATACTACAATGTTAAGTATTATATGCCACCTATATAATAGTAATGCATAGTGAATATACAAAGTATATTTATTTCATCGACTACATATTAAATACTATTGATACGAGCTAGGCTATATTTAGACTTTTCGGATTTGTTTGTAATAAAACTTGTATTTACAAGAACGCACTTTGTTGACGCGGTAGAAAAAATTTCGACTGTAGTAAAACCGAAATTGGAGAAAACGGACAATTCATGCGTATAAACATTATATTCATATATTATTAGATAGGTGTATAGAATAAGTGACAATGGACGAGATATGATAATAGTAGTGATGCGATTCACGCTAATGAGACGTTTTTCGACGGTATCCCTCCTGCAACGTGTAGGTATTGTTGTCATTTTTATACACCAATAATTTGTTTTATTATTATTATTTTTATTATTTAAACGCGTTCAATGATTATCGGGATAAGGCTCAGCGAGGGGCCAAAAACACGTCCTACCCTGTCATCACACTAATCTACACCTATTCGACGAGAGTCCTTTTATTCGTGTTCACGAGACCATCATCTTTAAAACCCTGTTCGCCCGGTGTTTGTGCAACTCAATGAGCACCAGAAAAAAAATACACAGATGTGTGTGCGGTTAACCAAATGTTGACACCTATGTGTTGAAAATACTTTTTTTTCTTCGTCATTACACGGCGATGGTCTATCGTCGAGGGATTCGAGCTCTCGACCTCAACGACAATAATAATGATAAGGATACAATAATTATTATTTTAATAATATTGTGTTATCTTTCGAATCTTTACGATCCGCGTGTATTAACATGATATCGCCGTTTCGTCAATTTGTATAGCATTTAACGCAATAATGGTACCCTACCTACCTATTAATTGTCGCGACTTGTTAATCGTTCCTAACTTATAAACAATTATTAAATATTTTAACACTAATATATAATAGGTAGGTACATTATATTATATTATTTTAGTCTCGACATTTTATTATTTTAGGTTATTTATACAGGTGAAAATATGTACTCATCATATAGTGTTTTATAACGATTCTATATAAATTATATTTATTTTACACACTTTCTTTATCTATATATTATAGGTGCTTGCCGATAAACAAATAAAACAAACATATATTATAATATTATAATAATTATTGCCCATAACATGAAATTATTTATGTCTATAGTAATGCGTTTTTTTTCATAATTTGATTTAATTTTGTTTTTATATTATAATGGTTAGATTTCTAGATTCTGAGTGAAGAGACAAATGTATTAGTTTTTTCTGAGATATTTGTGAGTATGTGAATGTATGTACACCTGTAAACTGATTTCTACCAGGAATCTTGCTTTTATCAAAAACTTTATAGGAACTTTTTTGTAACATTTTTGATCTTGTCTGTGCGTTAAGAAAGTCATTTTTTTGATTTGCCCAGTTGATTTCTGGTTAATTAGGTTCTTTGGAAACAAGGGGAAGGGTAAAAATACGACTAATAATATTCTGCTCAATATCGTTTTTAATTAGCAATGGTTTATCGTTGCGTACAGATATAACAATTGGGACACCTATCAACAATATCAGCCTTTCAGTTTTATCTGTGTTATTTATATTTTATTAAACGAAAATATTTCGAAGTTATATAAATATAATATCATCTATATAATCACATCTGCAGTTGATCTTAAACTATAATGACGTGTAAACAGTTTACTGTAACACTTTAATTTATTTTTTTATTTTTATAACTTATTCCGCATAATTGTTTATCATATATCACGGAAACCATTTCGATTTTTAAACAATATTTCGATTGGTCTATTTTATTGGGGAGGTCGTCTTTTGATTTCTGTTAATTTTGATTTTTTTTTTTTTTATTTGTAGTTCGTTGAAAAATAATAAATTGTTGAAACGTGAACATTTAAAAGAATACTTTTATTTTCAGCACTTATAGACAAGGTAACATTTTAAAAATATTTTGGCATTGTTTGAATTCTCGATACGACACTTATTATCGAAAGACGTATTAACTTTTTTTGGATTTTTTCACACAATTTACGAAACAAATAGTTCTAAAATATTACATTGCCGTTATTTTATTCACTTTTCAAACAATAAACTAAATTGACATTCGATAGATATAAGAAGGTTTAGTTTGAATATATTTTGATGTTAAAATATTCAATTTCTGTTTATTCGTTAACGAAAAATTTCACTTTGAAGTTTAGGTAGGGGGATGGTAGAGGAACGATATTTATACTCTGGCCGCTAAGCTACCACACAAATGATGATCCACATTCCCCCCCCCCCTATTTAAATTTGTAAAGTATTCGAATACAAATTCTGAATGTTTTTATTAAATATTTTATCAAAATCTGTATAGAATAATAGTCGATAATCTTGTATATCTTGTGGTCCAGGGTAGTCGATTCGTTGCTGTTTTATTCGTCCCGACACTAGATAAATTCTAATCCTTATAGTTGGAAATTAGTTTTTGTTTTGGGGAGAGGGGTTATGTTTTTTTATTACCCAGGGAGAAGCGGTATTCACCGATCATTTTGTTCGCATCACATATAAAATAATACATAATATTAATACTATATTTGTATCGTGTTTAATGAATTTCGAGTCTCGAGATGATGTCTGTATATAAGAGTATAATTCTCATATTTTTCATATAGAGCTTGCGAGGACCACGACGTTCACGTGGCATTTTATTACAATATTATAATATTATATACACCTGTAATAATTTTATATATTAATTTATATCATCGGCGCGTGTATTAGATCGGCGCGTCAAACAATATCCGTAGGCTATATTATTTATGTATACGGTTTTTCGATCTCGTGCCGGTAAAAAATGATAAACGATCGCACGAGATTATAAAATTATTATATTATTATATTATATCCGAACACCCGACTTGTAATATTTTTATACTCATATCGAATTACGTTCGGAGACTTGCTGTGGTTGTTCGTGACTGCGTCGTCGTCGTCGGCTTCGTCGCCGCCGCGGTGTGTACCTTTATATTATATTAATACGGTGCGTGGGTCGAGAATCGCGTCTCTGTAATATTATAATGTACAGAAATCAAACACATAATAATATTATCGCGCGTTCGGGCTAATAGGTTTCGATAGGTTACTATGATAATAGTAATAATAATAATAATAATAATAAAAAACTAAATTAAATAAATAAAAAAAATAAATAATGTATACATAACGATATTATATAGAGATATGTATATATATACAAAAACAATGATGCTCAAATGGTCGCGTTCCTCTTCTCTCCCCTTCCCCTCCTCTCGTAAATATTACTCCGCACTCCTCCTATAAATAATAGAGTATTGCCGCCGTCTATGTACTTGTCTATATAGGTATCCGAAATCCGAATGTCCCGGCAGCGTATTAACGTACTCTATATTCGAAACGAGTCGTGTACGATAATGCCAATCTTCTAATCGGCTCTTTAACTATCGTCAATCACACATTTATAATACCGATAACATACGACGTACTCGGTTGTATAGACGTGTTTTTCACCGTAGATCCAAACCTGATACTGCTCCGAGAAAGATACATAGTATAAACCGTAAGACTTGGTCTTTGACAATTCACGACAGGTTTAGATTAAGCGGGGTAAAAACAACATCCGTTAGCTGCGTAACTAGAGTCAACCTTTATACCCCAGTTGACTTGTCTGTCGCCGTTGTATTATTCTATTTTTTAAAACATATTTTTATAATATTGATCTAAAGTAGTTTTAGTCACCCGAGTTTTATTACACTTTAGTCTGTAAAGGTATTTAAAACCCAGTATTTCCACAACGAAAACACGATATATTTCAGCATAAAAATGGATGGGTTAAAAGGCGAATTTTCAAAAGACATATAGTTGACACTTACACTATGCATATATAACTTTGTATCCTCATGGCTATACTTGGGAGTCTGTAGGAGTAGGGGTGTACAAGGCTAAAAAAAAAAACACCCTACACCTAAAATAATATATAGTTAAATATTCATATTGATATCCAATCCAACTTTTATTACTTTATTCCGTCTAAAAAACGACTTTGATTCTCAAGTTTGAGCTCATTTGGTTCAGAGAGAGTTACCAGAAATGTTCACAACTAGCGGGAAAAAAATATATACGTAATATAATAATAGAAACGATATAGTTGCAATAGCTTCTATTTCGACAAATTCAAAATTCGATAAAAACCCTGACTTTAAGTCGAATTTAGTCTATGATCGTAGGATTTGAACTTAAAAACCGATAAATACGCTATCAAATCAGATTTTGAGTTATATAGCACCTAAAAACTTAACACGAATAACGCCACGTCTGGATGATCAGAGTATTCCATATTCGTCTTTGGCTTATTTCATGTAGGGAATGTTAATACGCGCCCAGCCAAGATTTAAGGTCGTCTAGATCACAGTGGGATCACGGTACATATAATAATAATAATAATAATGCTCTGCCACATTAAACAATAATCACAGTATACGCGTATAAATACAAATAATAACAATAGCATTATATTATTATGATAGCGAGGCGAATAGCCGCGGATACGATAAACGGCCGGTAATTAATATTATTATTACCAAAGGTAACCGTAGAGGTAACTACCGCGCCGCCGCCACCGCCGTCGTCATCGTCGTGAAAAGCCAATTAATTAAATAGATCCGAGACCCCTTGAACCACCGCGGGACCAGCGCCACCACCACCGCCGTTCGAACCGCGGCACGTTCACGTGGGTATGTAGAGGTAAAAAAAAAAAACTCGACGTCTAAGGATTTTTATTTTTTATTAATTTAACAATGACACGGAAACCATTAATATTTCGTTCGGTGTGCTCTACGCGGTAAAAAAAAAAAAAAACGCACAAAATATAATATTATATTATAGTAGTGCGTTTAGCGTTAGGTACCTATATTTCGATACGAACCAAAAAAAAATTCCATCGTATACCTAATAATAATAATAATAATATTATTATTATTATTAGGTGTATATATATATATTTTTTTTTTTATCTGAAGAAGAATATTATAGAAACTATGTATACAGTCGTCGTCGTCATCGCGTGGTATTTACACGCGGATGAATACCTTAACGCGTTTTAATAATAATTGCCGTGGGAACACCTAGTAATTTTGTCTATGCGCCGAGCATAAAACGCCGTTTTGTGTTATTATTATCATATGGGTACGCATTATAAGGTGACAGGAAAACAATATAATAAACTCGCTAGTTTTTGGAATTTGTTATATTTTTTAGATTCTGAGCGAAGCGAGAAATGTGTAATTGGTTTTACTACAATATTTTTTTGTGTTTCTGAAAACAACCAATCAAAATTGTACAGGAACTTTTATGTAGACGTTTTGATCTAGTTGATACATTGCAAGTGATGTCGTGTTTGATTTTCCTGGAAGTAAACCGGAAGTACTAGCAATTGTATTTGTACAATTTATTTTATCGAATTTTGAGTTATTTGGAAACCCGTGAGAAAAAATCCGACCACTAATACTCTGCTCGTTTTTCGTTAACAATGGTTTGTCATTGCATACGCAATTGAATGACTCAATATATCTTCCATTTCAATTTCTTTACTAAAACAGTGGCATCCCCTTCAGCTGTATCAGCCTTTTGTTTTTAAAAATAATATTTTTTCTTCTTCAAAAGGAACCTTGACGAGAAAAAGTACTCTCTATACGAGTTTTAGCGGCCACTAATACAATAATATCACGCCACAAATTGTATACACTCGGCATTCTCGGTGGAAGAGGACTCGCTTCATTATTCATTGACCTTTTCCTCGGCTTGTAGCGCGGCATTTTGTCTCGGGATATCCGATATCCGATAAAATGCTGTAGTTTTTATTTTTTTTATTATTCATTTTATTTTCAATAATGTATTAATTTTTTTTACAGTATATTAAGTAATACGCAATATTTTTTATATAGTTTACGAAATCATTAAATGAATTATAATACTATTATAATAAACTCGATAAACTGCTATAACGTACTATTCGTTAACATTAACGTTAATACGTTAACATCGTAACATTTTCTTAACGTAAATTTACGTTCTTATTATTGCTTTTGTATTTGTTTTCAGTTGTACACGGCGGGCAACGAAACCGACAGGCGTAGTTTTTTGGATTCGCTGTTTAGTTACATGCAAGAACAAGGTAAGTGAAACAAAATACATATTAAATCGCTATTAAGTTTTTTTTATTAATATTATAATTATTTTATTTTTGAATTGGCATGGGAATAATATGAATTTACTATCATAAGCGTTAATAGCCCAAATTTTTTTTTGTTTTTCGGGGGGAGGGAACTTAAGTTCCCATAATTTTGATTACTATTATGCATACTTAGTATTTACTTGATAACGACTTGATTTTAGAGGGCTTGACATGTGTACAAGAATAGCGATAACTTAAACGAAATTGTTTATTTCTGGCGGTCACCTAATTATTGGTTACAAAAAGGGGGAAAAAATACGACTAAATTCAAATAATCCGTATGCCGATTTACCAGTTAGCCCCATTAAAAATCGTTTTTGATTGCAATGATTTATCGTCAGCTTTAGTATATTAACTATAAGTTATCTACCTCTTACATCTTTTATCTTTCAGACTTTTCACACTGTAAAAGTAACCTACCCATGATGTAAAGTATTTACGGTTTATTTTCACTTTTCCAGTATAGGTAACAGCTAAAGTAGGCATTATCAGTTAATTTTCTTCATAAGATAAATAAATTTACACTATGAGCTCGTAATAAATTGTAAGGATTTTTAAAATGTAATGATTTTTTACTGATTATGTGTTCTCATAAAGTATAGGTACACGCAGAAAATACAAATATAGACAAGGATACAAATTCTAAGTGTGCATAGAAAAATATGAACATAATATTATTATTGTTATAATTGTTTTTTTTATAACCCCACGATTCTTTGTTAATAGTTATGCTTATGATGTTTCAAAGCAAATTTTCATAAGTCCCGATGCCGAAATCGTAAACGTGACATTTAAATCAGATATAAAAAATAAAAAAAATTCGACTAAAACGTATATTATAGATTTACGGCCTGCACTCGGCGGTTATAATAAAAATAATATGCATCGCCTCCTGCACGTCTGTTCCCAATAAAACACGTCACATATTATAATATATTTTTCCGTTTTTGTTTTATTTGGCTATAAAAAGTATCGGGTTTTTTTTTTGTAAAAATATTTTTTTATTGTTATTTCATTTAATAATAATGGACTCTGAGCCGCCCTATATGTGGTTTGTGTGCGCGTAACTAACCGAGTTATAATATGCAAAAAATAAAATATACTTATATTAAACGTTGCAACATAATAATATACCATGATTTCTAACAAGAATAATAGGTAATAATAATTTAAACAGTAATCAATAGCTGCTGCAGTGTATGAGTATATTATGCTATATGTATTTTAAGTGAAGCGAGAAGTAGGTTATATTGGGTATAAGTACCTATATTGGTTTTATTATAATGATGCGTGTGTGTGTATTTTTTGTGTCTATAAACAACCCGCAGAATTTTCGTCCGATCAAAAATTTTATAGGAACTTTCCTTTCTTGTTGCATTTTTGATTTTGTAAGTGTATAATATTGTCAATATTTTTTATTATCCTTGTAGCATTCTTAATAAATGGGAAAAAAATGTTGATTTTTTTCTGGTTATATTGGAAATAATAAATACTCTGTTCAGAATTGTTTTTCGCTAGCAACGGTTTATTGTTGCGTGCAAATATAAACTATAGATATTCAAAAATTCACGCTCTAGGTTCTTTTTTTTTCGGTTTTGATTTTTGTTGATTTCTACAGAGTTACCTTGACAACGAGGGGAAAATAACACGACTAACAATACTATTCCATTCAGAACCGTTTTGATTCAATGATTTATTAAATTACACTACAGTTTTATATGTATCCTTCCCTCCCAACTAACCACCTACAACAGTGGTTTGTCCGCGAACAGTGTCGACTTTTTATTGAAAATAATATTGGGTTTTTTTTCTTCGTATTGCGTATAAAACGCGATAATATTTTGTTGAAGGTTGACGTTGTTATACAAGTGTATACCTTATTATAATATATATTGAACACGTCGTCGTCGTCGTGTACATTTTTTAAACGGCCTAAAACTACCCATAGCGCAAACACATTATTACAAATAAAAAAATAAAACATAAAAAAGTAGGTGGAGTATCGCGCGACGTGTCCGTAACGATAATTATAAAAAAAAAAAAAAAAATCATAATTACCGAATATATTAAACGCGCGCGCGCACTCGTTAATTTATTATTCCGATCACCGCACGGGTGGTGGTGCGCAGTGCAAGAGCGCAGGGGAAACAAAACTCGAATTCCCTAATAATATATATATACATAATATAAACGACAAATGCCATCTAATGATGTTTTACAAATTTGGTAAACTATACATATGTAAATATTAATTTTCGGTTCATTACAATATTAATAGTAGTAATATTATGTATAGTGTTGGTTTTATGATCGGGGGGAAAGCGATATTCCGAAGAAAAAAATTATAATACGTACAATGATTTTCATTTAAAAAAAAAAAAATTAAAAAAATAAAAATATGTGTGCCTGTACACAATGCGTCGCGGCAACAATCCTGCGTACAAGTATATTATAGGTGTGTATGATAATAATAATAATAAACGGCAATTGTATAAATGGGTAATTAGCACAAATACAATAAATTAATTTACACACTATTCACCTGTTGCGCGTTATTTTCTAAACAAAATGTACCTATACTGTATGTAATACTATAATAATAATATGTATTTCTCGAATATATAGTTGTATATACAATACGCACACACACATGCATACAATAATAATTTGTGAACGCAAAATGTTAATTTTTTATTTCGAAATTATATCATTTTTTTTTTTTTTTTCGTTACCTACGCAACATTTAAAATGCTATAATAATTATTATTACGCTCTTTATTATACGTACACGTAGTAGGCGTGTATAGTGAAAAAAATGTTTATATTTTTCTGATCGCGAGAATCCACGCGTCAACATCAATATTCTGCCGAAACACAGTGACATTGAGCAACAAAATGTGAAAAATGTTTTTTTTTTATTTCGAAATATTTGTTGTTTTTTTCCTTTTCTATATTTTGGATTCTTAGCAGAGATACCATAAATACCATAAACATATTTGATAATGAACTCGGTCAAATGTAAATGAGAAAGGCACTAGGAAAAAAGCCAAAAAATCGTTTTTTTTTTGAATCTGAGAAAAAACATGTTTTTAGTTTTAAAACGAAACTATTTTTTTTTTACAATAGTTTAGATTAAGTTCAATGTTAAATGTTAAACTTTGAAATGTGACATTAAGAATTAAATTACATTTGAAACGTTGGGAACAATCACATTAAAATATAACAGATTTTTTCTACATTATATTCTAAAGTGTCTTTTCTGGTTTTTCAGTGTACGTATTTTCAAAATAATATACGAAAAATAGTTGCTAAACAAAAAATTCGTATCTAACCATAATACGATAATTTGTGTTTGTACTGGCTTACATACAATATATATGCATATATATATTTTTAAACAGCCTGAAAGCTTTTATTACAACGATCAAAGATATTTAGTATTACATTACAAAGGTATACAAGAATACTAATGTATTAATGCATCAAAAAAAAAAATATATATATATATTTGGTGGAGTCCTACTCCCAATGGAGTATCCCCCGCCTTAGTTTAAGAATCTTATACTTAATCGAATGGCCTTCAGCGTTTGAAACGCCTAGTGCTTTGAGAATTGTCAAGTATTTAAATTGCTACTGGATTGGTTTGTTGAATGCTTTAGGTATCTCATATTTCACATCATGGTGGATAAATTTATTGATTATTGAAAAAATAATAATAAGAAAACAGGGCGATTTCAGAAGAAGTAGTTTTTCTCAAAACCATTTTTTATGTCACTTAGGTACTTTGACTTTTGACTTAGGAACATAGTATTATATTTTGAGGGGTAAATTTGTTTTTAGTCAAGTATTTTTTATGAAAAACAAAAATATACATAATTTTTCGGTACTTTTTTTTTCAAAAACAACCTTCTTCTTCTTCATGGCATCACAATTCTCCGATAGTTCTTTTTAATACGGACGTCGCAGCCTTTTCTTCATTCTTGCAAATTTACAACACCTAATTTCTCTAATTCTCATTTCCACCCCTTGGCTTTTTTAGATATTTTCTATAAGTTTCTTTCCTGGTGATAGTCTCCGCTCGACTTCCAAACATGGATTTTTATGTATCCTATAAATAATATTTAAGCAAAACCTTGTTTAGTTAAATTGACTACATAATATTATAGACTATTATATTCGTAGAATATCATAGAATCATATAATATACAAAACTAAGAGCATTTCTGATTTCTGAACTACTATTTCATCTTAATCAATACGTTCAACATGTTTGATCATTCACCCGCTCACCCATTTTGAACATAAGGCAATGGTCTTAAAAATAACCTGCTTCAGCACACCACTGCTAGACGGAATTCGGGTGAAGACAACCAAAATATTATAAACTAATAAGTTTTATCTTGATAATCGCTTTATATTTCAATGCATTTCCCCAGGGTTGAATTTATTGGGTAGTTACCAACTGCATGTATATAGTGGATACACAATAATATAATATCGCCGTAGTGTTTTATAACTCGTAGTGTGCAGCAATGGTAATATGCATCGTATTATATTAGTGTTCAATAATAATATAATAATACCTATGTTAAAATTCAAAAGTAATGATAAAAAAATAAAATATTAACACGTTGTAATTTTTAGTTCCGAGAAAAAAGGAATATAATATAATATTTTATGTTTGGTTTGAAAACGTGAAGTGGTAGTTGAATATATTATTATTATTATTATACGTATACAATATATATATACAGTTAAACAATGACTAATATTTATCAGATTTTTTTATGAACTAGTGTAAAAGTTTATGGCTTTCAGACCGCAACAATGTAGGTAGGTACCTGCATGTACTGCACACGCGGCACACTGCGGCCAATATTATTCTAGTATTATATTATTACTATTATTATTATTATTATTATTTTTTTTTTTTTTAATACTTGTACATAATATCGCCATTAAATATAATATCTAATAAAAAATATTCAGTTGCAATCGTTGCAATGTTTAATAATAATAACTGCGCGCGGGCAGTCGCGTACGGTGGTCGGCGCAGAAATTTATCGAGAAATAATGCATTCCGGACGACATGTAAACGCTGATAACATAATATAATATAATAATATAATATTATTTACCGAGCGTATATAATAAGCTACGCATACTTAATATCATGTACGCGGGTATTTTTTACTGTTTTTTGATAACAAAAAAAAAAAAAAAAACATTATTTTGCGGTCGTTAATTTGTATAGGTGATTTCCGTTAATGAACAACATTATTCCGCGCGTACCTGTCGCGCGTAAAAACAAATATAAACAAATATTTTGAATACGCACTGTTTCGATCTGGTATTTACTATAAACGTTTTATTAATACAAATAATATACGTATTATATTAAATTGAGCCGTAGATTCTAATGATCTTTAGTTGAATTTCAGTAAATAATATCATTATCATTTTACATAGATGTCCCACGTCTTGAAAATCACCGGATTTCATATGTCTTCATGAAAATTTCAAATATTTAATATTAAAATATTATTAGTCTTCTCCTTCCTCCTCTATTCTTCTTTTTATTGAAGGCGTTTCCAGACGCTGCAAATCTGGATCTCCGTTCGTCTCTATCCATGTAGCCAATCTCTTTACACCGGCATACCGGATGTAATTAGACTGTCTAATAATTTCTTCGATGTATTCCTTCCTCGGTAATATTCTCCTTTTATAACTGTTCATTTGTCCGTCAAATATGTTTGTCAAAAACGGATTATTGTGCACAAGAAGGTTCTTTTTTCATCTATTTTATGGTACTGAACAAAGTAATTTGCTTTTCACTCCGCACATTCCTATGTTGTTTTTCATTTCTGTTTAACTAACCTATATTATTCTTCTTCAAATTTCCATTGTCTTTAACTTTTTATTGTCTAGTTAAATCTGTGCTCATATGTTTTTTTTCATATTTACAGTATGTTTTTCATTTGTAAGTATTCGCATAAGTAATAACTAACGTTTTCGAAACATTTTAATAAAAAACATAAATTGCATAATTTTTGATTATATCTATACTATTTTCTAAATGAAACCAATGCTATACCATTATTTGTGTAAAACTCCAAGCTGCTGCAGCGTTTACCTACATATTTTAAAATTTTCAAAAAACAACTAACCATAAAAGAATTTGAATTATGTTCTGCGTAAACTCTTACGAAAAAAAAAAACAAAATTTTTAGGCCTGTTTGTTATTAGATATAGGTAATATAAATTATTATTAGGTACGTACTATTTTAGTTCATTATTACTGTTGAAATATTATTATTATTTTGTTCGCTTTTTTTACTTACCGTGCACCTGACCATATCTGTCATTTTATCCTATATTGTATTATAGCAAGCCTATTCAATTTTAAGTTTTTTTTAAATTATAAAGGTTTGCCCGTCATGTTCAGAGTTTTAGTATCAATTATACTCAGTTATACAATAACCATCATGCAGTATAATAACTGATAATAATAATTATTACAACCGTTGATAAAATGCGCAATAATTATTATAGGCGTGTCGCTGATGCTGAACGTCCATTGTTTAAAATATTATAATGTGTATATTTATATATAATATTATTTAAGTGAGCCTTAATACAATAGTAATGAAGTGCGTCAAGTAAACATAACTTCTCGTTTACGATTATTGTTGTAATTAGTTCAAAACAGCTATGGTCCAAAATAAAGCAGTAGTGATGTACGCACACGACGTGTTCGGGACTTCGATGAGTATTTTTTTTTTTTTGTACACCTATTTTCTACTCAAGTGGCAGCTACCGATAATAACCCACCATCCCTTATGATCATTGAATAATTTCTCACCTTTGTACTCTATTTGTATAATCGTAATATCCAACTCAGATATTTTTTTTGTTTTTATTTTATGTTATTATGGTCTTGTTGCGTCGGTCGTATAAAGCCATGGCGTTAGACCATTTTTTTCCCGTTGTTTAAACAATCAAACGGATTATAGGAAGTGATGTATGTTAATCTAAGATTGTGTAGCATTGATGATTTTCGTAAGGTGTAAGATAATTTTTTTGGGAGGAGATACCATTTTTGAGATTGTTTTTTTTAAATACATTTTGTAAACTGCTTATAACGAATACGATTTTAAGCGTTTTTTTTTTTTTTTTATTTTGATTTTAAGTGTTTTAAATTCCAAATCCTGTTCATAATATTATGCGTGTATATAATAATAATATCTTTGTAATTATTATAAATTCTCGTTTCAAAAATCGATCGTCGTCATCGTACACTGCAACTGCAATAATAATAATAATAATATTGATGGACACATTAACTATCGTGGCCCGCTCCACCATTATCGTTATTAATAATACTGCACGTCTATGCATAAAATTATTCTGAACCGTATAACCGAATATAATTACGTCTATATAATTTTTAATTTCCAAATGCAAATGGACGTTATTTTCTTATTATTATATTCCTTAAGGTTTAATTTTTGTTCTTTCGTCCTTATAATATACGTACTATACGTAGGCATACGTTCTTATCCACTACACAGGTACCTATAATACGATATAGTAGGTTCCATTTTTTTTTTTACATTGTAAAATCCGATATGGGCATCCCACCTCCTCCCCCTTCTCCGTAATTACATCATCATCAGAGTAATATTAGTAATCGTATTATTATTATATACGTCATGTGTGCAATGACGACTCCGTTTATACCTATACAATAATAATATAATAATATTTCTCCATCACGGCCGCGATTTTTTATTGCGTTTATTTCCAGTCGATATCAAAAGACACCGCGATTATACATATATATATATATATATTTATAAAAAAAAATCATATCATATAATATATACGAATATTATTATAACGTTTAATTTATCTATATATATATATATAGGTATATTACATGCGTCTTGTAAATCGGCCTTCGGCTGGTGTATATAATATTTATCTATATATGTATAGCGTTGGATTTTTCGGTTTTTTTTCTCCTCTTCTTCTCCTCCTTCAGCAGTATACGCTATACAGGGTGTTCCCGTGTTCACTATCTATCTATGTATATATAATACGTTTGATATAAAATAATTAAATTAAATTAAATTATCGTATAGGTGTTGCGGCGAGGTCTATCCGTGATAATATAATAATAATATTATAATAGTACATTGTATTCCGAAGATTACGACGGCGGCGGCGATATTAAAAAATGAAAACCGATACTTTTATTATGTGTATGTATAGGTGCCTACGTTCAACGTCAAAAACACAAATATATTATTAATCATTGTTCGAAATTAAACGATCCGAACACGTTTTTTTTATTATTATTATTGTTATTGACGTCATGCTGCCATATCTCGTCGGCGTTCTATAATTTAGGTATATAGAATCTATAACAATATCGTGAATTTATATACGATTTTTTTCACGGTTATTCCAAAGCGAATTGACTTCGTCTATACTTCTATAAAAGTTTTTTAAATGATAAAAGTATAGGTTTTTATACATATCATAAAAAAAATCGTCCAAAAAGACACACCGTATACTTATAGACGGATTCTGAGGTCACCCTAATGAATACTTTTAAGTTATCGCGGATGATTTTAGTCCCTATGCGACACTTCATAATTCATTTGCCAAACGCGTTTTATTCGTATATTATAATTTATTTTATATATTTCACAGAATGTATTGGAGGAGGGGTAGATTAGTCAACCGTCAATAGTTATAAACGATAACAAATAAAGATGGTTTAATTGTTGGTTTTAATAACTGAACATAGATAATATGTACCAAAAATACATATTTAACAGCTATAGAAAAAGTTAAGCAGTGGGTCGAAGCGTAAAGCGTATAAATAATTACATTAATACAGCGCATGGTAAAATAAAATTGATAGAAATGCCAAGTTCCCTTCCTCATAGATATGACCGATCATCAGTCTATGTGTATAATATACGCGAATGGTGGAAGAACAATATAAGTGCCTGCCAAATTACTATTAAATGTCAATGCGATTTCTTAATCCGGTTTTATCGGTCGCTGACCGATGAAAAAACAATTGCTTAAAATTCAATATCAAACGTGGAATAGTGAAATACTATATATAAAAAAAAAACATCATTATTTACACACTTTGTGCACACCCTGTGTCTGCAGTACGGTCTGATGGCTTGAATTATCGTCGGTCTTTAGTGTGATCCGATTGTGGAGCCGGAGGCGCATATATATTTTTTATATGAACGTTTTCGAATAATTAATTATACAATAGTCGTAGAATTTTTATTTTCATTTTTTATTTTCCAAAAATAATTATCGCCGCTCTCGGATATTATTCCCATCAATCAGCGGGGTCGTGATTTCGGATCATTCGATCACTTTCATCTCTACCCTGACGTCGTCATCAATCCTCCGTGCGTACATTTGGCGTCCGACCTATAATATTATCGTATACATTTATACATGGTGTGCGTATAGACAGTATATAATATTATAATCGTGTGACCTCACGTGTCCGTCCGGATAGTTATAAACGCCGAATATAAATAAAAATCGAAAAAAAAAAAAGACCTATAAACGTAAAACCCACAACGCTCACCTACGTGTCTATAATATTATTGTGTTGTATTATATCAGTGTATATGTGCAGTATAGGTACACAAAGACAAAACAAACGTATATTTGCGCACGGTTTATTTTTTTTTTATATTCCGATCGCGACGCGGAACGCATTGGTTTTACTATGATCTACGCTTTTTTTCTGTCTGTGAACACCTTTTTTATTAGTTATCTTGCTCAGATCAAAAAAAAAAAAAAGGATTTTTTTGTAGCAGATCGGCACACTGACGAGGTTGCCAAACATCGTTTGATTTTCTTTGCGGTTCACCTTAAGAATAAGGAAAAAAACGTGGGGAAGACCGCACGAATTTACGGCAATGACGATTTTATTATTGTATAGTATTTCAATTATGTATTATTTTCGATCTTGTTTTTTTACCAAAAGTGTTAAATTAGATTTCCAGAACAGCTTTTTTTCTGAAAAACTACTCTGAAAATTTGTATAGGTCATTTTTTGATTTTCCTTGGAGTTTCCTTAATAATTGGGATATTGGGAAAACCCTTAGGAAAAACGGAAAATAGCCAGTTTCATTAATTTTAGTTTTGTTCTTTCTGTCATTAATAATCGTAGAGATCTGTGTAAATAATGTTCATATAAGTATTGTATAGGCGTGATAACATTTTAAATACATTTTGATTTTTGAGTTATTATTTGAAACTTTCGAAATTTTTTTAGTTTTTCTATCTATCAGAAACAATATTTAAAATAGTGTGGTGTGTAGCCAATCATTAAATCTCATGTGGTCTCGAATGTTAACGCGGTAGCACAGTAAAGGACTTGTTTAGCCAATAGTAGCCAGGAAGTCCAAAAACGATTGACTGTCGGGTTGGTGTACTGTTCGGTTTTGCGCATCTACGCATAATTGATTAGGAAACGATTTAATTTAATGTATGATGTACCACGTTATATCCATGGTATATTTACATCGCAGACTTAGGTATAGAATTAATGGGACCTATTTTGATCTTAATCTTATCCGTGGTTTACATATTGTATGCGATTTTGATTCTTCCATTCAACTGCAGACGGCGACAATGACTCGCGACGCTTAAAATATCAATTGATATAGGGAAATTTTATCGTCTCGTCTCGGGACGTTTAAACCGTTTAATATGATATTATGTGAAAATTACGATATCATAACAGCCACGATTTTGTATTGTGTGGTGTGTGTGTGTGTGTGTGTGTGTGTGTGTGTGTGTGTGTGTATGTGTATGTTTAAGTATACTAATATTATGTGTGCGCACGTATGTCATAAATATTATCTTTTCTCGACTAAGACTCACAAACACCACAAACACCTATTATGACACCTCTCTCCCATTCACGTCGCGATCGGGACCGGTTATGCACATTCAATGTATAATGTATTATATATACATAAACCTAACGTAGCGTTCACGATGAGTTATGGATCGAAAAGGCTAGGAGCCGATGTGTTTATTTTCGAGGCCAATTATAATATCGTATAATATAGTGTACCGCACATTTTCAACAATGCAATATGCAAATCGACCGACACGATAATATTTATATTAATTTTGGTTTTTTTTTTTTTTTTATCAACCAATAATCCCGAAATATCGTCAGTTATTTAATAGTAATTGATTGCTTGCCTTTTTTTTACGTTCTTGGTTTGCAACTAATGCTCAGAGAAAAAAATACAATTTGTTTAACGATTCAATACATTTGTTTTATACATGGTTATTATTTGTATGTAATATTATTTGCAGAAAGTCTTTTATGATACTCAATTACACTTGTGCGGTTTCTTTTATTATGAATATAATATAATATATTACTGAATGCTTTAGAGTGGTCCTCGTCGGGGAACCGCTTTTCACAAACTCTACAGCAAAATGTTACGGAACTTGTCTGGTCTTTTTGTATAGCCCCATTGCGTTTCTTCGAATATAAGGGTAGTAATTTGAAATAAAAAATATCAATGATGTATTTACGATGGAGGGGGGGGGGAGATTAGGGAGATATATCTCTTGAACTTTTTTTTGTACCAATTATATTTTATATAACTAGGTAGGTGCCTATTTTTAAATTCAAATATTTCAGTCAGATATCCATCAGTCGATTTCCATAATATTTAATACCTGGTCTTCCTAGATAAACTACAAAATACGCCACTTAATATTATTATTACAAAGGAAAATGTATAATATTTACCAGGTATTTACGCCATATTTTTAATCTTGGTTTTCAGTCTTGTGTCTTTTAACCTCAAAAAATAAGTAAAACAAAAAAAAAAAAAAACTCATAGGAATCGTAAAATAATGTATACTTTAGAAATATTTTATTATATACAAATAGATCTACTATTATGTTGAATAATATTAGTATTAGATGTGAAGACGAAGAATAAACGAAAATTGACGGTTTAGAAAACAGCAAAGTCGAGTTTATTGAATTTTCATCGGTCGGGTTGCGGTTCGTCTGAAATTACGTAATGTGTAGTAACCAAGTTACGTATTTAGCTAATTTATGAATAATAATTGTTATTTTTAAATAATATTACGTTTTCTGGCCGCAAATAGCCCGAGCATTTTTAAAGAAATTTTCTTTGTTCGAATGTGCATACAGTAAAGTACATTGGACACGCCGCAGTAGAGTAAGAATATGCCTACCGTTTGATCCACTAGTAAATTATTAAATTGATAGGTTTTGTAACGAAATATTTAATTTTATATAAGAAATAAACTCAATGGCAACTGGGAAAAGTTTTTAAATTAAAGAAGAAAGAACTTTCTTTTCGACTTTTCGACTTATCTGCTAGTGGAGCTTTTTTTTAATAAAAAGAAATAAACATGCAGCGGATATTAACTAGAAATTTCTCGTGTGCCCGTGTGAATGAATTTAACAATTATACAATTTTTTTTTTTGTAGTGAAAAATCAAATATAATTAACATTTTTAAATTACGGTGGTATTGTGATAATATTACCCTGGCACCTCTCGGAAAAATCGTTGAAAAATTTTTCAACGAGAAATATATAAGTACGAATTCTGAACCCAGTGGTATAAATTATTAACCTAACATTATTAATTTTGCTCCAATTTTCAAATGTAACATTTTTTACGAAAGGAAATTTGATTGGGGATGGTACTTTAAGGACGTTACTTTTTTAATTTCCCCAGGGTTTCATAATAAACGGAAAAAACGTAGGAAAAACGGGAAATCTACGAAGTAATGTATTTTTTTCAATTCGTAAATATTACGGTCTTTTAAAACATATACAACACCAAACTCCGCTCAGAACCGTTTTTCGTTTGCAAAATTCAATCGTTGTGTACAGATATATACATTGAATTCCCCTCTACATCCTCTACCAGTTTGTCTCCGTATCTTTTTATCATATTATCGTGCCGAAACGCTAAACAAAACGCAACGCGAAAATCAACGGACGGAATGAGTTCACGAGAATTACGAATCGTTTAACGTAGCCGCGCCGTCCATCTAGTTGCAAATATGTTGCGCGTATTTTGTATAAATTGTAATCGTAATGATTTTTTTTTTTTTCATACTGGATACACGCCGATAAAAACAGTAAGCGTATACATAATATTTTACTCGGGCGGTCACAATGTCGCCAGTGGCCGGTCACGTCCTGATAATAATAATAATATTATTGTTATTATTATAGTCGTGCGTCGGAAAATATTGTCGAGATGTAATAGTTTTTTATTGCGCGTATAGGTAATAATAATAATAATATTTTGCGTACGTTATTGGAAAACACGTACCCGTGTATAAACCAATCGAAAGATATGCCGAAAAAAAATAAAATAAAATGTCCAGCACATATATGTTTTAGTATAAGATTTATCGCACCGCCTGCAGCGTATAACTATACGTTACATGCTGCAGAGGCCACAACACAAACAATCGCAATTGTTCGGGAAATCAATTTTAAAGTTTAACAATAAACCGATGGTTTTTTTTTTTTGTTTTGTTTTATCGCTCAGAAAATAATGTCGACGGCGGCGATACGCGTATATTTAAAATAAACAATCGCAATTGTTCGGGAAATCAATTTTAAAGTTTAACAATAAACCGATGGTTTTTTTTTTTTTTTTTTTTTTGTAATTTTGCGTAACTATAATAATATACAAATTGAACGAACAAAAGTCACGGTTTTTTTGGCTTTATTGCGATACCCGCAACTGTTACTATCGATTTTTCCGGCACTATGAATTAGTTTTAGAGAATTAATCGTATTTCGATTTAGACCAAACTACACTCGGGAATCTAACATGTAGGTACAGCTTTAATAATAATTCACGTTCAACGGTTTTTGACGAATATTGTTTTTATATTAATATATACATAGATGGCGAAACTGTAGGAAAAAGGGAATACAATAAATATTACAGATTATTTATGACGTATGTATAATGATAGTCATAATATCTCTCGAATATCGATTCGAGATAAATGGTTCGTTGTTATAATATTCTGATAACGGAAATTGAAGTACTGCAATAATCTATTTTTGATGGCAATTTTGTTTTCTGTTTAAACATTCGGGGATTCTGTAGTAATTAAATAATAAATATTCGTAAAGACTAGATGTATTGTTATAACTATATGTAGGTAATTGAAATTATCGAGTTTATTTGGTATTTTTTTTTTTTACAATATTACGTGAATAAAACTGCGAGTTTGACTTCGTATACACATTTAAAAATCCAATAAAATATAATTTCTTAAATTCCGTGTAAAGTACTGTTATATAATAATATCGAATATCTCTATTGTTTTAATTTGATTAGCTTAAAAAGTTTAGATTTTAACAAAAATCGTGAAAATCGCCAAAATTTTAGATGGTATTTTTTCTTTTTCGATTCATATAAACCGGAGTGCTGTAGCTTCATAATAATGTTCAAAATATTGATAAAAGGTTCAAAATCATATATTACGTTGTATAGACTTATTACAACAGTAAATGAAAACATTTGAGCTTACATCATTTTTATTTAAGCCTTTAGAGTGCAGTCGTTTATGATCGAATTCGTTAAATATTCAACGTCATCAATATAGTTTAATTTATTTTGTTATTACTATAATCGTCGGTACAATATTATTATTAATTTAAGTTTATCAAACTACGTGTTTAATCGAACAATGTTCCGAATTGTTTCTCGTCTACAACGATTTATCGTTGCACAGATATAAATCGAATAATATTTATCCTGTGTGTCCCGCCTTTGGAACTTCTCGCATATACAAAAATATGACCCACACGAGCAGTGCAGTCTTGCCTATTTCGTAGATTGTTTGCAGACTTTTATATACAATAAGAATTACACGTTTATTCACGTTCACGCGTATATTTGTTTTGTTCAAAGTTTGCCGTTTTTTTTTGAAGAATCGTTTCTAAAATTGCCCGCTAGTGACCGTTTCTATTACGTATTATTTATATTTGTGTATTTATTGTTATTTTTTTTTTAAATACGACATAGTATGTGGACCGTAACACATCCCCGTACACTGTATATATTATTATATCATATATATGTAAGTATATAGGAATTGCGTTTAGTGGTTTTAGCGAAAATACAATAAATAAATTTAAAAAATAAAAATAAACCCGTCACGTGTCCTTCGCGTACGTCGTATCGGAATATTCGGAAATTCGCCGACAAAAGCGGCGGCGGCGGCCCCGCACCCCAGAACTCGTTCGCAGAACATAAAACGACATATCCGCTGCAACGATATTATTCTCGAGGAGAGTAAATATCGATTTTTATACATTTTTTTTTTTTTTTGTTCTGCGCCCGTAAACCACAACGGTCGGGCGCGTTAATAATACTTGTATTACAATTTGTGTTTTTCATTTTTTTTTTCGTACCCCCGCAGCACCAAGAGAGAGGCAATAAAACCGTTTTTAATAGCTTGTCGGCAGGCTTATACTCTCGCTCGCTCGCTCGCTGGCTCGTTCGCCGCCGCCTATACCGGCCCGGGTCAGACTCATTTTTTTATGTTTGCTATTAAACGTGTATCGCGTAGATTAATAATATTTTTAGATTATACGATTATCAGAAACATGTCGTTTAAATCACCGGAGAATGCTCCGCGGCCTGCACGGTGGCCCTCTCAACGCGACGCAATACAGCTGCTATATAATATTATAGCGACTTCACGATGATATTTTCAAAGTCGTAAAATAATTCGTTCGAGCTACGCGCACCACCGCGACCGTATACGTATGCGTGTATACACGGATGTCGGTGATGCGTGTATATATACAACTTTTTAACCCGGCGGCCGGCATTACGATTTTTATTATTGTTATTATTATTGTATTTTTTTTTTTTTTTGCACAATTGTTTGAATTTTTCGACTCCAAGATATAGGCGCTATAAAACGCGCGCGCATAATAATATATGATATAATATTATATAGGTATACCCGCAACTACATACGAGCAGCGTTGCAGTGTACGCCGCGCTAAATCGACGAAAAATAAATTGGTTTTCGAATCATAAAATCGGAATGTAAAAAAAAAAAAAAATTGCCGCGAAGACGAATGTAATAATAACAACAAAAATAAAATAAACGCGGTAAATTATTAATGAACTGCGATTTGTAATATTATACTCTATATTACAATATAATATTATATTTTTTTTACAGCGATCGATAACTATTATTATATTGTTCCGCATATTTTACGAAAGATTTACGGTTGTTGTCCTCCTCTAACGCATTTTCGCCAAGTGAAATGCTCCGAATTTTCTCGGACTTCAAAAATTCGCGAAGTTCTCGATCGACGGTACTATAACACATTATTTAAAACCTACAACTGTATACCCCTTACAGTTCACCCTCGTAACGTTGTTATAGTATACGAGCGTGTTATTTTTTTTTCTCGGAAAACGCTCCGAACTGTTCGTGGCGTCATTCGTATCTATTAATAATAACAAAAAAAAAAAATTGCTGAATTCTCGTCTGTATACTCGTTATTTGAAACGAATATTCCTTGATGCTCAATAGTTTTTCCAAATGATTTAAAAAACCGACGACAAACTGTGTATACGTAGGTTTTTATTTTTGTTGATTTCTGCAGCAGCTCCGCTTGACTATTATGCAATAAGGGATACACTATATACGCGGTAATACTGTTTCGTTCAGAATCTGTTGTTGATTACGAATACTATACACAGTTGTTTAACGTGCGCGGTCAGGAGAAAAAACGTCCGGTTTGTTGTTTTTTTTTTTTCAAACATATAATTTATATTTTAAAAACGCATTAGTTTTCCATCTGAGCAACATTTACCGTATACATTATATTAAAGTCATATAGCACATAATATAATAACACGTAGCTAACCCGTATAATTTTCTGACAGTGTTTTATTCGATGTGTAAATGATTAATATTGTGATTATTGTAGGTATTATGGTTTTATATATATATATATATATATAATATTTTTTGTTTCGGGTACCTGTGTATAATAATAATAATAATAATAATAATAATAATATGATTGTTGATTTCATGCGGTCGATTCTTTACAGCAAATCAAATAATAATAATAATAAAAAAAAAAAAACAGAAATTTATATAGAAACGTGTATACCTATACAGCTGCGACGCATAAGCATCATCATAATATTATTATTATTATCGAGAATCCCACGTCGTCGTCGGCGTATATAATAATATTAATTTTTTTTCTCGATTTGATTAAAAACATAATACTAATAATAAAATCGAGAACGATCCGTTTTTACACACATAATATATACGCGCGCGCGCGTGTGTGTGTGTGTGCATTCGTGTATAGGTAATAATATTATGCGCGCGAGTCGTGTAATAAAAAAAAAAAAAAAAATTACGGTTTGGCCAATAAATCAAAAACCTTTTATCTTTCTCGATATGCGGGCAATTACGATCTCTCCAGGGTTCCTTATATATACTATATACGAATACGATGTGATACCCGCGTCAACGTTTCTGTTTTATAATAATAATAATATTAAAACAGAATTATATACATTTAATACGATTGTAATTTATAGTGATATGATATAAAATGAAAAAAAAAAACAGAAAAAATACGCTAGAAAATATTATTGAGTTTTTAAAGAAACGCGTACAACGTCGAAAAAAAATGTATTATAATATTGAACGCGGTTTTATTTATAAATTAAAAAAAAAATAAATACACACACACACACACACATATATATATGTTCGAATTTTTATCATAATTAGATGTGTAAAAAAAAAAAAAAACGATACCATATATAGGTAATAATATTTCACGTTGCTGACTATGTATACAATAATAATATTTAATTGAAAAATCGTTCAAAGTTTACTGTACGCATAACTTGAAATATTGCAGTGTTTTATACATTTTTTATAATCGCTTGTTTTATTGAATATTTATAAACCAAAAATAAAAATAAAATAAAAGCTTATTGTGCCTTTAATTGGTGTGCCAATGATTTAGGAGGGAAGTGTGTAGAGTGATTATTCGATTAGAATCTGTATGTTACGATAAATCATATCACCAACGACAAACGATTCTGAGCAAAGTATTATTGATTTTAGTTTTCACACGGTCGTTATACCGTGCATAAATATATTTTGCGCCGTATGCGCCGACTAGATTAAAAATTCTACAAGAAAGTTCCGATAAAGTTTTCGATTGAAACGAGATTTCCGGTAGAAAAATAGTTCGCGGACAGGATAAAAATAAAATAAAAACACGCATCGTATTATATAGTATATACAAAACCTAAACGTTCCTGGCTTCGTTTAGAACCTAAAATAGAAAATTATCTAATTATCATAATCTCGTATAACTATAATGTATTTTACAATATTATCAGGCGCGTTATGAAATAGGTAATTTTTTTTTAATGTTTCTAAAGTAAAACAATGGGGGCCTCATACGTTCTGAGGAATCGTCCGCTTATTATTTGTCTTGTAGCGGTCCTCTTAACATGATGCGGCGGCGGCGGCGTCGTCGTCGTTGTATATAGAAACGTAAACCGAAAGAACAAAAAGTATAATTTGTTCATATTATGTACATTTAAAAAATATTACCATTTCGAAAAGTATTGTACCGTTAGTAGTACCCAGTATAATATTATTTATGATTTTCTCAAAGAATAATCATATGTTGGTATATGTATATAATAGGTATTAATTTTTTGTCAGTTTTTTTTTTTAAAGCGATTTGAAAAAAAACCGTGTTCCACACACAATTCATTGCAATTATTATTGGTATCGAATGTTTAGAATGACGGAAATAGGTTTGGAAACTTTGGAATTATACGCTTTTATAATATAGTAGGCACGTTTCGTTGTGTTCATTTGCAGGGTACATCTATGCGGAATATAATCCAAACACGTTTAAATTCTATAGGTAACAATACACGACAGTTGTACGATTGATGTCTTATCATATCGACTCGGATACTTTAAATACAAAAATAATATTTAGGGTTTTAATTAATACACCGTTTTATATTACATATAGGTAAATAATATACACTAAAAGATATGAAAACTGTAAGATTACAATTTATTATTGTATATCTACATGTATAGAATAATTCAATTTCGATCAGGATCTGGAAGTTGACGGCGTTAAAAAGTTAAGTTGACTTTTGAATTTGAATTTGAATTTTTTTTTTTTAACCGTTTATTTTTACTAACTCACATTTATACTCAATACAAATATATCGAGCTAATTTTATAATTACTAAACTCGGTGTTATGATTTTTAATACTTGATATTTCATTTACAATCATTTATGCACTATATTTAAGTGTATACGATATTGTGTGTAAACATTATTTTGATTTTAATGCGCGCGGAGTTTCGAGTTTTAAACATATAATTATTATATCCCTCGAATTGATCGTTAACTCGGTTCGGTTATCGTCTAACTTTTAACGCAACTCGTTAGCGCTTTATTCTCCAATTAACTTAGTTTACGGAATTGATATTGTATTAATCCGAACGGTTTACAGGTGGTCCCTTCAACATTTTTGATTTTTTTTTATGAATTTTATACGTAAATCGTATCGTTTCATTATTATTATTATTATTTTTTTTTGGAATTCTAACAGACATTTTCTTGAAGTTTTTTGAAATAAAATAAAGGGACCCGCGGAAATATGATATTATACTATATCGTATTCAGTATAATAATATAATTATTCTTCTGAATGTCTGTCCGGAAATTTTCTCGAAATCCGTATGGACGCCCCGAAATATGTGAACGCGGGTTTCGCCGTCGATACACGCGTCTATACGTATAATTTTACGAAATCGAGTTTAAAACAATACGATATTTTATCGCGAGACGTTCTTATAATAATAATAATATTATAATATTACTATCGTTGACCCGGAACCCGCAGACTTTACGATAATAATGCGTATTAGAATCGAAAAAAAAAAAAATAATATTATGTAAGTATCCGTCTCGTGCGACTGCAAAACACGTGGCCGACACATTTGTGTCCCCCCGTGAGTGTATAATGTGTGTATGTACGCGACAAAAGACCGGTGTGCGGATGCCAAAACCCAGACGGCCCGTGTTTTTTTTTTCCCCTGTAAAATCGTTTGCGCTTAGTGGTTTTACATGGTTTTCTTTCTATTATATTATGTATATATGTTATTCGATAATCTTATAAACGAACACATGGCGGCGGCGGTGCTCAGCCTCATATCATTATAATAGGACGAATGTCGCGCGCGCCCGCGCGATCGCGCAGTGAACGCGACGGCGAAACGCATTAATTAATCGTTAACGAATGAAAATTTCGACACGGCCATTTAATGTAACAATAATAATAATAATAATAATACGTTACGTAACAAAATAATTTTATAGTTTACCGAATAATTTGAAACGCGATTCGCGTTTTAAACATTATTGTTTGGTATTTCGGTCAACACATTTGTCTTTTATGCGGTGAAATTGACAAAATAGAAAAAAAAATCCTGTAATCCACCATGCATGCTGCAAATGTGTAGTATTTAGTATATTATTTAAATATTAAATAATCGTGAACCTTTTAGTGATTATTGAGAAATCTGTTTAGTTTTATTAACATCCCGCTACTGGCTTTTTACGAAATGACAAAATATTATTATAATATGTACCTACAATTATACAACAAGTTTTAACAATTCTTTTTTATGAATAATATTACTCAAACTGATTTGATTTTTGTATCGAGGGGTTGATAATTTTATTTTTCTATCGGAAAGGGCGAAACTTTCTCGAATGGTTTTATTCAAAAAAAAAAAAAAATAAATAAATAATGAAAATCGATCATATTTACTGTGATAAATCTTCCTCTCATAAGACAAATAAATAAATATTTCAAATAAAATATACAACGCGTCATGATCGAAATCGGTTCACTCTACGCGAGACGCGAGTTTTTCCATTAATGCGCGTGTTTACGAGCTAAAAAACTGGTCGCACGCCGGCCCCTTAATTCAGTTTTACGTAATCCGCGGTCATCGTAAAATATGCCTTTGCGTATAATGTATTACCTATAAATATTGTGTAATCAAGGTAGCAGTATCGAATAAAAACGTATATAATATTTTTATTTCGTCGGGTTTATACCGCGTCGTTTCCGAGAGCTATATCGTGTCGTATTAAATACCTTATTGTTTATCGCAGACAGTTAAAAGATTTTTATGTTTAAAAAATGACTATTCGTACATTTTCATTAAAGTCTAAGGCAATTTAGGTGTTTTTTTTTTTTTTTTAGTACATTTGTACATAGAAGTGTTGTAGGTACAGTATAATTTGTGTTTATGTATTTGTATTATATAGGCAGGTATATTGTACGATAGTGAGTAATATTTTTAACTGCTGTAGGTATACTCGTTTATTACTTGCTAAAGGCATTCCGCGTTATTGATGCGCATTAGTATAAAATAATAATAATAATATTAAATATACACACAATATAGTAAATCTGTATATAATCCGATAGTCGGGTGGGCTGTGTACGATACCCGCCGTATAGGTGTTATCGCGGTATATATACATATTATAATAGTATTATTTCGTATCTCGTTAATTATTTATTTAGCCTCGAAAATGGATTTCGTTTTCGGTAGGTACCAACAATAATAATACTAAAATATTGACGTTAGAATTATACGAATACCTACGTGAACGTTTACAGAAAAAAAAAAAGTCATAGGCATTCTCTTATTCGATTTATTTGATTAACGCGCCCGCCGCCGTGTTGTACCTACATAATTTTACCTACCTATACACACATAATATTATACATACCTACACACACATATTGCTTTGCGCCGCGCGATAGGGGAAAACAAGGGCGGACGGGCGAAGTTCTAATATTTCTGATAAGAATAATATAAACAATAATACATATAATAATAATGAAAAAAAAAATAATAGTAATAGTAACGCATAAAATACGACGTATCTACCTGTGTATACGAGTATACGTACCTATATAGGAAATCAAAAGGATCGCATCCAGACGGCCGTGTAAACACCGTATTAAAATATTACGATGTATAACCGCTTGGAAGAAAAAAAATCGATCGCGTCGCTTTGAATATCCGTACGTTCATTATAAAAATACATACACACACACACACACAACACACACATACACCCCGTTCACAGTATGTATAATACACGATAGTGGCGTGTATTATTGGTGTACCCGCCTGTATATTATAATATTGTTTGCCCCGGCCGGCAATATAAAATATCGTGTTGTACTTGCCGCCTGTATACGATATTATTATTATTATAGGTACCTATAATATTTGCTCCGGTCCTTTTGATTGGACATTTCGCCGCTAAAAGCCATTCGGATAAAAAAAAAAAAAAATATCGGTTGTGTATACAATAAATATAATAATAATATATACCGTGTGTATATAATATTATTATAACGCGACGACGACGAACGTACACACACACACACACATTATACATATAAATATTATAGGTTAGGTTAATATTATATATATATATGTATATTTAGGCAAACATTCGGGTCCACCACACCCATCACCATAATAATAATAATAATAATATTATAGCTATAGCCGGCCGGCATCCATACAGGCATCGTATAGGTAAATATTTGTCTTAATACCGCCTCGGCTGTGTGCGTGATGGGCCCCGGGATAACAGGAACCGAACGATCCGTAGTCGTATACGCGTATAATGTTTTTACTATATTATTTTAATAATTAAACGACATCACAATAATCGTAGATTTTGTAGAGAGAGCCATTGCCAGCAGCCGCACGCACGAGAGCATCTCCCATCATGTCAATGGTGACACGGCAAAAAGGTCTAAGCGACACAATTCGTAGTTTTCTGGAGAGTCGAAAAACATTTATTTGTGATTTTAACATTTTTTTCTTATTTTTTTCTTAGATTGATAATAACTTTTTTTTGGTTGGAATATGAAATTATCTCATTGAATACATTTTTTTTGTTCATACGTCCTTAATACGCATTGTTGATTAGCTTTTAATGTCGTTTAGACCCTACATAATTGAGAAGACAAAATAAAAAGTATACAAATTATCGTGTATATCCCGAATTTAAAATTTAAATTGTTCGTTAAATAATGTCCATAACTGTTTTTGCGCACGCGCAATGGACGAATAAATAAAATAAATAAAGGCCTATGCGTTTGGTGAATTGGGGCGTTAAACTCCCCACATTACTCAGCTAAGCTTCCCTCTAGATTTAGTCCTTATCAAGTAAATACTAAGTGTACGTAATCGACATAAATCAATAACCAGGTGGCTTAACCCTCCAAAATATTTTGGGTTATTTGTGCGTGTGATATATTATATATATATATAGCCCCCTCAGACTACGATCGGCTTACTCCGATTCTGACTATGGGTAACAAAAAGAATATGTCTGCCAATATACGAGTACCTATATAGTTATTACTTACATATATTATTCATGCGCGATGTATACCTAATTGGAATAAAACAGTTTTAAAAATCTCGGCAACACTTCAAATATACCGCGGATACGCCTAAATAGTTTGAGCACGTGTACCTGCAGTATACATACTTGTAAACTCTACGTGCTCGTTCCCCCGATCGTTGCCATCTGAACTTTGTAGGCGGTGACGGCGGTCAACTATATTACAGTTGTATACGAGAGGTGACACAACAACAATACGTACCTTAATGAAAGCGTATTATTATAGTATTCAAAACAATCAAAGCGTTTCTTATATATTATTTTGTTTTTTTTATACATCTCTATATATATTCTCTACTACTACTACTACTACTAATATTACTATACTACTGCATTCTCCTATGCGTAAGGTTCATCTTAAAATAATAATATATTATAATACGCTCTGGACAAAATAACATAGGTGTAGAGAATATTTACAACTACGACGAACGCGACTATAAAAATAATATGTCCTATCAACGCGCTATATAATACTATACTATTATAATATTATTATAATAACACGTATAGGTATATATTAAGCGATAATAATTTATACGGTTTTCTCCACCTCCTCCGAACACATCATTCAACTTACACTCGTGTAATAATTGTTATCCGAAATACCGTTTACGGGTTAGACGTTATCGATTTTTTTTTTTCAAAATACATGACTGTGCAGTACAACTATTGTGTACTAAGCTGAACAAGTACTACAAATATGCAATGGTTATTATTATATTAGTGTCAATTTTTCAACGCTGAATAGTCTGTTTTTATTTGATATGGCTCCTATGGGGGATCCATACCCTCCTTTGTCCTCCTCCTATGTTTGCCACTGATCTATATCCAGTAACTATATAATGTACAAGACGATACTAATCGCACATAGGTATAATATTATTATTATTTGTTATACAAATGACTCTGCATAATATTAATTTATTATCTTCGAGTAATGCATGGCATAAAAAATTCGCATTCAGCAGAACCAATTTTGCGCTATATTGTATACATAGGAAAGACTAAAATGGGCGATCCAAAAAAAAAAGTGTTAAAGAGATCAATGCGCAAATAAAACACTACCCCGAGGAGCGTTGGATTGACGTTAACTCTATAGTAAATAGATATAGGTAATCTATATGCTATAGTCTACGCTCTAAAGATTTATAAAATTATAGTCTAATCGAGTTGAAAAAATAACAAGGAAATTAACGTATAGTGGCAATGAGTTTGGGTGAAATGGATAATCGAGATGAATGTAAGGATTTGGATGAAACAATATATAAAGTGTACACGGCTTTTATGAAACCAAGAAAAATGGACATATAATGTTGTTTCATTATTTATTTTTAAACGATAAAATATTACATAATTTAAATGTTGGTATAGGTATAATAATTTGTACAATAGTTTTTAATATGGCCACTGCTGCATTAGAACTATTACGAGTCGTACTGTATGAAGGTGTTTTATTTATTATATATGTGCCTTATAAATCTTCCACTAACGATATTTTGCGAAAAATTAAACAGATTTTCAAAACATTTAATATGTATAATATGTATGCAGTACGCTGTACAATACATCAATTATTTTAAAGTAGCAGTGCATTTTTGGATTCCCTAGAGCAATGCATTCTATTTACACGTATAACATTATAATGTATAATTCGATTCACATAGCAGATACTTAAAAGAGTAATATTTCCATATTTTTTCGAGGATTTTTATAAACAACTTTATTACCGAATCGCCTGGGCCGGCATCGGATTTTTCGCCCGTAAGCCACGCCGCCGCCGCGCCGGCGCATATAACATATATTCCGTCTTTATACCGTTCGCCGTGGGTTTCCCCCCTCGTGCGGCGAAGGCCGGATGAGTAGGTTGATATAAAACGGGCGTGTTTTAATTCGATCGGACGCGGGCCAATGGGAACGGTCCAATGGAGAAAATAATAAAATAATGCGGTTCGGTATAATAACAGTGGTATAATACATACATCTAATAATGTACTATAAATCGGCGCATATGCGCATATCTATTAGTTTTTGTAGTTTATAGAATGTTCAAAGAACATTTTTAGATAAACGACACTTAACGCGACTGTGTATTGTCGTATTTTATTGGACGAGGTACCGGGTTTTGATATGAGTATATTACTAGCAGTATGAAGCGTTATAATTTTCGTGTTTGACGGTGTAACCGTGAGTCTGCGTCAGTGGCGGTTTTTATAAAACATCAAGGGGGAGGGGGGCGATTTAAAATTTATTGAGGTTCATATTATATAAAGTAAAGGATACAATTTGCTTATGGTCCTATCATAAATAACACATAACTTTTATTTTAGATTCTGAGTGGAGCGAAGAAACTTATTGTTTTACAAATGTGAAAAACCTGGAAAAACATAGGAAAACGGGAAAATCGGTACAATATTAAACAAATATTATTAAATGAAATATATAATGTTTATTTAATTATTTTAACGTAATTTGACATATATATATTGTTGATAAAGCATCACTATCAACTGAACTCCGCTCAGAATCGTTTTTTCGTTAGCAATGATTTATCATTGCTTACTTACAACACATACCTAACAGTTGACAAAAAAAAAAAAATAAAAATAGGATCGCCCCCCCCCCTAAAAATCATCACTGGTCTTCGTTCAGAATACAAAACACTTGTTTCGCTATTATGCTATGATAATAATTAGAGGTGGGCCAATACGTAAAACGGTACACAGACAGAACTGGCTTTTATATACAAGTAAAAGATTATTTATATACGTTTTAAATAATGGCTAATGTATACTACAGTGACGTGGCGAACTATTTTAATTGATTGGGCCGTTTATTTTTCTGCAAACGTACCCTGCTTATTTTATAATATCACTCGGAAGACAATTTTTTTTTTGCTCACAGCAACACCTGACTGAATGTATACTGCAGTATACTCAGTATATTATAATATCTGATTGTATTTTAACACGGTAAATTCGAAGGGGGGAAACTTATAATAAGTCCCCTTATCTATCTCCCTCCTCTGGTACGCCAACCACTATAGAGGTCGGGATTTTAATGCTCTCTAAAATGTGCTGTTAATATTCTTTTCATATATATATATATATATATATATATATATAGTTTGATAATTTTAGAAATAATTAATTAATGGAAAAAAATCCTCTTTTCGTATACTTATATTCATCGGTTTTTCTAGCGTTACGCAGAATATTTATTTTGACGAAAACGGGAATCGTGCCATTTGCTTTTTTTGGCGGAAAAGGGCTGTATCCATTCTTTTTAAAACTCAAAATAATGCGTTTTATGTATTGTAAAATAGAGAGGGATGGAGGAAATCATGTATTATCACGTTTCACGAATTGTAAAGATAATTATATTTTCTATTAGTATCTATTACTGCCGTTCAATAAAAAAACGCACTGATGTCAGAACTGCAAATATAATATTATGCAAAATCGTAAACCTCCGAGTATTGAAGTATTGAAAACAAAAAAATTATTTATTTCGTATTATATACATATATGTATTATAACAAGTACTTATATTATAGATACATGTTTTTTTTTTTTTATAGATATTTTCAACAATAAACGTAAGTATATTATTTTTAAGATGTTTACCGCGCAATATTATTATATACGCTGCCGCATAGTGCACGGCCGGGTGTACTCGCTGTACACACGAAAAGTAATGATAATAAAATATTGATTACGTAAAAAATATACCTACCCATGTTTACTGTCATTATTATACCTATATTTGTAATAATATATAATACCGGGAAATGTGAAATTTCAAACGCTATAAAAAATATATTGCGGACGCCGTTATACACGGAATCGTAAAAAAATAACAAAAAAAAAAACAACGAAATTCTTAGAAATCGAGCGAAAACATTTTAATATATTTTGTAAGCCCATTGATTGGAATTAAAATTGTTTCAAAATTATTTCGCTATAATAATATGTGTATAGGTACACGTTATAAAATATTTATTGGGTTCAATCGGAATTTCCTATGTATACCGCCTACGTATACAAATAATAATGATCATATAACATTATAATATCTAATATTATTGTAAATAATATGATAGAATTTATTTTCTAGTTTCGATAATGTTTATACCTATTCGTCGTAAAAACGATAATCGTTCGTATTTACGTGAAAGTTTATATTACATAACGTACATATTGTGATATACTCATCACTTGAATATTTTTTTTTTGTCAATACTTATTTTTTAGGCATTTTAGTATATCGTCCTTACCTTGAAGCCGCGTATAGCATTCACCTCTCTCATTTTTTTTTTTTTTTTTTAACAAGAATGTTTTCATGCTTGTTCAGTATATAATAATATAGTAACTGCATAGTAATTGATAATATTATATTATAATTTGTAAATCGTATATTATTAATTCGATCTGTGTAATACTCGTATACTATAGATAATACGCATCCTGTATATAAGTATTTAAAACGCGGGTCTTCCCTCTGACATTTCCTTCTATAATTAATTGTTCAACAGAACTCACTGTGTCTGATTAAGAACATGATCGATCTGCAGTATCTTAAATACCTATTATCTAAGACTCAAATGTCTCTTGTATCGCGATATAATTATTCTGAAAAGTATCGAATAACTCGTATCGCGATCCTGAAATAAATATATTTACTATCGAGTATCTTCATATGCTCTTTTTGAAGTAGCTTGCTTGCGCATTCTCGACCAAGAGTATATAATCCGCTCGTTTCGTCTTCTAATCTAACTTTTCCATGCAACGTTTTCCGATACTCTCCAATATTTAGAACTTGAGTATAACTTGTTATTTTCCCGCCTTCACATTTTTACCGTTCCCTTTTAACATTTCAAATGTCTCTAATCTTTCTTTTTGTTCTTCTATATTTAGTGTAGATATCGTCCAGGTTTAAACTCGCATTATACTATATGTATAAGTAATATTGGTTAATAATTGTTAGGAATACTTTTTCGCGTTTCTATTCGGACACAGTTTATTGTTATTCGCCGCTCGTGCAGTGTGTATTTATATTATATTATTTTCCATTTTTTTCTCCCCATTTTTATTACCACGTGGGGCAGTTTTATATTATACGCATGCACTATAACCTATAGCTATTGTTGCACGCGGAGAGCTCTAATTTCATTTTATAAATGATTCCGACATCGTATACATACGTACGCGAGTATAGTATTGCGTCGCGCAGCCCGTAATTATAAGTCGTAAAAAAAAAAGCTGGTAAACGCGCGTATAGAACTGTTGGCTATTATAGGCTATAATATTATTATGTTGGAGTCAATGAGCTGCCCGTCGACACACGCCACACAAATAACATTATTATATTTTTTAATAATATACCTATATTATATGCTATACGCGAGTAAGCATATATACCTAATATATAATATTGCATTAGCAGTACTCGATTTTATATTAGTTTATTTGCCATTATTATAATAAAACACAATGCGCATTTACCATACAAACGGTAATATAATAATGTACAGGGTGTTTCTCGAATGATAATGTACAAGTATGACTTGTTACGCGGTGTATAAGGTGAAACATTTTTTCCGTTTTTTTAATTATTATAATTTTTTTTTTTTTAAATCTATCTACAATTTCGTAATTGAATCGTTTACTCGTTAAATATATTACTTAAAACTGAAAATAACCTGTGGCACGTGATTCATTGTTAAATTCTACCCTATAAAATAATGGGTATATAGCGTTATTTTTCATGAAAATGGCGTAGACACCAAGATAGTGATTAATGATTACAGCGGGCCGTGGCATTTTAATTTTGATACAGGGAAGATTTTAAATGGAATCCAATGATGTGACCCATTATTTAAGGTAAAGTTTTGCTGTAAACCGTGTAGTGTACGTTACAATTTAATATTGTGTCATAATTAATGATTATACCTATACAAACGAATCAATATAAATAAATAAATCGATAAATCGAAGATAACAAAAACGGTGATACTGCTGATGGCTGTCATATGCCGGTTTTAGGAGGGTGGTTGGGATGAAGGATATATATAGAGTAACTTAATGTGTATTTGTGCGCAAAAGAGAAACCATTGAGGACAAATAGTTATCGTCATTTTTTCGCACTACTAGTTCTTTGGAGTTAATTTCGTGGCCAATTCTGAAATAAATAATAATTCAATAATATTATTACCTTTACTTACCATATATTACTTAAAGTATTTAAAGTGTTGTCTGTGTTTAATAACTTGGACATTTATCATTTTCGATTCACAGGAACTCCGATAAGCCGACTACCGATTATGGCCAAACGCGTATTGGATTTGTACACGTTGTACAAACTGGTCGTACAAAGAGGCGGAATCGTGGCGGTCATAACCAAAAAACTTTGGCAAGAGATAATTCGAGGACTCGGTCTGCCGCCGTCCATCACGAGCGCGGCTTTTACGTTGCGCACACAGTAAGTACCTATACAATTGTATGTAATAATAATTTACAACATATAGTATTAAAACTATATTATGTTTTTATATGTAATTGACAATATAAAAAAAAAAAACTGGCGTTTTCTTCCTGTATGTCCTTCTTAAACTCCTGTCGGAAGTCGGATCACTGATCTTTTCCCTCTACACATCTATCTCATATTTATCCGCTCAATAAAAATGTCTCATTTAGTATAAAAGTTTAGGTATCTTGATGTTATATCCAGAATAAAGTGTATAGTTACAAGATAAAATTTACCGGCATTTCGAGTTGCAAACTTTGTATTATTTTTGCTTTGAGATGAAGTTAATTATAACAAAAAAAAAAAACCTACTATTTAATCGCGTCGTAAAAGATTAAGGGTTTGCTCGAAATTTGGTGCCCTGGTCTGTGCCCTATTTTCCCCTCTTAAATATGTCTCTATACATCTGCCTGCAGTACATATCGCCTCTCTTTTTATTAGGCTCTTCTCTTTCCTGGCGTCTATATAAGTTATACCTCATCAGTCTTATCGACCATGATCCCATGTCTTTGATTATCTCTAAGCTCCATCATGTGCATCACCGCTGGCCACACAAGAGTATTACGAAAAAACTTCCGCCATTTTATCTATATGCTTATAATGAGGGCACATATTTTTATTTGTTTGCTTAGGTATTCTATATTCTTAGTTAATCGAGTTAAAAATCGGTGCTCTATGGTTTTATTTTTTTATTTTTTGGATATTATATTGAGTGTTCGATTTAGCACCTACGACTGCGCATCACTACTATATAGTTGTAGTCCTTATCACGCAACACTCCTGTCATTTTTCTCCACATCGTCCGGCCACACTTGATTCGTATTGCTCTATGCAATTCAAAATCCGTTTTATCCGTTCTATGGCACCGTCGAAGCCCAAATACTTTTGTGAATTTCTCGGTTCGATTCGTTCTCCACGTAGTACACCTATGCACACCGTGATATTGTAATATTATAATATCGTACGATTTGCTCGCGTTTTCACAGATACGTCAAGTACTTGTACGCGTACGAGTCGAAAATGAACCAGTTCAGTTCCGTGGACGAACTGAACATGGCCATCGCGGGAAATCGGCGCGAGGGCCGGCGCAACAAATCGCTGCTGTCAGAGTATTTGCCGTCGCTCCCGGTGTCCGTGGCCGCCGGACATCACATGTCCGCGTCGTTGCAAGTATCGCCGGGTTCGTCGGCAGCCGCGGCGCACCATCACCACCAACAGCAGCAACAGCAACAGCATCAGCAGCAGCAGCAGCAGCAACAGCAACAGCATTATGCCAACGTGCTGGCCGCCGACGATCGGTTCCGTCACCTGGCCGCCGCCATCATAGACAACAGACACCGTGTCGCGGAACAAGCGGCCAGACAATTGCCGCCGCGGCCGTCGTCGTCGTCGTCGTCGCCCCGGCCGGGAAGTCCGCAGCGGCTGGTACAACAGCTGCCGCCTACGGTTTCCGCGGTCGTCGAATCGTCGCCGTTCAACGGCCACCTCCAACCGCCGCCGTATCAATCGGCCTCAATGATCGCCGCTCACCAAGCTACGGCCACTGAACACAACAATAAACAGAGAGGTAATTGAAATTGAATGCGCTAAAAAAACTTTTTTTTTTTAAGAAAAAACCACTCGAGAAAAATGGCTCGAAACGCTTTTAAAGTTCCGATTGATTATTCGTTAATGAAAACGCGACAACACATTTACTGTTTCGAAAATAATTACCGAGACGCGGTAAAATTCAATATTTTTTTAATATCGCGAAAAACCATGTAAATAGACCGTCTCTCTTTTTCTCTTTTACCGTCACGAAAACGTCCGATCGCTGATGTATAACTATAATTCGACTAATTTATAAGTTGATTTTGTATCTCTTGATTCACCGTGATCAATTTTATGGGGTGATATTAATAGCATATTTTACGTCGAGTGTGTTTATGATTATTTTTATACTTTTTCTATAAAAAATACGCAAGTTAATTTTGTCTCCAAGTCCAAGTTTTAATTTTTTGAGATTTAGTTAATCAGTGATAATAGATCCTACGGATCTAAAATTGATTCTTTAAATGTCCAAAACTTACCAAAAGTACTTGGCTATTCATTACTCGAAATCCTTACAGATACTTGTATTGCTTTAGCTCAATGACATTATACTTAGGGGAGGGGGACATTTTTTCTTATAATTTAGACATATGGATATTTTATAAGCGAATCGATTTTTTCTTCAGAAACTCCCAAAGTATAGATATATGACAATTGAGAAAATTAATAAAAAAAAAAATGTATGCGACGGCACTCATTGGATCTCTGCGGCAAATGAACATGTGAACACCATAGAAAAGTTAGGGATCCGATTCTCGATGGGATTTCCGTTGTAAACTGTGTGTTTATTTTCCCAAACTATCAGTTAAACGCGAAATAATCCATTTTGTCTGCATAGGGTTTCTGAACTAAGCCATTCAATTATTATGAATAAAAATACATTCCTATCGCTTCGCTCAGAATCTAAAAAATCTATAGCTATAGTAGGAAATTTAACAAAAAGCGATAAATTATTCGTTTTTAAAACATTTTTTTATGCTATATTATAATACATTTCACAGACATGTTGCATATTATTGCGTTGAAGTTTCATTAGTCGTTTTTATAATATATTGTATATCGAAAACAAGTCATTTGATTGGCTGTATTATTCATGTTTGGTAAATGTTTTGTTGATTGGCGTTTTTTTTTTTACTTTTTATTTTAATTTGTCGTTGCTATACGTAAGTTTTTACTTACGTGGATATATATAAGAGATCGTTCATTAAAATTAGGATTATTGTCAATTTAAAATATATTTGAATGAACATAAATCACACGTTTCAAAAATGAAACAATCACTGTAAACTTTCTCTTTGGACATTACCTATATTATATAGCCAGATAGACTATTATAGGTAGTATATTTTTAATAAAATTAAAATAATATTTTTAAGCGTTGCGGTTTATATAAAAAAAAAAAAAAATGTCCGACCGTCTATAACTATAGTTTAGCTCCGTTACCATTTCTATAATTATGTAATTAAATCTGAAGTTTATTTAAGAGGGGGTGAACTAGTAGTATATAGAATCTATATACTACTAGTTCACCCCCCTATATTATAGATACTCAAAACGAATTTTAGGAGGCAAGGTGTATGTGCTTATATTTTTCACGTTCAAAACCGGAAACTCCCTCCCTTGAGTTAAAATCTCGCCGGTTATAATTTATATAAAGATGACGTAACGGCTAACCACTGATTTTAAAGTTTGTAATACTATAGTTTGAACGGAATCTATTTGTTTACGAGTAGTATCCCAGTTGAGCAAAAAATGACTAAATTTTTTAAAAATTTAAAACATTTTTTATTAAAAAAATTTAAAATTTAAATATACATTTTGTTCAATTTTGGTTTTAATCAAGAAATAACGTATTAATCGGTTCATGAACAATTTATAACATCACTTTGAAATGTTTTTCGTACGCAAATAGGGATGAAATATAAAAACGGTTTTCACTAATTTACATTTTGCACGTTTTTTTTACTAAAACCACTGTCTAAATATAAAATATAACGGCGGCGGAGTGATAGTTTTAGAACATTTATTTATATATATATAACGATATTAACACAATATAATGACTTTTCGAGGAAATCGTCAATAGAAACATCTATGCAACACCGAAGATGATACGCACATCTTAATGTTTTATAACATGGTTCTTATTGCCCACAGCGGCGATGTAGCGGTGATATAAACATTTTTGAAGTGAATTTTTTTTTTAGTGTTTTTGTAGTTTTCCCTTTAGTAATGAGCAAAAGTGATAAATTGTTGCATAATTATTATCGTTGTTATCTCGGGTTACTGCGGAAAAATATTCAACTAATAATACTCCGCTCAGAGTCGTTTTTCGTTATGCAATAGCAATAGTTTATCGTTCCGTACGTACATAAATTAAATATTTACTGTATATCGTCCGATCCGACTCGTCTCCTCTAAAACAGCGGCACAGCGAATGTCTCGGCCTTCTTTCGGTTTTTTATTTTTATTTCACGCGCTGGTATTTTTGTAATATCATACAGACGTGCACGTTTAAAAACCGTTATATACGCGATGATTGTGTGCAGCGTATTCTATATACAAATAATATCACGTGATAATAACGTTTTACTATACTTACCTGGTCTAAATTTAGCGTGAACCACGCGCTATACTAAACGTTGCAATGTCAATCAGAGCGCGGCTCTTTTATATATTTTTCGAACAATGCGTATGATATACTCGGAGAAATCAACAATAATAGTCACGCGCGCAAAGCATTTGTTTTTTCTCGCCGGGGTTTTTTTTTTTTTTTTATATTTATTTATTTTGTTTCTTTTCTGTTGTATAGCAGTAGGTATACAAACTTTGTGACATTTTTTTTCGATTTTCTGTTTATATAATAATACGACGGGGACGGTCCGGTGCCAAGAAAATGTATAAAAAAGGATAAGAGCCGCGGGGGGAAATCGCGCGGCGCGCACTATACGGTAAACACACTGACAACTAACAATCCCCTTGACAGGTGTGTCCGTCCGCCGCCGCCGCAACACCAGACGCGGTACCCCAAAAATAAAAATGTTCAATTTCATTTCTCTAGTATTTTTAATAATAATTTCACCTTTACGCGCTACTTTTAAATGCGTGTGCGAGTGTATACATCGACGACGACGACGTCGTCTTTTTGTATCTATTCATTCTGTTTTAATGTATTTTTGAAACGTTACCAACGAACGAGTGAAAAAAAAAAACTATCACGACGACTACGACGTGTTCTAATTTCATTAGGAATAATATTCTCTCTGTCTCTCGCACACACACACACACAACACGTCTATCTCTCTCTTTGTATAATATAAAGATCTGCTTTGCTCATTCATCAAGTGCCCTTCATTAGTGAGAACAAAAAAAAAAAAAAAAACAAGCGTAGCGAAAATCAAAATAATATACGACTTATAAATGTTTTGAAAAAAAATAAAACTGATACTGCTTTTAGGTGTGCTACTGTTTCAGGAGGGAAGTTGGAATAGACGGTGTTATATAATAGAATGGTTAAATTTATATTTCTTTTATTCGACCGTAAGCACCGATATAATAAACCATTGCTTTTCTCAGTCGTTGTCAATGTATAACCTAAATATCGATAAAAATTATGTTTGAAAATTGCTGCTTTTTCCGTCTGTTAAAAAAAAATGAAAAAAAAAATGATCTCCTAATGCATCGTCTATAGATTAAAAATTCTCCAAGAATGTTCCTACGTGGAGTTTCTGATTGAAACACAATTTCTGGTGGAAAAATACAACACGAAAAAAAAAAAGGAAACGCACAAAATATAGTAAATTTAATACGTTACATGAATTCTAAAAAACAAAAACATCACATTGAAATGCTATTATAAAAATCGTAAAAAAAAAAAAATTATTTTCGTATTTTCAATTATATATAGACAAATATTAGACCCGAGTTTGTTTCATTATGGTACTTGTTAATATAACGCTGAACAGTTAACTATGTAATCGCGAGATACGTCGTGTAGTGATAAATGAATTTACCGTCCAATTAAAATTGGAATTTTTTGTAACTATATTTAACGCTACAAAATGATTCATAATTTATAAAAATCGCACGCCGTATCTTGTTTTAAAAGGTGCAAATTTATACAGGATGGGTACATTATTTGAAATTAAATTTCTAGACGATTTTTCTATAAAAAAAAAAAATTACAATTAATATCGATACATCGGCTTTAAACTTGTTGTTCATGTAAATATTCACTTACAAGATCGGATTTCATTTGGGTTAAAAAAAAAAAAGATTATGATCGAAGTGTATTTGAACCAAAAGGGTATTTCAAGAAATCGTTTTCAAAAAAAAAAAAAAAAAAAAACAACTTAATTTAAAAGTTTTAAAAATACCGATTTCCCTTCGCGTTTACAAATGTAATAATCATAAGTGTGAATTGAATATTGCAATTATTCGACCAACCCTATACATCCACTAGTGAAATTCGATCGATCGGGGGAGGGGAGGGACGGTAAAATGTCACTATAGTGATTAACGACGATCGGCCCTCTAGTGAAATGTACCCTCCGGGTCAATTATCGCGGGGGTAAAGAATCACCGGCACTCTACTGGTCCGGCCCGGTACTATTGTTCATTTCATCGGCCCGGTTCGGTCTCAGGTTTTTAATTTCTCTTCATCGGTTACTGTCCGGTCGTGAAACTCTAGAGCTCTAGCGTATGTGTGTTTGCGTGTGTATATTGTGTGTACTGTTTATGTGTGACGTGCAGTACGCCGATTAGCTACGGTTGTCCGACCGTGCTAGTTCTGTAGTTATATTCGGCCGCGCGGTCCTATAATATTATTGTAACAATATGACTTTCTTATTTTCGCTACGTTACAAATAATGAACTATTGATATAAATATTACACGCGCGATGTTTGTGTTGTGCCGACCGTGCGTTGGGAATTTTTCGACACGGCAAAACCGCGATCGGCGATGGTATTATTACGAACTTCTTAAAACCGCGTTTATTCGTGTTATTTTATTATAATATATCGCATTAACATAATAATGTCCGATGATTATTGTACCGTACACACGAAAACGTATCACAATATCATCGATAATTTCAACGTTATACGCCTATAGACACCAGCAATTATGCGATTTCGGCTGTAGTTTTCAACAACAGAAGAACGCGCCGAAATCGGCAACGCGTATAATAGCTGATATCGTTAAACACGCGTTGTTCTAGAACGCCCGCGGTGTTTACGTTTTTCGTTTTGGACATTTTTCTGTCCGTCCGCTGGGGACGAATTCGCGACGAACCACCCCTCGCGTTAGACTTTCGACCGTGTTACTGCGGGACGATAGTAATTTTATCCGCATAATACCCGAATAATGTACGCGGTTCACACGTACGATACCCCGGAAAACTCGTTCCTTTCGAACATGTTATAGCGACTTTGTTCCGTCGACTTGGGTGTGCCCGATCGAACTGCCGGATCGAGCTATTATTGTTCCAAGTAATCATCGCGTGTAGAGTTTTTCATGCGTACGTTTTTCGACAACTACATCGATTCATTATCACAGCGCGAAATTTGGACGTTCGTCAAGTATGTACTGCAGTAATTAAAAACGCGATAATTTTATTTAATAAGATTCAATTAGTTTCAACGAGTATCGCGTGTACGGTAGGTAAACGAGTGTACAATATTCACGTTTACTTCTTCCTGAATGTACCTACCATTTTGTATAAACAATATTATATTTCCTAATCGTTTATAGTAAATTCATTTCAAAGCATATACGATTTCAATTTATTCATAGCTGCAGCATACACACGCGTAGATGGTTGTATATTATATAGGTACAATAATAAAATTAACTCATTGTTGAAACCACGTACGTTAGTTAATAATACAGAGGGTTTTTATAATATTATGCTTATGCATTCTAAATTAAATAATATATTGTACTACAGTCATTATTTTAGATTCTGAGCGGAACGAACAGAGTATTAGTTTTACTAAAAAAATTTTTTTTAAAAATATCTGTTCTGTCTGTTAACAACTTTACTGCCAAATATATTGCTCGGATTATCGAGTGTAGCATTTTTTTTTTCTTTAAATTTTTTATAATTTTTTGTTTTTCCTAATAATTGTGAAAAACTGAGAATAAACGTAGGTGAAACGGCAAAGTTCAAGCAATAACGTTTCTTTTTTTTTTATTACTGTGATTCGGTTTAAAATAACCGTAGATTTTACCAATATAATTATACCAATTTTTAAGCTATTTATAGGCATTTAACATTTTCTTGTATTTTTAGTTTTGTGTGGATCAAATAAAATTTTCAAGATGAGTTGTATTGTAATAGTTTTTATAGGCTTTTTTAAGTTCAATTTCTTTACAAAACTCGTAAAAATCACGGCGTTATAAAATATGTTTAATATCTAACTTCGCTCAGGGTCGTATTTCTTGCAGTTTAGCAATGATTAAATAATGATATAAATTAAATAACTCTATATGTATATACTAGCTACCCAACTTCTCAACTACAACAGTGGCACACTCACCAGTATAGTGTCAGTTTATTGTTAATTTTTTTTTTAAATCAAAAATGTATATAATATTACATGGTTTCACAGACTGCTCGCGTCGTAGTTTCCCAGTAGTTTTCAATGTAGAAATAATAGTTGTTAGTATAGCGTTTATGCTTTGTCTAGGGGGGGGGAGAGTTGATGAATGGGATCGTTTTCGATTATGTTTTATAAAAAGAATATTTTAATTATATTGTTACACAGAGCATGGAAAGCATCTTATTCTTAGCGTTTTAAACGCATAATAATTCGGTCTCTATGTAGATTATGTTATAATAACAATGGTATAATCTTCGATCGATTGTTTACGTCCGGTGTGTGAGGTCAGGTTATAATATTATAGTGATGTTCATATCATTTTTTATCGTTTATCCGCAGCATCGCGGTATCGATTTTATTTATATACCTACCACCTATTATATACATATACACCACATGTGGAGATCTTACGATATCAAAGGGCTTTATAAGGTCATAATATTATTGTTATTATAATTGTAATAATTTATACGATTATCATCATTATTATTACCGGGTTTTGTGTACGGTTCCCGACACTTTGTCCCCGCGGTCCGACACTCCGCACGTATCCGATAACCTCTTCGGTCGTCCGGGGCAGACCGGCAGTGTTCTCGTCAATGTTCTCAAATTTACGTACTTACCTAAACACATTGTCATAATACTCTCGTCCCCGTTAGCGTATAAACGTTTCCTAACTCGAAACGAGCCACAGACGCAAATAGAATCTTACAATTGGCCTTGTATTTTATCATACAACTCAACATTATAAAAACGTTCTGACGGTGTTCAAGCACGATGTTTTCGGATTCGAATCTGACCAAATTATTTGGGGTTTTTTCACCTCTTCCCTTCACTTTATTAAAACCCTTCATGGTTTTTCATTAAACAAACGGTAAAAAACAGGCAATAGTAGGTTATAATATAGGTTTATATTCGGGAAAGTATATTAATTATAATAACTCCCCGTGGAGCCTTATCTGCAGTTATCAGATTCGAACTAACGCTGTTAGTATATCAGTAATTTAAATCGTGTTATCAATACGATATAAACTTGTGACGAGCAATCATATAGGCTCGGAAAATAAAATCAAAAGGATTCCGTTTGTGTCTGATACTCGTTTCTATAGTGTCGGTATAGGGAACGTTAATATGCTTCCCGTTACGTACCTATAGATACGCAGCGCGTGCGCGTCTGTAACACTTGTTTTTTTTTTTTTTTTCTGATACGACGACGAGACGATGTGTGACGACGAATCTCCCGCGCGCGCTCGTTTTTGAATAAATCAATTTACACCGTGACACCGTAGTGTTATTCGTTTCATAAATCCATAATAATAGTATAATAATGTGTTATTATAATATTATACGTGTGCCCCTTTTGATATTCAAATATATTCGAATGCCGATAGAGCGCACAATATTACACCTATCTACCATATAGTGTTGTTGGTTTTTCTTTCTTTTAATGTATACGCAAGTATACACTCGGCCTCATACATTAATTTATAGTCGCGTATAGCGCGAACGCTTGTTATCCTTATGATTAAGACGAGGAGGAGTAGGAGTAAAAGGAAGAGGAGGAGAAAAAACGAAATAATAATACAAAAAAAAAAAAAAATCATGTAACATAAATTACAGACACTTGTTCGTTTGCTGCTGCACGACTCAACTCGCGCGCGCCGCATTGTTATATATAGTTTTACACGCGTCTTAGATTGTACATATTAACAAATTAATATTCACATTTCATACACGGTGACTAATTGAAAAAAAAAGAGAGAATTATAAAATTACTGGTTAATCCGACGAATAATATAATACATAATATCAGACGACCGTTGTCTGGCCCAGACGACATTTCGTCACGTCCATTATACAGCAGGTCCCATCAACGTAGACGTTTACGTCAGACATCATATTATTATAATTTTACACGCGCGCATTCAGATTAAAATTATAATATACATACCTAATCATTATTATATTATTGTTGTATTGTATAAATCGGGTTACGGCCGGCCGTCGTTTAGTATTATTACCGGGTTTTTGTTACCACCGTGACTCGCTTGATAATACTTACTCGTATTGTAATTCTGTTCAGTAAGGTTAATTTATTAATAACGTGTCGATTGATTTTACCATTTAACAGGGAAATATAGAGAAGATTTCTTGTGATAGCTAAGGTCTTACTGGGAGTTTTAAACTGAGAAATAAGAACAAGATAATCAAACAAATGGATCAATAATGTATTTGTATTTTTCACCGTATTCAGCCTGCTTCTTTTTCCTGGCATCACAACGCATTGAAAATTTTTGCCGTTCCTGATACTGTCTTCCATTATTCACTTGTCTATCCTCTATTGCTAGTTCATAAGTATCAGGTATACAACTAATTCATTCATCCGTTGATTTTTGGACGTCCTTTAGGTTTCTCTATCTATTTTCCACTCGGTTACCTCCTTTAAATTCGCTGATTCCGGTGTCCTAGTCACAATATGTTCAAACTATTGGAATCTCTATGCCTTCACATAATTCGTTATTTTCATTCTTCAGTATTCTTGTTCAGTCTATCGGATTTCCTTGTTTTTCTTCTCACGCGCTCATTGTCATTAGACGTGTACAGATAATTCTCAGACATTTGTTCTCAAACGACGTTCGTTTTTTATTTCGCCATTCGCCATATACAATCCATATCACGCAACCGCATATGTTAGAGTTCATCTAACAATTGCCATGTAAATGCGCGCTTTGATTATTTTTTACCGTATATTATCTATAAAAATAATTCTATTTTGTTGTTTTTAAATAAAAAAGATAACTTAAATTTGCGTGCAGTTTTTTTTTTTAATTACTTTACAAAATAAAACATACATCTCAAATACATTTTCAGAGCGTATCTATCTATCTATATATATATATATATATATTCTATATACTTTATACTTAAACTACTATAAATTGTAATTTTATTTGTATATTTTTATTTTTCAGAAATTCTTAGCATGCTAATGTGGATGGATTTGATGCGAGCCAATCAAACAGCGATTCCGAGACTTCCAATACCAAGTGCGTTTAAATACTTATGCTATTTACCTACACATACATATATCTTACACTCGAACTATACAAGAACAATATGTGTTTTTATCAGGTTTTTTTTTTACAATACGAGTATATAGTATTATTATTATTTGATCACGTATTGAGCAAAATATTTATAGTTATACATATCTGAATGAATTTCACCACGTGATTTTTCTAATTAAATTTAATATTTTTTAAGACTGAAATATCGATTAATATTTTCTGAGATTTCACATTTTCTAGTTTTTTAAAATTTTTATTTGGTTTTTTTTTTTTACGAAAAAAAACTTGGAAAATAAAGTACCCACCGGGTGGAAAATCCGCATTTTTTTTTATCATTTATACTACTTTCAAACCGAAAAAATATTTTTTAAGAAGGGTAAAATATGTATATTAAAAACACGTGTATTTCTTCTATATTCGGTGTGCACCCGGAATCTAAAAACAAATTAATACCCACTCTTGTTATGAGAAATGATTTTCATTTCGTTTATTAAATACCGTGTTTTTTTTCGCCTTCCCCTTTATTCCCCCCGCAATGTAGATTTGCAGCAATCCGCTCCGTCGCCGTACGCAGCCGCCGCGGCCGCCGCGCTGAATCTGTCGCCGGCCGTCGTCATGCAGAAAGTTCCTGTGCCGGAACAGTGCGAGGCGTTGAATCTGGGGAAAAAAAATCCCGCAGGAACGAATAACAACAACGCCGGCGAAAACGACGAAGAATCGCAACCACCGCCGTCGAAACGGATCAAAACCGAATGGTCGCCACCATTGTCGCTGCACAAGGTCCAGGCAGTGGCCAGTCGTCCGGCCAGCCCCAAAAACGCCGCGGCGGTCAGTCCCAGACCGACCGGCAGTCCGGTGCGAGAGTCTATTTCGTCGCCGGGACGGAGTGGCGGCGAGGATGACGACGATGACAACACTGACGCCAACAGCGACAACAACATGATCGAAATGGACATCGACGTTTCCGCCGGTAAGTTTTCTTATATCGTCGTAAGAGTCTACGAAAAAAATCTAGAAGTAAATGCTGAGGAGTTTCGAGGGTTAACCCCCGGTCCTGAAATATCAGGTAAGATCGAACCTGTAACGCCGTGTGTTAATTGCATATGACAAACACAAATGCGTGCAATTTTTTCAACCCCTTCGCTCCTCGAAACCCTTTCTTCTTGCGCTCCGATCTGGAATATTTTAATTTCAGCGCAGGACCGTAAAAATATTACCAATCAATTTTAAAAAAAAAAATTGAATATATTATTATAACAAAAAATGTACTGGATTCGTCAAATTATATATACCTAATCCTGTGTAATGGCGGATCCAGGTGGAGGCTTTTTTCTTCGGTTGCTCCCTAATGTACTCTTAAAATTTAATTTTAATCATAAACGTGTGCCTTAGATGCGATTAAAAAATCGCTCCCCCGTTATCTTATCCTGGATCCGCACTTGACCCCTAGGTATACGAAATGAGAATTTATTGCTGAACTACGAATTGGTAAAGCACGAGCAGATACATTGAAATGAACATATTTATTTGATTGAAAAAAATATATTTAATATTTATGTTTTCTAAGTCTATACCTAATCTAACCTATGTACTATAAAAAACATTTTCAATTGTTCGTATTGTTTATAATAATTTTTTCCGCGAAAAAACGTGAAAAAAATCATTATAAAAAACACCGTCTGCGCAGAAAATTTCAATAACATTTTTTTTTTTTTTAAATATAAATATTTTTATGTCATATACGTATAATTTGATGTTTACCGTGACACCGAAAAGAAACTTAACGACCCAGAATATTAATATAATATTATGTATATTATTACCATTGCATTTGCACGCGCATATTATTATTGAATATTTGAGAAGACGATTTAAATTTCTCGAGTTTTATTCTCGCGTATACTCAGCAATAATAATCATTTTTTTTTTCAAATGTTTTTTTTTTTTTTTTAATATTTAAATGTCGAACAGATAATACTTTACCGTTGATTTCGGTTAATGGGCATGCATAAATCTTAATGTATAATAATCAAACTGCATGCAGTGTCGGGCGTTCATGATACATTCTACGCGTTTCCCATCGCGTCGTATTACTATTCTAAATTATAATAATATACTCAACGACCTAAAAACGAGTAAATATATCATGGCCTTTAAAAATTATTTTATCTAAATTGTTTTTAAATCGATAGTAAGTCTTGTATTGAAAGTCCTGATGCTTGTGGTTTTTATTTTTTTTTTACGAATTGTTAGAAGCGAATTATTATTATTACCTTTCGCGATTAACAAGACTTATTCGATCAGTACATTAATATTTTATATAAACCCACGATCTGTTTTCTTTCGTTCAAAACATGCTCTTTACAATAATAACTCGTAAATGTCTCGTAGATTGATCGGATGTAGAACATTTTTTTTTTTTGTCAGGAAGACAAAAACATCCTACAGGCCACAATAGACTGATTTTTTTGTTTACTACAAGTATGTAATCAGAACCGTGAATAAAACTACTATGCATTTTAAAACATTCCGGCGCGTTTTTTAATTATTTTAAGCCATGTATATAGAATGTTTAGCTTTTTTTTTTTTTATAAATACATTAAATAGAAAATCAATTTTGAAATTTTGTAGGTATGCCTAGTGGTCTGAAAATATGCGTTTGTAAAAGAACAAAACACGGAATCTACAAAGGTCAACTCGTCAAAGTCGAGTCTACTATAAACGGAGGTAATATATGATACGAATACCGTAGTATTAGTATACCAATAAAAAGCTTTTTTCTCTAATCACGTACAATATACTAACGTAATATATAGATAATAATGTATACTTGAAGTATTTTTAGGAACTTTTAAAAAAAAATGGGTAGGTTTAAAATACAAAGGTGAGCACTCATCAACAGTTAGAATTTTAGTTTCAAAGTTAATTTTATTTATAAATTATAAACTTACAACAGATCGATTTAAACATTAAATTAATGATATAACTTAACGCGTTATTGTCACTGCTGCTGCTACCAAAATTTTTTTAGAAGAAATCAGCTAGTATTATATTTTTTTTGAAATTTGATTCAATAATTTCGACTTGATTCCTAACTTTTTTTCTAATTCGAGTTATTATTTTTACCGGATAACTTCTAATTTGATTATCGTAAGTTTGAATGTGTGAAGATTTAAAAAACCAACTTTATTCTAAATTGTTTTTTTTATTTAAATTATTTCTTCTCCTTATCAGTTTAACGGACCATGTAAAGTTTGTCCCCACTGCATCCTTCCATCAGTTCCTATATCCTCCATTCACACATTTTTACGGATTATTTCTAAATCTATTTCGGTTAATCTACTGAATAAACTTTAACAATTTATTGGTCCAATAGTAGATCGCCCAGTTTTGATAAGTTTTTTTTTTTATATGTTTTCCGAGTAAAATATTCTTATATTATTATATTTTAGGGGCGAAAAACACGGCTACTAGTCCCTTTATATTACGCCTGAACGGTGAACTCTACAAGGGATGTCTACAACTACAAAACAATAATAATCTTCAAAATCACAATAATGACGAGAAAAACTTTAGTTAATGCGACAAATATTTTGGAACAACGTTTCGCCGTGTATATAGAAAATATTGAATAATACGAGTAGTATAGCATTTAAAAGATTAAGTGAATAGGTACGTGTATATATAGTATATGTATTACATAAAATATCAAATAAGTATTATTTTAGCATTTTGTTATTGATAACAATAATATTGTCGGTTAAGATATTATTAATTCAGAAAATCAATCATTGTACATTATAATAAGTTATAATTAAACGTTTGTGTGTTTTAAAATCATTGATTTTTAAAAATTTTTTTTTTTAAATATGAGTGAAGAAAATATTAGCGCATGTACAATATTATTATTTTATTGAATATCTTACGCAATATCTTACAATATTGTATAAAAAATTTAATTAATTAATTAATATAATATTACTATTACTATACGAGTAAAATATAATTAATATAATATTAATATTATTTTATATAATATTTTACTACCTATACGAATACTATAGGTATAGGAGAGATTTTTTTTTGTTTTTTACGTTTTATTTTAACATTTACAATATACTTATAGTTATAATTATTATTAATTTAAAAATTAGGTACGTATGTAAATTATTGCGAGTTTATACAATTATTATTATTATTAATTTTAAGGCTGTGCGTTCTTTAGATCTCGTCCTAATGGGAAAAACTGCGAATAATTTATCACTATAATAATAATATTGTAAAATACACCCGCATTTCGGATTTAAATATTAATTATATAATCAGTATTAGCGTCGTAAATGTTTTATAATAATATTATATATGAATAAATTACGATATATTTTTTTTTTTTTTTTACTATAACTTTACTATATTACGCTTGTATCATATTATTTATTGTAATTATTATTTTCAGGAATAAAATTAGAAAAAGGAAATCGTATTTCATTCCTATATAATCCCGCGTATTCCTAAACAATAGAACAATATATCTACGTCCTTAACAAAACTATAATCGGGAAAAAAATATTTCAGTCGTTAGTCACGAAACATATAATAATATAATATGTAGAAAATAATACAGCAAATCAACTTATTGTTATAAATAATTTCACTCAAATTGATTACGACGAAAATCGTCTGCGAATCGTAAGTAACACCGTAATTATAATTAATCATGATATAATTGAAATATTTAATTATTATCGAGAATCACGTCGTTTGAAAACGCGACATTATGCCTGTATTGTATTTTGTTTAATTGAACCTATGAAAAATTAAAACATATTATATTCCCTTATAAAACGCACGTAATAAACGTCTTGAACGCTGTGTAAATTACACGTAGGTACGCAGGTATCTACTATATATTTAATTACAATTAAGGGAAATCAATGAGTATAGGTGTATTTTAACGTACTACTGTTACTACTATTACTATCATTGGCAATTACAAAATATAATAGATGTTCTATATAGGTTTTCGTTTAATCGATATTATTAATATAGCAATTAAAAACGAATTCGTGTATTATAATAGAAAGTAATAATTAAATACAATTTATTCGAATAAAATATTGTAATATTACACTATAGGTTTGTGTAATTTTTAATGTGGATTCCCATACGTACATAATCATAATAATTACCCGTACCTCACCGTTGGCAGAAAACCCGAAATTCATAGTTTTGAATACCTAAATGTTAAAGAAAAAAAAAATCTAAGTTAATGAAACGAACAAAAGACTTAATAATAATATAACCCTAGGTATACGTGAGTCGATAAAAAAAAAAAAAACCTAATAGAAAAACGGCAATATATATGCAAAAACGGGTTATCATGTGATTTATGTTATTTGAAATGTTCGAGCATTTTTTATGTTTTGTGCGAATAAAAATGTTTTCATTTATTTTTATTGGTGTTTCAGTTACAATTTCTGTTAAAATTCGTTAAAAGCACGAATAGTTTGTAGTTTATTTTGTAGTTAAAAATTGTTACAATTTTCAATTTAAATTTGAAACCGAAATTTACGGAACTTTTCTAAGAACCGTTTTTCGTTTTCGTCGGTTTATCGTTACGTCTAGATAAAAATTGAATATCATTATACATTACACATCTTACCATTCCAACTTTTACCAGTGTAGTGTATTTACAATTTTCGTCGAATTTCCGAGATCGCTACTGAACAACGGATTTTTTCCTTTCTTCGAATAAATTATTCTTAAATTACTTATTTCCAACCAGCACAAAGTATTTTCATCTCGAATCACCAATTTAATTTTGCACTCACCCCAACCCGAAAATACCCCCATTCTACCACAAATTTATTGACATTTTTTAAATTTCAATCAAATTTATTAAACATAATAATTTTTGTTATATTTATGAACAAGGGAGCATCTACGAACCAACCATTTTTTATGAATCGCGTGATTCAACTATTCTTCCTTCGAGCCACCGTTGCTTGCAACGCTGTTTATATTAAATAATGCGATGTAGCTGGTATACACACTCATAACTTGATAATATTTCGATATAAAATTGAGTTTTACTTATTTTTTTTTTTTTAATGTATAGAAATGGCTATATTAATTTTACCGAGGTGTAGTTTGATAACGATGACACCAAGCCAAAACTTTGTAGTTACCTATCGAACATATATTCACACTTTAAGTCTTAGTTTAAAATTTTTTCAAACAATTAAATTTCCTTGATATTTTAGTACAGTCGTCGATCGAAAGTATAAATAATACAAATTATAACAGTATACTAATGGAAGTAAAACATATAATATGCGATACGTGGTTCAATATTTCTCGAATATGTAATTTAATGATTTAAAAATATTTAAATTCGAGCGAACATATTGGTTTTGCTATAATGTGTGTTTTTTTTTTATTTGTCTTGTAGTTTTTCTAATAAATGGGCATAACTGGTAATTTGTTCTATAATTGTTATTGTTTTTTAAGTTTATCTCGGCTACTAGGAAAAAATACAACTTATTATACTCGGCTCAGTATCGTTTTTCATTATCAATAGTGTTTATAATTGCGTACATAATATATAACTTAAATATCACTATATATATCTTCCGTTCCAACTACCCTAAAGTAATAGCTTATGAAACCCATGAAACTGGTACATTAGTATCAGCCTCTTTTATATTTATTTTACGCGTTGCTATTAATAAACGACAAGAAAACCTGGCAATTTTCTGTAATCATAATTTGTAATGTGCACTAAGGGAAAAAATAACACACATAATACTCTGCTCAGGATTGCTTTTTATTGGCAATGGTTAATCGTTGTGTATACATATAAATTACCTTATACATCATCCTTTCCACCTTTCTTTTTAAAATACTGACACACCCATCAAAAATATCATTTGAATTGTGAATCCATTTGTAAATTTTGATCATTTAATTTTGTAAAAAGAAAAACATTTTTTTCAAGTTATAGCTTTCTAAAAACACACACGCAAATACGTGTATTTAAATAAAATATTAAAAAGTAAATTAAAATGTCCAACGTCGTGTTTTAAAACATTTTATGTACACATAAATACGTTTGCGTATATAATAACTGCAGTTATGAGACAAATATGTGAAATATGTAAAAAATATTCATTTGGAAAATAAATTAGTACTGTTAAGAGTTAACTTACAAATCGTTTACACTTGTTGAACGGAAATATATCCACGTGTTTACTTATAAATGTTAAATCAACGCGTGTAAAACTGTAATAATATGTATACCTATAATACGTATTCTGGTTTATTTTTTTGTTTGTTCGATCCACAAATAGATATTGTACATCATTTTTTTTTCATGTGCTGCTCAATACATTTTTAACTGTTTTTAATATAGGGTTAGGGTTATAGTTGTGTATACAACAGTTATTCGTGATCAATTACGTGTTTATAATTATATCCTAACCTAACCAACATTAATCTATAGGTAATAAAAGTTAACTCTTAACCGATTACTCTAATTCTGAGATACATAACAAAATTAAAATTCATTTTTCACTTCTTTGAAGTAAAATTTTTAAATCTGTTTGTTGATAAGTTACAGCGTTGTCATACACTATAAAATATGGTAATCTTTAGGTATAATAAAGTATATTCTATAGTTAAACATATTTTCAATGATATTTTTTTAAAAAAATAATATAATTATTATGTTTTTATGACACTATAAAATATTATAACGTATCTTTTATCGACATATTCGAATGATATCTATACGCATATAAATGATAAATACTTAAATTTACCTGTAAATTATTGTATTAACTGTACTAAAAATTCAAAAAAAGCGTTGAAAAAAATAATTTAAAAAATGCATAAAACATAACTTTAAAAAAAGAGTTGATTGATGTGCCCAAGAATTAAGCTAATAAGAATCGTAAAGTTTTCTTCTCTATCCAACTTGACTATGGAAATTGGTAATTTAAAAACCTGATCCTAAAAAAATCTTCAAGCTTAAAACAGGATACATAATATATTATTTAATTTATATCAAAATGCACCAATAAACAATTTTTATCACAATTGTTAACTACTAACAAAAGTTACTGTTCTTCTATTCTTAAATTTACTATTCTGAGTAAATTTACAGTTTTAAAATGTCGTAATTTTTATGATTTTCGTCAAAATTAAATCTAAAAACAGTTATATAAAAAACTACTACATATAATCAATTGGTTAAACTTATAGTGAATCTTGCATTAAATTTTCAAGCCTTTCTGTTCGGCCAAGTAATTATATCCAAATTAAACAAAAAAAAACCTTGAAAATGACAAATGTCTATAAATAGCTAAAAAATATAAGTATTCTGTAAAAATGGCAGCTCTCTACGATTTTTTCTAACTGAATTATAATAATAAAATAAAATTAAAAATAATGAAACCGTTAATACCATAAACTTTTTCTTTTACCCTAAACGTTTTTTCGATTTTCTCAATTACTCATATTATGAAAACTAATTCGAGAATTAAAATATGACCCAATATGCACTAACTAGATACAAAATGCGACAAGAAAGGTCTTTTATAATTTTTTTGATTTCTGGTAGAAATATTGTGAAAAGAGTGACAAAAAATAACATAAATATAAAATTATAGAGCTACTTTTTTGTTAAATGTTCTAGAAAACAATTTCCAGAAAAAATACTTTCCGAGATAATGAGTGTTCCTACTTAAATGAATCACTCGGTATTTATATGATTATTATCTACTTTATTTTTTTGAAATGATAAAATACTCTAAAATAACCTAAATAACCAATTTCAACCACTCCCCTCCTCCTGACTACGGTACTTGTAAACACTGATAGCTCATCTTTTAGCATATTATCAGGAAAACCGCATAACATACTGCCTCTGTTTTAAGCTGGATTCTTACGACTTTCGTCATTTATTCAATATTCGTGAATTCTTACTATTCATGAGAACAGAGTATATTTATGAATTTTGAGTAATGTTGAAACGAGTCAAAGACAATTGCATTACAAAAATTGATATGCATCTGTTCATTTTTATGGTGTATCGATTATTTTCCGTTTGACTTTCAGAATTATAGATGATTTAAAACTACAAGTGTATAATTATATTTTTGATTAATAGGTAAGAAGGGGTTTACCTGGAAATTCGTGTAAATTTGGATTTTTGCGATATTTTAATTTTCAAGTCAGATTCGATGATTTTTAAACAGTATATTTCACATATTCGTGATTTGTTTGAAAATTAAAATACCGAAAAAAAAAACGATATACAAATACAGACAATAATGTCCTTGCCTTTAAGTTTGATAATAGGCCAATATACACTCTGATGTTAAAACTAATAACATTACAAATTCGTTTTTATATAAAAAAAAAAAAAATAAAAATATATTAGTATAACGACATTAACCGATTTTAACAACATAT